CCAGGACTACTGTGTCAAAATGTATTCAGCCTTTACCATTAAGTAGGTTCATATGTGTAGGTGTATACATTTTGTTTGAAAATGCAATTTCAAGCAAAGATCACAGAATTTATAATGTAAATGTAAAAATTTATTTATATTCATGTAAAACAAGTCTGCCAAATTACATTTAAATGAATGCATAGACAGTGTTCACCAAATAACAATTTCTTGAAAAGAAACCTCATGCAGCCATGCAAATAATGTCCTAACAGTATTGGTAACTTACAGAAAATGAATTACATTTGTAGAGGGTGCTGACACACAACCTACTTCCTTGTTTTAGAATGAGGATTTTTCTGTCTATAATATGTACTTGATATATTTGAGATAAACTATCATACTGTAGGTAAATATGGTGGCGCACTATACAAGTTTTGTCAAACAGAATTTGAAGCCACAAGTCTAAAGGTGTTTTAAAACCAGCAAGGACTTCAAAGAGGACTAAAACCAAAAGGACACGGTGTTCTCCAGTGGGACTGTATAAGCTGCTGCCCACTTCGATCTATCACAGGGCTGCCTATGGCTCCCAGGAGACCCGTGCACCGTGCAGCCCCCGCTCCACATTCCTTCCCCCCCTACACACACACCTCCCCACCCTCCCTCAACCATCATCACCGACCCGCCGTGAGTGACAGGCATCCAGTTCCGCATGACTGGAGCCTCTATCTCCTTACCCTCAAGGACAACTAAGACGAAATATTGTCATCAAGTCATCTCTCTCATTTCCGCGGCTGCCTCCTCCATAGATGCACATATGCACGCACACACACACACACACACACACACACACACACACACGACCCACACACCTGTAACAACATCTACGTGACCTTTGCTCAATGTCCTCGGGTGCCACACCAGAACCCGTTCGCACAAACAACCCTGGCTGTGCCTGCCGCTTCTCATTGACTCCCTTCGCTGTGAGTCTGCGTTTGAAACCATCTAGTTGGAGGTTGTTAAGAACCACTTCAGACAGAAACCTTGAACGGAGGAAACAAACAAGCATTGTCTACGAAGGCTTCCACACAGATCGCCGCACAGTCCTTAGCTTGAATGTTTTCTTTTCAGAAATTTTCATCTCATACTGTAGAACAGTCTGAGGCGTCTTGTGATGAGAGGGGTATTTGCTGGTGTTCCAGAGGGATAACGTCAAGGCCGTTTCTCAAATAAATAACTGGAATTGCTTTGCAGTAACGTTTCACGGCAGTCAATGTGCATTTCAGTACCCTGCCAGATGTTTGCAATGTAACCTTTCAGTGTTCAAATACATTGCTCAGTTCTGTAAAACAACAACATCCAAAGACATCATCGGATTGCTGCACATGAACAATTATAAACAACTGCTCTTATTCTGGCGAGTTGTTTTTGCACTTCGATGTGGTGTTAGAAGTTTATATTCAGGTGGGACAACAAGGATGCTCAACTTCAGATTACAGTTTGTTGCTTATAGCCATAGTAGGAAACCACATGTTCAAAGGAAATGCTTTTAAACTTTGAGAATGTCAAATCCCAGAAATCATAAAATGTGATTTCAGAGAGCTGTGCAGTCTTTTTCTTTTAATTACTAGATTAATTAGCTAAGACAGTTTCTTTTAAAAAAAGGCAAACCAAGAGTAGAGATGTTATACCTAAGGATATTTCATATTTACACCACAACTTCCTTTAAAAAACTGAGTCCTAATCATATACAGCTTTAAATGCATGTAGCTGCACCAATCAGTATTTTCATATTAGCAGTAAAAGAAAATGATGAAGCCACAGCTAATTATCACCTGACTCTGCAGTTCCCCTCAGCTTTACAGAGCGTTTTAGCATCTTTCAGATCATTTTTTTGTTTCACAGCCTCCAAACATCAACTCTCTGCTCGCAGAATAGTTTCCAGAAGCATCTAGAGCAATACCTTTACTCAGCATTGAGCGAATTTGACCAGCTCTTACCCGGCTGCCACTGTAATTCTCCCAGGTCATTTAATTCAGTTAGGAAACTGCAAAACAAAAAATGCCATTCGACCGCAACCCTCAACAAAGTCAAAAGGAGAATGAATATTGGACTTACAGTCATCAGGCGGTCCAACTAAATGTGCATCCATATCTGCCAGATGTGTGAACACATTTGCCATTCCAACTGTACAGGGTGATAATATGATAATGTTGTGTTTATAGCGTGTTGCAATGCCCCCCAAAAAAGGACAAAAATCTTAAAGTGTTTGTATGTTAATTTTTGTTGTATTTGTTGATATACAGCTTTATAACCCAAATAAAATAATTTACACACATTGAATACATTTGCTATTTTAATAGAGCAAATAATAACAGGGGGAAATTGATTTACAACAGGTACAAAGCTTTTGTATATGTTTCAAACTAGTTAGTTTTAAAAGTTCATTAGCTAACAGATGAAGTACTTTCTTCTTTGGTGCTTTGCAGCATGTCGGTCTTCCTTTGTGAATGGAGTTAAGCTCTGTTGTCATGGAAATCAAGAAGAGCGTGGTGCTGGCTCAATCATAGCTTTCAGGTGACTAACATCCAATCATATCCATTCAGGTGTTGGCCTACTGTGTCGCCATTGTATATGATTATATTACAAATTCAAAAATATAACCATTTTTTCAGTGCCTCTGATTGAGCTGGTATGTGGACTTTGAGTGAAGACCTTCTAGTCAAACTGTATGCCCTTTGATTCAAATAAAAATCTAGCATACTGCAGCTTTAATGTCACAGCAGCCTCAAGAGATTCCAACGTATTAAACTTGACCAGAGTAGTTTCACAGCGGCCTTTAAGAGTCTTTGTACTGAGAGTATAACGTAAATTGGAGCCTCCCCTATGTGCTGGCCTTTTATCTGCCTTTTCACTGTCATATGGGAAGCTAATTAACTTTCACACTATTTTCCAAATGTTGTGCAGCCAAGTGACAGTTTCTGTGAATTTCCCATTTAGAAATAGTACAAGATAAGTAAATTATGTGGAACAAGCAGTCTTTAAATCTCCCATTGCATATATACAAACATAAACATACAACGTAAATAATGAGAGTCAGCGGAAAAACAAATTACAACGATGAACGTCATTACAGTGAGGCAAAATAGTGTGTCGTGTTCAACAATTTTCCACTTATTGCAGCATAAATCACACTGCAAGTCTCCCAATGTACTAAAGCACATAGAAGTATCAAAATAAGCCGTACAGAGGCGATTCATTTCTATTTTCAGAATGCCAATTATGGTGCACAGCAGCAGCTTTGGATATTGAACCAGATGAAGTCAAACTGTTACATTATTATCTATTTCAACCTGGTGCAGTGGGGAGATTCTCACCGTTGGATTTTCTTTAAAAGTGATAGCCTGCTGAAAATGTAATTCACTGTTTTAGTATAAATCAATAAGCCTCCAGAATCTATTCCCCCATTCCACCTTTATGTTAATATAAAAGAAATGCTCAAATAGAACTTTAATTCACCACACAGACGTCCAGACTGTTTCATCGCCCCAATTTAATCCATAACTGCTCAATTGACACTTAAATTTCAAGCCCATCTTAATTTGGCTTCTCCTGACGATTTTAAGTTCTACTTCTCTTTAGAGCCAAGGCTACTGTGACCCATGCTAATGGAGATTTATAGGCCAGTGCCATTCTAACAGTAATCTTCTATTAAGAATTATATCCCATTTGATTATTATTACTCTGTTCTTCCAGCAGAATAAAAAAAAAAAAAGCAAAGTCATTGCTGTGTGTGATCCAGTGTATTCAAATGCACTGCGTAGAAGGAAGCAGACACAAAACATGTTGAACACGTGAAAGAGTGGAAAGTGAAAGCTAATAATGTGTTTTAGCGTTAGAGGACATTCAGATGTTTCTGATGAGGGGCATAAATCCCGATGGACTCCCATCCGAGTGTATTCATTAATCATGCGTCTCATTGGTGAGCCTCTGATTTGCCACTGAGACAGATGAAGATGAACTCAGCAATATATTTCTCATCATAACACAACACTCACATAAATATTAATAGCATATTTTCAGCTGGTGGGCATGAATCATTTTTCAGACGGGGAATTTTGAGAGCCATCCATGCGTGTCCAAGAACAGTACATAAGCAAGCAGTTGTGATAAACAACACTGCTTTGAGGCAACAGTAGTGAAGAGAAAGCTTTCACTGTACCAGAGATTCAGAGGGTCTTTATTTTACTTACTTCAGGCTCCTTCTATCAATACATTTTCTTAATTAACTGTACAGCTCGTCAACACAAATATTTTAATTGCGCAAGTGACAGTTATCACTGATGTTAGTTTATGAATATAGCCATTTAGATGTCAGTTAGATGTCGTGTTTGAGACTATTCAGGATATCCAGTCAATACTAGTTGTGATGTTTTGAGATGGATGTTTGTGTAACATGGGGGTAGGTTAAAGGAAATATCCAGCTTTTGATACTTTAAAGCTGCTCTAATTGATATTTGAGATGACTATTTCTACTGTTAAGGGGTCGCTGGTAGTGACAAACCAACAGATAATTATCACCCGAATACATGTTCTCCATAAAAACTTTATAAAGGGACTGTATATCAAAATGTTTATTGGCCACTTGTTGTACTGCCTCCAAGTGGCCAAAAAATCTATTAAGACAATTGGTTTTAGGAGATTAAAATACTTTTAAATAATGTTAAACTTGCAGTATCCTATTTAATGTTAGCATGGTAATCAGACCGAATTGGCATTTCATAATTTAGTCTGTCATTGTGTTCATGTCAGCGGCTTTCTGTTTGACTGCTTTTAAAAAGAAAGAAAGTGACATATTGCTCCAGTTGTAGTCATTTTCATGTTAATGTCAAGGTTTTTGCTTCTATAAATTGATTCAAGAAATTGGCCTTCTTGTAATGGTTTTTACCATTCTTTGGGGCAAAACTATTATATAGCCACTGAAAAATACACCACAGTCACAGTACTTTGTGTCATTACAGGTGTACGACCACCAGTACAAAGCTGTAGTGGATGGAGTGGAGAGAGACGGCATGATGGAGATCGACCCAGGTCAGCGCATTGAGATTTTCAGAATGGGAAACGGCAGCGAGGAGGTAGTTGAAGTGCACGACTTCAAGAATGTAAGTTAAAAGGTTAAACAAGGCCATGTCAGCTATTCGTGTTTTTGCTGAATACTCAACGCTGTGAGAATGATGACGTTCACATTCTGCCCTTTTCAAAGAGGCGGCTGACAACATTTATCCTTTGTTGAAATCATTTTTTCTCTAACAATATTTTCTCCTCTTTTGTCACTCAGTGAAAACAGGTGCAACAAACGTGTTGAGAAGCAAGATAATGGAAATTATACTCAGTGAGGTGTACATGGGGATCAGAAATATCAGTGACTGTACTCCGTGTGTGTGTGTTTGAGTGTGCAAACACACGCGCGCGCACACACACACACACACACACACACACACACACACACACACACACACACACACACACACACACAGAGCAAAGAAAGTCTTTTTCTAAAATAATTGTTTTCTTCCTGCTAATTTTATACAGTAACTTCTTGGCACTACAGAGACAAACACCATTAAAAAGCTCATCTCTCTATTTGTTTCTCACACCTTCTTCAACTGCAATTTTGTTTCCAGCAGCCCTCATTAACTTACCTTTCATTCCTAAATCCTTTCTTGAGTGTGCAGGAGGTTACGCATGCTGCACCTCGGAGAAGGGAGCGTGCTGTTTGACTGGTTAATGAATCTTTTTATTCTCACACCATTATTTACTGTGAAATGTTACAGGAAGCTACTCATCCCAAACAAAAACCTACATTGAGTTATTGCTTTTTTACAATGGTCTCTGAATCTAAAATGGCTCTATGTGATGGAAACTCAGGACAGCGCCGGAAAACTTTAACCTCTGCAATCAATCTCCATTTCTTTCTCCCTCACCAAGCACCACACACACACACACACACGCACGCACACACACACACACGTGCGCATAAACGCATGTGCCTGTTGCTTGTTCCACTTCCTGTTAGTAAAGCACACCCCCCCCCGAGGAGGTTTGTTTGAGTCAGTGCTGCACCATGGAAGACTAAGAAACAAGCGGTTGAGCAGAGTAATTCAAACCTTAGTGATTTGTTTTTAAAGGGAAGGAAACCTACACAAAAACAATAGGCTGTACTAAGAGGTAGCTTGTGTGCGGATGTTAGAATAGATTTTTTTTTTTATGTATAAAAAAAAAAAAAAAGGACCGGCTGCATGTTGTTACACAGACCAAAGCCACCTCTAAAACAATCTCCATCAAGCCCGAGGGCTGCGTGAGGAATGGAAAATGAGTATTATACCACCAGGTCCGTGGACCACAGGCAAAATCCACTCACTATTGTTTAAACCAATACTTCCCTCATTTTGACAGGAGAGAATGGGAAAAACATGGAGAGAAAATCACTAATGTTTTTTTCATTGGATTATGTTCTATGTAAAACGTATTATTATTATTATCATCATCATCATAATGGGCCATTGCTCTCAGCTTGTACATTAAGGGTAGCTTATTTGTGTAGTTGCCTATTTCAGACTCAAGCACAACATTTCACACGAGGACACCGAAGGTGAAGTTTCCTTCTCTACACTACACAATGGTCATGCTGCCATCATGCCTTTACTGAAGAACTGGACTCTATGTTTTCTGATATTTACATGGAAATTTGATCTGGCCGACTCATTTTCAACTTGTAAAGAATGTAAAAGGTTTAACAAGTCTACATGATGGCCCTCACGAACTGAAGTCTGTGGGGAACCGCCCTGAGCCCTCGTGGACTAATCCTGAGTCACACATCTCAAAGTTTGTTTTACACATATTTCAATTTATGTATGTATTAATAGTTGTTTATGTTATGTTACCAGGTGATTCTAATGTTATGTCCCTCATATGTGCAAATGTCCATCCAATATCTATACCTGCAGCATCGCAGGCGTCTCAGGGCCTATACCATTGCTCAAATTAGGCGAGAAGCAGGGTACATCACAGGGCTACTGCTAAAACTACAGGCAAATAGATTAACACCATCACTCACAATTACTCCTACTGGCAGCTTTAGAGTTGCAATTAAACTAGCCTGCATGTTTTTGGACTATAGGAGGAAGCCAGTCTTGCTGTTCTGCACCAGTGTGGCACCCTGTATGTAATAGAGTGCTATGGCCAATACTGAGGGTTTATATAGGTTTTTATCCTTTACAGCACTGGTTTAGCAGCACAGGAAACTCAGAGTAATTGCATGAGTTGTAAATCATACCATGTGATTCTACTTAGCCAATCAATTCTGTGCATTTTGATCAGGGTGGATAAAACATTTTTTCATCTCAGCACTGCAAGTGTTGCTGGCTTTCACTTGCCACCAGTCCTACTACATCAGTTGTCTGCTTCAACACACGTATAAGAGCCACCAGCCTCTCAGCACAGATATTGCCAGCTATACCAGATTCAGTTATGGTGAATCCACGCTGCAGCAGTTATCAGTCATCTCGTTTTAGTTGCTTACCTTCAGATGACGTCTTGTCTGAAGCTGGAACCAACATCCATAAATCTCCAGAGATGCTGGAAGAAACAGCTGGTGAAAATTACGGTTTAAAAGTAATTTAGTGTAGCAGACTTTTACATGGTTAAACAATATAGAATTCGGAAAAATGAAAAAAATAATATTTTGGCTCACAAAATTGGCAAAGGTTTATAAAACTGTCTAAATAATACTAGCCAAAATGTTGTCAGTCAATTGATGATATAAATGTGCTTACTTGTCAGTAACGCATATTTTCACTGAAAATGAAATATGAAGTACGAATACTGAGCCATGTCAGGGGGAATTCATTTTTTTAAGCCAACCTTTCTTTCTCGGGCTGCACACTGCACTGCAAATCATACAGTCCTCATCCATGATACAGAAGAAAAAAAAATTCCTCACTTTTGGAAAATCCATGACCGCAGGAAACTGTTGAGGATACAGTAATATACAGTATGTCTACATCATTGTTAGATTTTGGTGCTCCGCCGCAATGTCCTGATATTGTAGAAAGGGCTATTGCCAACATACAGTGATTGAACAATGCGTTATGCAATTTATAAGAATATTTATGTAGCTAAACATAAGGTTACAAACAGAAACAGGCATGCTGGTTATATGTAATCTTCTATTTGCTTTCATCTTTTATTATTTTATTTTTAGTCTCTCTCAGTCAGGGGTCAACGAAAAATACGCAATAAATTCTAAAATATTGCTGTATCATTAAAAAGCGTATATCTACAGATGGGGATCATTTGCGCCAATAAAACAAACATATTGTGTCCATTACTCCCACCCACGATAGCTTTGGGCCAATAGAGATTCTGATTTAATAGTGACACGCAGCCATAAGTTCATTCTTTTTAAGATGAAGCACTTACGGAAAGCTTAAATGTCTGGATTTATTAGGACTATGCCAGTCTTGCTACTGTTCATTTTCTGAACGGTATTAACATCAATTACTTGAAATGTAGATTATAAATGGTGTCAAGTTGAGGCCAAATGTAATTTGAATAAAATTACCCTTCAAGCTGTATTAACATGATTCAGATTTTAATGTGCTTTTGTTTACAGTTCTGAAGTATTTCGATTGAAAGGTTTTAAAATAAGAATTGCTCCAAAGAGTAGAAATGGTAGTTAGCTTATGCTTAATTGGTGTTACGATTGAGAGGGGTCCTGGGGAAATGTTCTCTAATGTAAGGGGTCCGTGGCCCCAAAAAGTCCCTGATTTAAAAGCACAACGATTTGGATTGTAAGTTAGATATTCAAAGATGAAGAAAGGTCCTTTAAATACATAATATGTTGATAATATCAATACATAAACTCAGCCAATATCTGCCTAACTACTTTATTCACAGGAGCTGAATGATGCATGCAGTAACATGTTCCCCACCCTCATGAATAGATAAGCATCTTGCAGATTTGATCAATGTGTGTTTAAATGACATCACTTTTCCATTCCTCATCCCAGTGTTAATGTGTCTGTCTTCATTGTCTGATTGACCGACCGCAGTAATCGCTGTATCTCATCACAACATCACCCTCTCCTCTTCTGCTGCAGCTCGCCAATACAGAAGACGCAAATTAAACAGAGACCCATCACAATAAAGCCTGGCATAAACATTATGCCTTTGTGCTTGAGACCATTATTGCCCCATCCCTTTTCCCCGCATGGACGAAATTACATGTGGTAGATTATGACAGGCATCACAATGTATCATGTCATGTGCGTATCTGGCTCTCAGAGTGACAGCGCCACAGAAAATGTAGAAAAAGCCCCCACATGGTCAAGTTAACCGACTCAAAGGGAGATGTCATAGCAATCACTGTAACCGTAATTAAATTTAGATTGAATCAAGTCCATTTCCATACAGCTCATACAATTTACAATTTTCAGTTGATACAATTGTAAAGCAGCCACGGCAGATGTGGATCCTGCCGTCTGTTTTAATACAGTGTGCTGAAAGGGCAGCTCTAGTCTGCAGAAAATAAATTGGATACAATCTGAGATACTGAGAGTCTTTCAGACTTATTCCATCTGAATATCTTAGATTAACAAAGAATGGCAGCGAGAGAGAATTAACAGATCTTTCTTGCCTATTGAGGCTCTATGTGTCAGTATGAATAGAGCTACAGTCCACATGGCGGAGGATCATCAGTGGAGCTGAAGAGAGTGACTCCACTTGACTGCGCAGATTAAGAGTGCGACAGGGACCTATGACTGCCTAATTCAATGGGGTCACTCTCTGTTCATTTTCAACAATGTCGCTGTGCTCTCCTGTGCGATATATACCGCTATCTGCTTTGAAGCATACATCCACGGAGGAGCACCCCCGCCTTTTCACTTCCATTCTGCCCTGAAAGCAAGAGCTGTGTTGCAAGGGCCAGGCAGTCATCAATTTTGTACCATGCTAAAAGGAAAAAAAAAGAGACCAAAACACACCTCTTCTCACTCATTAGGTTTTAACTTCTTTGACATTTTTAAGAGCTTTGATTATCAGCAAAAAAACTGAGCATTTTAAAATGATAGTCCCAGTGCTTTAGGGTTATCCACATCAGAGGGAGATACATTTCTGAATTTCTGAGTATCCCTTCATTTCTTTTTTCAAAGGGAATCACTGGGATCCGGTTTGCCGAACATCAGAGGTGTTACATCAGGACCCAAACTAGGCAACTACCCACAGTGGCAGAGGTGGAGGCTGAGGACGCAGAGCAACTGGTACGCCTCCTCCCCCGTCTGTCTGTAGTCCTACAGAGGCTGTCATGCATATTGTAGAGAGATAAGCAGAGCTCTGTGAGAACCACACAAGTCTTCCGTCTGTCGATCTCATCCTATGTCCTCCGCCCATCTCACTGAAGAGTAAACTGTGGTCTGTGGTGCCTGTGAAACCGCCAGAAAGCAGCCCACAAACCCAAAGCATCTATGTGGCTCACATCAAATGGTGTTTGCTGTCAATCTTGAGCCAATATAAATTTTTAATCATCTCCTCCAAAGGCTCTACCCAAATAGCCTAAAGGGGAAAAGGTGTAAGAGAGGTCTTGAGTTAGAGGTAAGCCATTAAAATGGTATATGTTTTTTTTAAAAGATGTATCTTTGTAAAATTCACAAGGCTCCCTCTCCAAGAGTGATTTTCTGGTTTCTTCTAGTTGTATGTGAAGTTCACCAAAAGGAATGGAGGAAATTCAATCAATCAAAATTCCCAATTTTTCAGTGTCAGTGCAATTCACTGAGTGGGCCGTATGTTCAAAGAGAAAATCCCTCTCTCAAATGTCTCTACTGCTTGCATGCCCTCATTTACATTTCACATTGTAGCTGGGAAGAAGTAGCTGTCAAATATCTGACGCTCCTCGCTCATGGCTTCATTTTAAAACAGAATAAGCCAATTGTCAGTCCAAGCGAAACCCAGTCTCAGTTTTATCTTTAAGAAACGCAAGCTGTTGCACCCAAAAAAACCAAACGCCTGTTTGTTTTTCCTCTCATCTACATAATGTCTGATCCACGTTTACAGATACTAATTGCCCAGGCAGCACCATATGTCCATGCCTTTTCTGTCTTCTTTTGTGCCCTGTGAAGCCTAATTGGCTTAATTCACAGTTCCAACGTGAAACATCTAAGGCCAGGAAAGTGAGTAGGGCTTATACCATTAGTTAGCCATCAGCCATTTTGACTACCAAGAGTATTGTTTATTCTACATCATGTTTAGTAAAATAAAAAGCTGCCTTGGTTTACGTTAAGTTGTTCTACTCAATCGCTATGAATAGTCATACACAGCCTCTCCTTATGAGACCACGATGAAGTACACTGAGCAAGGAGCCTTAAATGGACTGCCAGGCTAAGAAGTCATAACCAGGCAACCAAACATGCCCCCCCCCTCTTCTAGAAACTATGTTTATACAATACTAATGTGTTGTATTGTGTTGGGAATACATAATTGCAGCCTGGATTTTATTCACAGTCAACGTTTGTTCGAGTATCTGTGTCGCATGGTAGTAAAGGGGAGGTGGTCAAGGTGGATGGCGGGCGTACAAAGTGCAGGATTTTGATACCGGCGATCAGGATTTGTATCCCAAGTCCCTGTGTGGGATTAGGGTTAGGCAACAAAAGCACTTTGGTAATAATGCTGCAGTTGTTACAAATGGATTGAAAAAGAGGGGTATTGTAGGAAAACAACTGAAATACGTTGTAACGGCTTAGAAACACAACACAATTTGAATCCAAAAGCACAACTCACAAGCAGAGAGGTTATAGAAGTTCACATTTACTTGCATTAATAAGCAGATAAGGGTCAAAATTAGGCAGGCACAACAGGTAAACTTACCCAGGAAACAGTTGGGGACAGAATAATTGGTTCATGAGTCAGGTAGGGAGGGAAAAAGCTGGAAATGGGCGGGCATATATACTGCAAGACTCATGAGGGAAATGTGGACCAGGTGTGCAGGGGGGCGGGGATGGTCAGGTGATGGGAATGGCAGGAAAGGGGGTTACTAGATGTCAGAGGGAGGAGCTAGATCCAGAATGACAGCAGAGTTAGGGTACATCCCAAGTCTCTTAATTGTCATTTCCTCGTTTCCTCTCTCCTCGCATGGTTTCCTTGCGTCTCTCCATGCATCCCTGGTGGGAGGGACTAAGACTCAAGGAAAGGACGCAAGTGAGGGAAACGGATGCAATTAAGAGACTTGGGATGTACCCTTAGAATATGGCAGAGAAAACCAAGCAGGCAACATAATGAATATTAGGAGCTGGCTGAATTCTTGATATATATTGTAACTGAACGTTTAGCAGACACACTTAGAGACAAATATTTTCATAAAAAAACATTCTATGTATTTGCTGTTCCAAAGTAATATAAACTAAATTTCTACTTGGAGGAAAGTGGAGATCACAATCTCAAAAAATGTCTAGTGTTTGAAGGAATAGCCACTTCAAGTCAATTTTATTTAGAAAACCCAATATCACAAATCCCAAATTTGCCTCAAGTGGCTTTACAAGCTGTAGAGCATACGACACCATCTGTCCTTTGCCCCTCACTTCAGATGAGAGAAAACTACCCCAAAAAAAAACTTTCACAGGGGAGAAAAATGAAAGAAAGCTCAGGAAGAGGTAGGATCCTTGTATCAGACAGAATTGTCGAGTTAGTTTCCATCTTTAGTCTGACATTGACTCGACTCGATCGTTTGGCCCTCATGTAAAATTAGCTTCAAAGCCCGAGCGCTCTTCCTGGGGGATTAGTAGCCACTGGTGTTGTTGGGGTTTTGTGGAGCGGAGTTAAGTAAAAACAGAGACAGTTTGTGGAAACAAACTATGGTGGTTGATATTGAGAAGACATGTGGTGCACATGCTTCACAGCAACTTCAGTAAAAGTAGTGAGAAGTGTACAGGTAGGCTACACATATTTTATTGCAAATTAATTGAGTGTAAGAGTTAAACATAATCTGCAAAACAACTACGAAGTACAATAAAAGTACAAGAAAATATAAAACTTTATTCGAATTTCCATATACCTACAGGTACATACATGCAATTTGACATCTGCATTTAAACTGCTGTAAAGCGCTCATGGAGCAACTTGGGGTTTGGAGTCTTGCTGAAGGACACTTCAACCTTTGGACAGTAGGAGCCGGGGATTGAATCGCCAACTCTCAGGTTAAAGGACAACCTGTTCCATCAATTGAGCTACTAGAATATATGTAACTGAGTATATGTAACGCGTCACTGCCCACCACAGCGGGCCCTGATCTGTCCTCTGTAAGAATCCACCGTGTGACACTGGAGAAGATCAGCACAAGTTCCTCCTCAGAAGGTGAAACACATGAAGCTGACAGGGGTTAAACCCAAGCACCAATGGTTCCTAGCTTAACCCAGCCGCTGGCTTTTAGGAAATGGGGCTCAGAGCAGCCGCGGCAGGCTTTAGAGCCGAGGTGAAAGACAATGGAAAAAATTGCGGCAAAACTGCAAGTGGCTGATAAGGAAACGCAGCCCCTGCGAGAGAAAACCAGGTGACAAACATGAATTGTTTGCCAGGATTTTTTCCCTCCCTTTTCAATTTGCCTCCTCTATGAAATGTCTGAGGGAGTAATCCCTGAGCTTCATTCCAGTTCCCTCAGTCTGACATGGAAATCGCCATCCACCTCCCTCACACCCCTTAGCATTGTCAACTGATGCTGCTTGGTCCATTAAACAGCCACTAAATATGGATGACCAAAGCTCACCCAGCAACCCAAAACCTCCCACTCAGACAACTGCAAACAGCAAAAACAGCAGAGGATGTGAATACACCAAAAGTCCTGCAAGCACACAGTGTTGTTTGTTTTGTCCAATATTTGTCTGCATGAAGATATGAGCTCAATTCAGAGACCATGTGGGATTGTTCTGCCACAAAAAATAACAAAAAGCTTCAGTTCCTTCAGTTGGTGACACATTCAGTCATAAGTCCTGGTCACACCAGAAGGAGGCACAATTAATGCACAACCAAATTAATCCAACTGTTTTTACAAAGGAGTGACGACTCACAGGACTTATTGGTAAATAGAAAAGCTGTTGAGCCAATAAATGTTGTACAGATATGCATAGAGCACCAATGCCCAACTATAGAATAGAAAAAAAACACGTATTCTGTAAGTTGTAAACAAAGGAAATAATGCAAATAGATAAATACTGAATGAATATTTGATGATTATGTATATGTACAGTTGAAGATGTCTACATACTGTTCATACAGCCTGTCGGGTTTATATTGACAGTGGCTATTATCTCTTTTGTGGAGCAGTTTATGCTTCCTCAGAGAAGGGTTGATTAAAACTGGAAGGTGCCACAAAGCTAATAAACGAACAGCTTCCTTTATTGTGCACTCTCACTCCGTCTGTTCCCTCGAAGGTCGGCACTGTCAAGACAGTTTGCTATTTGTTAATGGCAAAAATGTACATGTCAAAGTTCACTAAAGTTGAACTGATAAAAATACAGTTTTACTTTGCCCCTACTTTAAATTAACTTTCAAGTCCACTGAGATTAATTGATTTATTCTGTGAAAGTTCACTGTTTTAAATCAGGGTGGCGGTTATTGCCCTTAACCCTCATCCCACCAACATATTTAACAAAGAAAGACACCAACTGGAAGAATAAACCATCGTAAAACAACAAATAAGAACAAAAAATAGACATGAGCACATGAGGAGATGCTGCATCTGTAAGTGTCTGCAACTGGGTGCTTTTGACTGGGACCCCCAGGACCCCAACACATTGATACATTTAAATGATTTAAAAAAGCACAAATTAAAACACAAACAGAAAACAATGACATAAAGCCATTGGGAACAAATTGATAGACAAAGTTATGAAAAAGTGTAATGATAGAATAAAGCACCTGTGAGATATGAACAAAAGGTATACCTCTGGGGTCTGCTGGGACCCCAGTTGGTAGGATGCCAGCACTCTCATTGTAAGTTGCTTTAATATGGGTGCCAACTAAAATTCACCACCTGGTACTCTGCATAATGAAACCCCCTCCCAGTTTTATGTATAATATGTGAAAGCTTGTGGGTATCATGACAAAATATTTTGTTGATCTCTGGAAAACATAGCACCACTTTAAACAATGTGTCATGTAGACAGTGTTTCCCCCCCTTGGGACACAGTGGCAGGAGAGGGTAAATTCATTAACTACAGCACAACTGGTGTATAATTAAGTTGTGCACTGTGGACGGAAAAGCATACAAACAGCAGGAGCAGGCCGCACAAAACAAATTACCATCATTCCCAAGGTCCAACACTTGATAAAAAGTTGCCTGTGTCCTAATAATATATCATTTCTCAATAGCAAAGGGAAAAGCCCCTCAAAAGTGTGTATAAACTAGAGGACTGTAATCATGTTGTCTTCGTGCTTGTCAACTGGCATTTAGAAATCCCTGCCCCATGCTAAAATGCTGACCTTTACCACTTCCCCCAGGCCCTCTCCTGCAAGTTATTGGAGTCGTTTCTCAACTGTGAAGTCAAAGTCATGTTGTGAGCCCCGTGTTGTGACCTCCATTTACTTTCCAGAGAAGACTCACTTGGCTTCAGTGGTTAAGAGGTCCAATTAGAGAGGGCTGTTTGTGTTTCCCGAGTTGGATTTTAATTTCTGCAGCCACGGGAACGTGAGCGCACCAGCTCATTGCCAGAGCACCCTCACCCTAACCATGCTACACCCGTCCTCAGAGTACTGGCCAGTGTGTCAAAAGCTTGGGCTAAACATTTCCCGCGCCCAAACACAATTGTGACAGAATGTGCTTAGGTTCTGTTTGTTTTTTCCTCACTGCAGGTCACAACTGTGTCGCCCGATGACAAACAAGAAGCGGCATGGAAAGAGAAACTGTAATTCAAGCGAGAGTGACAGGGGTGAACGTGAGGGAGGGGGCACGACCCAATATAAATTATTCTTGCTCCTGCTATAGCCCCAGGATTCTACGTCAAGCTTAACTAATGTGCAATTAAGCTTTAGACTGGGAGAAAATCACCTTGTAAAAACATTTGTCAAGTGAACTGTTTTTCTGTTCTGGGTTGCTAATTAACAAGGGAATGGGAAGAGGGGTTTGTTTGTTTGTGTGTGTGTGTGCGTGTGTGTGTGTGTATTTACATATACATGAAGAAAATAAATATCTGCACTGTTAGGGGAGCGCATTACCAAATCCCCTTCATATGTCTCTATTAGACAACACTGACATGTAGTCCCTATCATTAAGCAATAATAGTTTACTTTACAGCTCATGAACTGCAGTATCAACAAATTAAGCCTACTGATAGTGCTCGGTGCCAAGCGAAGCATTGTGTTGAAGGGAGGGGGGGGAGAGAATGCAAGGCTTTATTGTATCTGTCACATTAAACGATATTGCAGCCACACTCAGAGTAATGAAGACCACTTCTAAAGTCATTTAAAAGTCAGATCATCACTGTCTTTGAATTTCAATGATGTATGATAGAAAGAGCATGCCGCAGGCTTGAGAAGAGGGTGAGGGAGAAAGAGGAGGGAGTCAGGGCAGTAGGAGTCAGGAGTCAGGAAGCTGCCGCCCTCTCGGCAGACAGAAAGGTGATAGATAAAAACGATGAGGATGGAGCCGCTGCGTGGCTCAGGGGAGGAGAGTGCAAATGTAAGGCTATACTTTGTGTGGGGCCTGGACATTTTTGCAGGCTCTGTTATGCTATATTATATATATATATATGTTCATGTGTGTGGTGTTTTCTAACAGGTGGATGAGACAGAGGCCGTGGATATGAAGGTGGAAGACTCCCAAGTGTGGGTTCCTGCTGAGGAGCCCATCGTTAACCCGGCCTTCCTCTTTGACTCCAAGATCTGGGAGATTTGCCAGGAGCTGCCCATCCACTGGATCCATCCCTCCCCTCTGAGCGGTGAGAGCAGGGGCATCTCTGCCTCTAAATGCAAACTATTAACACTCTCGCTGGAGGGCATCCCCACAGGCCATGTGCAGGTCCGTAGGGACCGCATTTTTTCCCAACCACATGAGCATCCAGTCCGGGCTACTCTCTGTGTGTTTGGAAAATTGAGAGACTGATGGTCAGTTGTGGTAGAAGCATTCCAGTCAGTGGTGGTCGAAGCATTCCATTTCTAAGTATTAAGTGTAAATAACAGGAACAGCGTAGCATTTAGGGATATATTGGCAGAAATGGAATATAATATAAAAAGGTATCTGTTCTTTACTGTATCTCCTGAAAATAAGAATTGTGTTGTTACCTTAGAAGGAGTCATTTATATCGACATACAGAGCAGGTCCTCTTCAGAGTCCACGATGTTGCTACAGCAGCCCAGAGTGGACCAACCAAACACTGGCTCCATATAGGGCCATGTGCATTATAGCTTTGGCCACCATTGTTGTTCTACACGCTTGGCACACGGGAGAAGTTTCAGTTGATTGCAATCTGCAACCTCACCACTAGATGGCAGGCTTTTAAGTACAACATATCAACAGCATTTTAACATTGTAGTTGGTGGAGATGGAGTTGGTTTTAACTGGTTTAAATGTCATATTATGATCTGTTCTGCAAGTATAAATTTCCTAGTATTTTGTTTTTCGAAATCTGCCAGTGTAGTTCGATTATTTCAACTTGAGAAACCATCTTTTTAGAAGCTGTTCGGAACTAGACCCAAAGGCAGAAAGAAGAGAAGGCAGCAGAATGATTTCAATGATTTTTTGTGAAAATGCATTACAGGCTGAGAGTCCAAATGCAAGCAGGTAACAGCACCCGGGTACATCGTAGCATGTGAGCAACAAGGAATCCCAAAAGCCTAGTAACCAAAACAGTAACACAAAGCATTAAAGAGAAAACTAACACAAAGGGGTAAAAGCTGGAAAACCGAACACTGTGGTATAAAGAACAATGACAAACTGGCAAGGGAACTAGGCTGGTATATGTAATGAATGACTGAAGAGAGCACAGGTGAGCAGGAGGTGAGGTGAGTGCAGGAATATTGAGGGACAGGTGAAGCAAATGAGCAGACAATCAAAACTGGCGAGAAAACACCCACAGGCAGGAAGTCAAGTGATCCGAAACGAGAGGAGAGAGTATAAAATAACAGGAAACACTAAACATGAATAAAACAAAAGAGAACTAAACCTAGGAGCAGGGAAGATCATGACTGAAGTGAGTTGAGCAATTCATTTGTTTTATAGGATTTGTATTTTTTTTCATTAATTTAAAAAAAGCAAAATGAGTAATATATGTATTTAATATTGACAGGATACCCAAAATCAAATTCTGAGAGTAATTATAGGCCATAATTAGGCTTGGAAAGCTCATATAAAGACAACGATGTCCTAAAGTATTACAATTCAGAACAAACAATGTACATTGGATAAGATACTAAAATACCTAAAATGTTGAACTCCTTACCATATTTCAGTTACTGTGTAGAGGAGCAACACATATACAACTATTATGGATCCACTATTCATACTACAGTGGATTCAATGGAACATACCAACAGACTGTTTATCAAGTCAAGGGTAATACAACTTTTAAATATCATCAGATGTTGTTCATTTAGTTAAAGAAAATGAACAGACACCAAATAATTGAACCAAAAGATGTACAATATTCTGTTTTTGGTTGTGTATGTTTTGAAGTGTGCTCTGTGTCTTATAAAAGGTTGTTGATAGTATTATCTATGGTAGACCATTTATGTCACTTGTGTTGAGAAGGGGGCGGGTTATATACGATTTGTCTTCTCCTTGCTACTATAGATCATTGAATTCCCATTATGTTGTTATATATTGTAGCTTATACAATATATGAAAAAGAATTGCTAAATAATGACTGAATCTCAAAAGAAGGCACAATAAAGGATTGCTGCTCTAAAAATAAATCACCTTATTCCACAAACCAGTTGAATTATATTCAACAGATTGAAGTCAAAATAATGGCAAAGTATATTTCAGTTAGATTCTTAGGACTCAATACAATATTTGTTTTAATGCAGTGTATGCAGTATATAAAATCTGCAAAGTACCTTCTGCATTTAGACACATTTAGTAAACACATTTCCTCTGAAATGTATAGGAATAGAAATATAAAGTAGCAAAAAATTTAAATACTCCAAAGTACAAATATCTTAAAACTGTACTTAAGTAAATGTACTTAGTTGCTGATGATAGTCATCTGCAGATTTGCTTTTCAGGGATTTCCTCAAAAGGATGTTGAGGCTTTGCTAATTAGGATCTGTGGAAAGTCATCTGTGTGCTAGTATCACAACAGCAACAACACCATTGTTTTTGACAGAAGCATGAAAAAGCTTGGAATGAATTCCAGCATATTTTTTTTTTTTTTTCTTGAATGTCAAGCCACTGGGAAAGTACAGCATCTGAGCTTTACTTCAAACAAGCACAAAAACATCTCTTCTCTTTGCTGTTCTCTCAGATGCTGAAGTGGGAAATGTGGACGCGCCTGACGCAGAGGTCACAGGTCAGCGATTCGCCCGCGACGTCCTGGACCACCCTCCTGTAAACGACTATGTAAGTGGGCCCGTCTGCACCGCGTCAACCAGGGACCACACCGCGAGATACAGCAGAGCCACTTCAATCAGCTCCAGCTCTGCCTCGACTCTTTCTGCATATAAATCGCTCACTAATTGATGTTAAAACTGACTTTGTGCACCAGAGGGCATAGCAATTGCTCTATATATCTGTTTAAGTAAGGCCAGTTCATTGAAGACTCCCTTAATGTCTCTCCATTAATTGAGAGGAATATCCAACCTTTCAAAGGCAGAAACTTGTGCCTTACAGCGGCCGTTACTTCCTTCTCTCACTTCCTCTTTTCTGAGGCACTACAAAGCAGCACTCTCAAGGTCACTCATAGCTTCACAGATAAGTTACATTTATTAATAATGCTTCAATTATCAAAGCGTATAGAATGACTGGAAAGGCCAAGTGGCATATTTTGGTGGACTGCATGCAAACCGCTCAGTACTGTACGGTTCATCATCCCTGGCTCTCAGGGGAAACCAAATAAAGCAGCATATTACACAGAAATTATGCACTCTGACACAAAAAAATAGCCGTTGCACACTAAAGATAACAGGTGAAAAGATATCCGACTCACACATTCGGCACTTAATGGTGAAATGAAGCTAAATTCAAGGATAATGAGTCGGTTTCTGTCTCCTCCTCAGAGCTGTGAGAGACACGCAGAGAAATGAGACATCCTATAATGTTGACATTTTTCAGGAACGTCACAGAAATATCAGGAACGTTTCCCCCCCCCCCCCAGCCTCCTCTATCTTCTCCCTCATCGTCTACAGCAGGAGATGCAGTGCTATGCAATTAAAACATACCAGTGGATGAAAAACTCGGCTCTCCTTTTGAAACGTTCTGGCAGTTGGGTAATGTATACCACTGCAATCCATTCCAGCGGCACATCCATGCTCTGTTTGTGGGTCCAGTGATAACAAAGGTCTTTGTGGCCAAGCAAAGGCCAGGCAGCAGTCTGTAATTGGGAGTCTGAACTCTTGCTCATTTCTTTTTTTTTTTTTTGTTGCTTCGTCCAGAACTCATGTAAATGTGCACGCAGTCAGAAAACAACCAAGCACACACACACACACACACACACACATAGGCTGCTGCTCACACTCTATGTAGATCCTTTCATCTATCAGACACATAATAACATGCATTCACTTCATCTGCGTTTCATAAGTCTGAATTTGAGGCGCCGCGTCTCCCCACAGTTCACGTTTGTAAAGTAAAATAATCGTTTGACCCCTTGTGACAGACGTTGACGGATATATGAAACTGACCTTTGCCGCGGCCGCCATGTCACAGTGCGGTGTGTATCAGAGGTGGCCCTGAAAATTTCAAACTAAATAACTACCATCTGGCAAGGCTGAATGGATGGTACCACTGTGATTGACCTATAAAGCAAAGAGGGGCTTCCAATATGAATTGACCTCAAACAAATACACGTGTAAACATGCTTGGTGTGGGTTTCTGCCTGCAATTGGGGTGTTTGTGTTGTGTGTGTGTGTGTGTGTGACTACATTCAGGGTCAGGCTACATGGCTGTTCATGCGTAAAACAGAGGTGCAAAAAGCTGAAGGAATTTAAATCCGCGAATGCAGGAGCTGTTTGTGCCTCCGGAGAAATCTTTACACTGAAGCTAAAGCCCATTATCACTCTGGTTCAGTGTTTACTCAAATACATGACTATCTCTGTATTCAATTACATCCAATATTATTGTCATTCCACCTCACTGTAGAGCACACTGAGATGAGAATCTGAGATCGGGGACAAGCGCTGAGGCGGTTTTATATGTTGTGACTGTCCTGTGCCTCTACATAAAAAAATCCTTTTGGAATACAAAGCAGGGTATGAAGCAGAAATGTTATCTCTGTTGTTTTGATCCCAGAATGAATGTGAGGAGCTCTGCTATGAGATTTAATACCACACGTGCTTCAAGCTCATGAAGAGCGGTGATCAGCGTGTGTGAAATAACACCAACAAGTGTGGAGATTAGGGGAGCCGTGCTTTGATTCATTACATCTTATTGAATGACTGACGCAGTTTTCTACTTCGCAGACTCATTCATATCCAGTGCCTCATATTATGCACAGAGGTGCCTCTGTGTGTGAGTGTGTGTGTTTGCATGTGTATACCGGAGTGTGTGATGAAATCAGATGCAGCAAGGGGGTAATGGCTTTTACTCTTCATTAATGCTGCTTGTTTTTGAGTGACTGCCTCAGATTTCCCAAGGTGAACCATTCTTATCACCGCAGCATCCCACTAGAGACGGCAACTCAGAGCCAGAATGATTAATATGTTCCCTCCGTTTTAAAAGGATAGCTCTGATTAATTGTCTTTAAGGTACAATGCTGCCTATTGGCTGTTTGTTTTGATAATCGCTGCATCATTTGAATAAGATATTTTCTTCATTTTCTTCGTGGAGCTCCAGATTTTCACAAAATCCCTGTTTGGTCTGCGCGCAGCAGATAATATTATCATTGGTCCATTGACAGCTTTCGTGTTGTTTCCATAACAGATTGTTGCCTGGAAGCTGATGACCCGAAACTTGACTGAAACAATAAATCATTAAAAGCCTAGCTGCGCTTGTCATAGTAATAACTCAAAGCCAGCTATCCTAGACGTCATCTGCAGCACCCTGTCTATGTGTTTTAAGTATGTCTCACGAGTGTAGCAGGCTGTAGATTCTTATGAATCATGCTCATGGTGAATTTCTTGTTACGTGACTACACTAGAGAAAACAAATAGATTTGTGTAAAACCATTCTGACTGACTGCCCACTGACTTAAAAAGTAGATGCAAGAAACACCCTAATTCCCACACTTAATGTAGCAGGGGACTGAAGGGACATGTGCTCCTGCGGGTCCTGTCCTTTTAAAGTCCCACACATTTTCTATTCCCAACAGTGGATGTGTTTATTTCTGCACTGCTGCATGTATACTGAGTCACTGGAAGCGCTTGCAAAGAATTATGCCAGATTATTCTGAATGTGAAGTCATCGACTCCTAGATCGGAGCAGTTTAATGAGACAGCGCCGGATTGTCTCTGAGGATTCATTTACTAAAAGCGATTGAAATGTGGTCAAATGCGTACTGAGGGCAGTTGCTGCCTCAACTTGCGAGGTGAGTTAAGTGGCACTTCTCCGAACCCCATTTGGAGTTGCTCTTGATCAAAGGCATGGCACTCAGCCCTACGGGGGCATGAACCAACCGGCACAATGGAAAAATCCAAGGGCCATTAATTCTACCCAATTTACCTTTCGTTTGGGTTTCATTTCGCCCCTCTATAAATTCAGAGGCAGCCAGCAAGAGCAAATGAAAGAATCCTTGTTAGGCGATCATTATGCTGCTAATTGCTTTAGGAATGTGCCATGCACTTACAGTCAAGGTCAGGGGGAGGGCGCCAAGACGTGGGGAGCTGTAATTTGAATGCTCTATTGGAGGAGGGGCTGCCATTTTGGTGCAGAGAGTGGGCCTCGGTCGAGGGAGTTAAGAGGTCAGAGATGAAAGAAATAGTGTAATTATGCCGGTAACTACCAACGTTAGAGTCCCTTTGATTGAAGATAGCGTCGGTAGAGAGGCTGTGAATGCTGGATTCAGAGATGGGGCGTTGTCAAGTCGTGCTACCTCCGGTATAATAGAAAGGTCAAGGGTGTTATATCATGTTTTATGCTCCTGCAGCTTAAATCAAGCTCGCTCCCTCTCCCCGCTATCTTGATCTCTTTGTCACGGTCATCAAGCATGGCACAACTTTGGATTTTCACAGACATTAATTCTAATCTTTTCACTCGTTTGGTTTTTACATATATTCTACTGACATACAAGGAAAGCAGGCTCATCAATTCCCGCCATCTTTTTTTTTTCTTCTTTGGTGTTTTACGGCAGCTGGCATCTGTTATGTTGCATTGCTGCAAAGTCGTCTTCTTCTTATTATATTATTATTATTATTATTATTATTCTATTCTTTGCCTTCGTCCTCTTCCTGCTCTTGCCTCGGGAGGACTGGCATTTGACGTGTGTGATTGTAACCCTGCCCACTGCTGTGTCCTCTGCAGAGAGACATCGGGATCGAGCTGGATAACCGCCTGGATGACCACGGATACTGCTGCCAGCACTGTCGCCGTGGTTACCGCTACTGCCGCCGCTACCACGAGCCCTTGGGTGGCTTCAACCCGTGGCCTTACTACTACCAAGGAGGCCGGGTCATCTGCCAGATTGTCATGCCGTGCAACTGGTGGATCGCCCGCATGCTGGGCAGGATCTGAGGAGGGCGCGTGCTGTCTGTGTCTGTACATGTGGGATTTAAACTGTTTATGTAGTTGTAGGTGCAAATTCTGCTTTTATATCCCGGACCACTTAAGAGACCACAGCAGTCCATTACACACAATTATTATCCAATCTGTAGGTTGGCCCACTGAGTATTAGTCTGTTTAAACAGTCCAAATGGTATTTGAAGCGTTCTTAAAAGGCATTGCTCGTTTACAGCTGTCTAATTTTCTTTGCTTATCTAACCGTTATTATCCTTGCTATTTGATTCTGTTGAATTGGTGCCATTTAGTTTGGAGGATGTCACCTTAAACTAATCTGCTGCAAAAAAAGGGGGGGGGGGGGGCACACACTGTCTGTCTCGACCTTGTCATGCATTCATTTTTTTACTTTATAGGTTAAAAAGACTTGTTCTACTATAATGTATGAACATGTTGCTTTCTTACAATAGATCAATATGTGCAACAATCTGAGTGGTGATTAAGTATACATGTTTTGTCTCAGTTGTTTGTGACGATTGTTGTTATTGCTTCAGTAGATTAAAAACCTTCCCTATATTCACATACAACTAGAACACTACATGCATCATATTCAAATTAAGACAAATTTAGGGGAAAATAGAAAGTAGCTATAACAGAACTAGAGGAAGCTTTCCTTGCTGGCTTTATGTGTTTTTAAGATCATGTTAAACTAAGGAGGTACAGCATAATTGAAGATGCACAGACCTCGGCTGTCTTTTGTGATGTAGTTACTGTTGTCTCATGCTCCATTGTTTTCCATCTTGTTGCAATCCACAAAATGCTTTAAATAGTGCTTCTGTTCAAACAGTTTCTTCTTTGCTGAGGCGATTTTAATCGGCAACACCACATCTCAATCTGTCGAGCTGAAATAACTCTCATCTGCAAGTAACGGATAAGCAAGTGAGATAGGCGTTTGCAATTGATGGTCTGTCATCAGAATAACAAGGTGCATAAATGCCCAAGAGTATTCAAGTGATGTGGGATATTAAAAGTTTAACAGAGAGACAAAAATGGAGCACTCATGTTGTCATAGTTTGCTTTGAAGCCTTCTGTATGTTTCAGTCTCTTGCTGGATTTTTTTCCAATTAAAATTTGTATGTATGAATAATCCGAGTTGTCCTATCATATGAAACAATATGATTTGAAAGCTGATGAAGTGTGGGTTTGAATCTGACTCACACAATCCATACAACAGGCAGACCTTCTCCATTAGTCCCATTGCTCATTAGCAAAAACATTTAGCGTCAAATTGACAGGAAAAAAAATAGACGTGCATGCTTTTATAGTTTCTTTCATAACCATAGTCTCGCTTGTGTATCTGATGCATAATAATGCATTGTTTACAGTAATATAAAAGAAGCACCTCGCCTGCTAAGTAAAACTAGATGTTGACTCATGTTGGCTCAGTGTGATAATAATGTCAGTGATATCAATAATATTTGGCAGCGAAATGGATTTTGTGAAAAAGGGGGCGAAACATATTACTGTATGTAAATGTTTTATGGATATGCTCATAAACGAGTTCAGACTGCAACCGTATTGTTATTTTTAAATCAATAATGTCAATAGCCCAAAGCAACGTGTCAAGTAAAAAATTGTGGCATGAGTTAACAAATGCAATAATTGCAAACATACTTCAAATAAACTGACAAGTGTACAGCAAAGCCCCCGAGGCATTTCTGAAAAGTTCATAAAATCAGTGTTTATATTATTCATTTCTTACTACGTCCCCGTTATCCCAACAAATAGTCGAGTGTAAAACGGATGCATACAGCATGCTGGTTGCTGCTGCTGTTGTTGGAGAGCTTTGGCTTTCACAACATTGGGAAATAGTGTAAAGTTATTTTTTTTGTAAGATGCTGTTAGTTGTCTATCTGCCGAGGTCTCTGAGGACTTTGAGGACTCTTTTGTGTAGTCGTGAGAGTAAATTGCCATGGAAGCCCTGAGATTTGTTCTGAAAGGGACGGCTCACCCTGACTGGAGAGGATGATACAGATATTACAGCTGGCTCCCTGAGAGCTCCTCGTGCCTGATGGCACAAAAGTCCAATATTAACCATGAAAGTCAAACTTTAAAGTACAAACGTCTCACAATTAAAAATCATGGATGAGACCCAGAAAAAAAAATATTGGATAGTGGTGACACTGCAGTTGTACTTATATGAGAGCAAAAAATAGATCACGGCCCAGTTGAATGCCCAAACGTGCATCCACGTCTTGGTATGCGATACACAAATATCAGGAGGTCATTAAAAGCATCTTGACGAAGCCAGTTGAATGTTATAAACAGCAAAAATCTACAGCTTTTGAAGCTGTTTGCATTCAGTGTTCATGGTTTCCTTTTCAAATAAAATGGAAACAATGTAAGTAAATTGAATGGGTTCAGTTAACGAGATATTTTGCGATTGCTTTTATAAACCACTTCAAATATAGAGGGAGGAAAGGAAAACAAAGCAGAGTCGGTGAAGTTCAGCTTGAAAAAGGATGTTTTTCCCCTGGAAATGCAAACACTTGGACTACTCCAAATCAAATGATCTTTGATTATCAGCATAGGGCTTTTTAGTACCCCTATATCTATATAAATGAAGGTTAATTTGCATTCCTAATGTGTTTGATGCAGCTCAAAACAGTCTACTTCAGATATAAGGCAAATCTGTGAGTCTATGACAGTGAACACCTTGCCTGTAGACCAGAATGAGAGAATATATCATTTCAAATGAAGCCATGCACAATTTTTCTCATGCGTTTTATACACTGTCTAGGAATACCCCCCTCTAGCACTTGTTTATCACTGTTTTGATGGGGAGAGGAAACAAGATTGACTACTCTGCAGGATAAACAGAGATACCAGGCGTCTACCGGGTTGGCACAGTTCAAAGGATTTTTCCTACCTGGCCTGAGGATGGGCCGCTATCATTGAGACTCACAAGTGAATTAATTCCTTTTGTTACGTATCAAAAATGCAGCGGAACTTCACTCACAGCTGCTTATTTTCATTTCAAATAATCTCTCGTTCATTTAGATCAATGAGTTGCTATTCCGGGGCGGAGGAGAGTGAAAACCAATGTATGAGGAGTGTCTGCATTTAGATTAGTAACCTGAAGGAATAACTCTCTCCAATCCAGACTGAGGCTCAGGCTCCGCTGAGGACACGTGTTACCAGTGCCACCTTGTGTAGAGAGAAGTGTACTGCTGCGATATCAAACCAGGCGCTGGTTCGCCGCGTTTAAAAAAAACAAACATTTGAAAACCATGCCACACCTGCTGTCCTTAAATACATTTACTCTTGCTACTCTTAGAAACCACACATTTTAAAAGCGGTCTATTTAAATCTAACCTTGGCCGCAAGTTAACAGACTGCATATGGCTGCAATGGCCATGAGACCGCAGTCATCAACTCCTTTTCTCTGTAATGTTGCAGTCAGTCTGGTGACCTGATGGTTAAATAAGCTCTCCCTGTACTGTTCCTGCTACAGGCTGGAGGCACAATAATGTCAGCCGTCATCCTTCAACTGCTCCCACTGTGAGAGGCAGCATGGCACAGCAGTAAACACTCGCGCTGTGTCAGTGGCTGCAGGCGACTCAGAAATAGTCCTCCTCTCCCAGGACGCGGCTCTCGCTCCATCTTCAGGGTCTCTGACTTACTAACCAAAGGAATAGCACGGACGCAACGGCTGCATTCATTCAATATTTTAGTAATCCATAACAACTCCCGCTTACCATATGGCAGCCGATCGATGAACCGCCTGTTTAGATGTGATCGAGGGTTATTGGTTGCTTTCATCAGACTCCTTTCAAACTACATTCCCACCTGCAAGAGGCTCAGGAAGATGTTTGCTGGAGAGAAGCAGGTTTTAGTGGTGGCTGAGACTGAACTTCTGGCTGTGAGTTAATGTGTGTGTGTGTGTGTCTGTGTTAACCCTATGGCAAGATTGGATTGTGTGGTACACAGCTGTGCATGTGGGTGTAGACAGAGCCAGGCACAGTAGGCAAGCCCTGCTGCCAAACAGCTTCCTCAACATCACCACCCACCCTCTCCTCCCCGACCCTGAACACACAGACGGATTCAATCCATGCCAATGCACCCCCCCACCCCAACACACACACACACACACACATCAACATAACACATGCTCTAACAGAATCAATCCAAGTCAGTGTAACCCCTCCACTCGCCAGCCACCCATACACACACGCACATACACACTCTTCACTCTGTGGTGACAGACTAGGCTGTCTTCAGTTCTGTCACATGCTAATGTATTCATCCACCCACAGCAACTGGAGAGGCAGTGCTCTTAAGTACATTCCAATCAGTCTCTGGCCTGCTAATGGCTCCAATCCAGTTCCCCACGCTTTTTCTTTCTCTTCAAATGCCATGTGGTCGAATGTCCCTCAAAGCTGCAGCAGCCCAGCAATAGTATTTTGAGGCAGAAATGCTTCATTTTCATTATCTCCACACTAACAATTAATTGTCATAGTAACCCCTTGCAAGCTATTTGTTTCCAAGTTTAATTTGGTTTTCCGTTTAATTTCTCAAAAATGTGACTACTCGTGCGACATCACTTTGCCTCCAACAAAAACAAGAAATAAAGAGGATATACAGTGTTGAAGATTTTAATTAGTACATTGACTTTTTCTTAAAAATCTACTCTATATTCAGCACAACTGAGGCAACTGACAACCCCAAGACAATAGAAGCAACAAAACATAAGCAGCAGACATACCTCAACATCTCACAGACAACAGTGCTTTTGGGAAAAGGCAGGGCAGATACGGAAATATATACACAACGGGAAAAAAAGAAGAAGCAGCAAATCCCCACTCAAAGACAGATTTCTATGCAAAAGTAACCCAGTGTAATTATTGATTGTCAAGAATTTGCATGTACTTCAACAATAAGTATACATTCAGAGTGTCTCTGCAGACCCAAAGCCCTTTGGCTGATGTGAGGTTGTAAAGCAGCGTTTAACTCCTGTATTTAGGTGCCAGTGCAGATGGAGGTCAGTATGTCTAAATGTCCTCAGTCTGCAGCTACAGTCCGGGTGGAAAAGACAACCAATTTAGCTGCGATCCCCGTCAGGACCAGGGGGCCAATCGGATGGCTGGCCTGAGAGGTCCTTTACAAAGTGGGACAGCAAATAAAGAAGGCACAGACGGGACTGACCCGAGAGCAGGAGAGGAAGAGGAAGAGGAGAGAAGAGGGAGGAGGAAGAGAAGAGAAGAAAGGAGAGGAGCTTTTAAAACAGCAATGGTACGTCTTTGTATCAAATCATTAAAGAAACTATGATTTCAAAGACATACTGATTGATACATTTGATACTTTATGCAGTACACAGAACATAATATTTTGGAATATGTCGTCCCTACTGCTTAACTGTTGACAAAGGTAAAGAGGTATGTCTGCTGACAAGAAGGAACCAAAGCACATTCAGTACATGTTTAAATCAGACACACAACAGAGGATATCTACAATAAGAGAATATAACAGGGGAATAATGATGCTGCACTGAGCACTCGAGTCCAAAACTCAAGAAAAATACCAAAGCTGATTATATGGAATGCTATACAAATGAAAAATGTTGGTCTTAAAAAAATACCAAATAAGCTTCCTGGTATTAACGTTCATATTCTTTGTATTTTCCCTCATGTTTACACATGTAAATTTTTTTATACAGAATTTAGAAATTCACAAAATAAATAAATTCACTATGGCCTTAAAATTGAATCTCAATTGTATATATATATATATATATATATATTCTATTTTATATAAACAAGATATCAATCTTGGAGCCCCTGAAGTTGAGGCTGATAAAATCTGTTTTATGCTGCGTATTCTTTCTCTCCTTTTGTGCCTCACTATTTTGCTGTGCCTCCAGTCTGCAGCTCTATACAAACAATTTTGATGTTGGACTGTCCTTGGTGGACAGAAAAATGCCCATTTCCGTAGTAGCACAGTGCTTTACGGCCAGGAGTAATAGAGGGTGAATGCATACCGTTTTTGTTTATATGAAAATAAATGAGTAATATTCTTAAAAGCCATTTAGTCCGTTTTTCATCTTTTTCCCCCAGACGTTTCCACGAAAGAGTCTTGAGCTGTTTGAACTTCCTGTAAGGCACTCTTCAATTAAACTCTGAGATGTGTTTGTTTTTTTCCCCCACCAGATTGGACGCCACGACACAGCGTCCAAACTTGTATGTGGTTTGTTTATAAAAACACACATGTCCTTTGCACGTTCTCAGAAGTCTGATTTCATTGCACCATGTGGCGTTCAGTCCCCAGTTTTGGTTTGTTGCGTTCTCCTCTTTAAACATAAAAGTCCGATGAGATGTAAGGTAAGAAAATTACTAACTGGCACATTTGGTGGACAGGGATCTCTGGTCTATCCAATGGCTGTTTCTCCTAGAGGGGGAGGTCGTTGTGCGCGTGTGAGTGTTATTCTGTGTATATGTAAATGTGTGTGTGTTGGGGTTAATGGACATGGAAAATGATCCCAAATCTGAAAACTGACTTCTTAGAAAAACTAAACACTACTCCCTTGATTTTAAAAATTAGGCACATGGTCACAAAATATGTGAGTAAACAATAAATCCTGAGGCTGAACTGACACCATTCTGTGAGATCCCTCGCTCTGATCTTTGATCAGATCACTGCGGTACGGAAAGAAAACATTCAGTCTGTGGTCAAAATGGATTCAATTGTTGTTTTTTGGTTCGGCTTGTATCCTTCAGCCCTAGGCCTCTGCAGGCTCTGTCTTTATCTGGATAAAGTTTGCAGGCATTTGGACAGACAGTGGCAGCTCTTGCAGGCCTTTGACTCCCTGCTCGGGCTGCAGGGACATCTCCCCACGCACTTCCAGCTCCTCCACAGGGGTCAGACCCTCACTGGGGCTGCTGCTCTGGGAGAAATGTCCATTAATTATAGTTTCACTCATTGCCTCGTAGCCGTGGCTTTGACTGGTATCAATGATCACAGTCCTATACTGCAGCTCTGCTTCCCCTATCTCAATCTCTTCTTCATCAAATGTATTTGCTGCCAGTGATGGATCACCGTTCACCATCGAATGGAAGTAGCTGGGGTCCAGCATCTCCTCTTTGACCTGCAGACCCATGAGGTCGCTGGATTTGAGCACCGTGGCAATTACAGTGCCGGGCTGCTGTGCCACCATGGTCTGCCCACTGGTTGTGTTGATGGTGACCAGTCGAGGGAAACTGCAGAGGTTGGAAGCGGTAGAACTAATGACTCCTGCAGGGGAAGTGCAACAGGAAGTGGTGGAGGAGCCAAGACTGGTGACCAGGAGGTGCTGAGGGAGGCCATCCTGCAGGTTGTTGGCTCCACCTGCTAGAGGGGCCGTCTGGATGGTGAGCACATCTTTACCACCTGCAGTGGTGGAGGGCATGGTGTGGAGAATAACCCGAGGGGGGGAGGAGTGGCACGAGTCCCCGTTGGCCAGAATAGTGGTCAGAGGAACAGAGTGGAGAGAGCCGGGAGAAGTCAGGACCATCGGAGCAGTCATGGCCCTGAAAAGACAAAATTAACTGAATATGCACTTCTGTTTTTTCATCTTCTCTGATGGAGCGCTTTGTAATTGAATATTCAGTTTGAATCTTTGCAAATATAGACAAGGATTATTCTTTAATGGAACACTATTGAGAAAGTTATCCAGTGCACAGCTCTGATCCTAAACAGCAGTACTAATGCCCTTATTAATATAACAAACGGCGTTGTCAGCTGCACTGCAGAAGTGATTATTCTCCTTGATTCCTAACTGCAGACAATGTTTAACAGCTTCAAAAGCAAGATGACTGATAAAACATTGTTTATACAAGCAGTATAAATACAAAAAAAAAATAGAACACCAAATCAACACCTCTCTCTGACATCAACAACAAATTAACTGCAGGGCTACAGGATTATAATACTGTGTACTGTGTCCCTCTACATCAAAGCAAACAGTTTATCGAAATTTCTGAAAAGCTGATAAGATTTCAAGTTAGAATTTAATTCCCTTTCAAGTTGCCACTAATAAAGGGCCGACATGGGTTCAGTCAGTCATATAATGTGAATTTCAAGGACAAGTAGTTTTGTCCATGTGTATAAGAACTGTATTCAAGTAATTTTGAGTGTGTCAGGGGTTCTCAAATTTGTGAATTTCCAAACCACCAAATGGAAGAGTTTTACACCTCAAACACTCCTCTGAAAAGACTTTTTACCATCAAAGCATCTGGTGGGTTTGGAATACATCCGGTCTCAAAACTCTGAGGTCCACACTGATTGTGATATTTGACAGATGCAAAAATCTGGAAACAATATATCAACTGATGTGAATTTTTCTTTACATAAATACATTGATGGGGCATCCCTTACAGGAATAGTTTGAGGGTTATTTGCTTTCTTGTGGAGATTGAGATAGGAAGGTTGTTACCACTCGTGTCATGTCTGCTCTTTAATGCCGGTGAGTTTATCTTAGCATAAAGACTAGAAACAGGACGAACCAGCTCGCCTGGCTCTATACAAAGGATAACTGAAATAAGCCTAGTAGCACCTCCAAAGCTCACTAATCAACACGTTATATATTGTGTGTTTAACATGTATCAGGTTACAGATACAAGTTATGCTAGGTTATATACCGGTTATGTGCTGAAACTATTTCTTTACTGGAAACAGCGACTGGCGATCTCCTACCTCATAGCTTGATCTTGGATTGCCAACCCGTTGGCCTGCAACATGTGGACAGAGTGAAGGAGCTGCTCAGTCTGTCCATTGGCTTCCTGGTACGGATATTCATCACTAGGCTCCTTCTTCATGTTCTTGGCTGAGACATGATGCTGACCATGAGCCCTCCCGTGCCCTTTGGACCCTCCACGGACCACGGGCCGCCCGTTGGTAGGTCTGTGATTCCCATAGCCGACATTGGCATCAGAACCTCCGTCTTCGTCCTCGATCACCACCAGATCTGTTGGCATCTCCTTAAACTGATAGACCAGCCGCTGCCCCTCCACTTTGGCCAGGATGCCTCTCTGATAGTAGTACCTGGAAGATGAAGTAGATAAGGAACATGAACATATCTGTGTCAGAGCTGAATGTGCATGATGACGAAGCTTTAGGTTTAGCGTGGTGCCCATTTGTAAGTTCCCCTTACCTGAGAGCTCTTCCCATGGTCTCATAGTTCATGTCAGGCTTGTTCTTGTGTTTGCCCCACAGCTTTGAAACAGCCTTGGAGTCCACTAGCTTAAAGATGCCTTTCTCCCGCTGTGTCCACTTGATGTATTTGGGACAAGTGTTCTTATCCTGCAGTAGAGCCAGAAGGAATTCCCACAGGTAGATTGTGTTGCCTGCAAATTGGAGGGGGGGGACTAAATTAAGTCATGTTTTCAACATTCAAGCACATCAGACATTCATAGTGGGGCCTTCGAGCTGTGCTATAGACATCCATAATGCATTTGGTAATTTAGAGTCATGCATAAAAATATTATATGGCAGCTAAAAGCTTGCAAGAGAAACTACTCTTTTGCAATCACCATTGTCGTGTCGGGTGTATGTGTGCATGTGTGCCTTGGAAGTGAACTAATTATACCAAGCCTGGGAGTAGATTACTCTAATTTGTAAGATGCTTTGGCCAGAAGTGGTTAAAAACAGAAACGCTCCCAGTAGCCACTTGAAGGGTGACAGGGTGATGTATATGTGTGCAGCTGAACCCGCCATCCCCAGCCCCCTCCTCTTTGTCACACTGTATGCTGCAATGAGGGTTCACATCGCGCAGCACCAGTGTGCTTCTATTGGTGGAGCATCAACCTGCCCCCCAGCCTGCAATCACTTCTGTTTCCCTGCGAAACACAACACTCCGAGATCCCCTCATCCATTAACTCGCCCAGATTCAACCCAGCCGGACTGCAGGGGTTGAGGCCTGCTGTTTGCACACTCCACAGGAGGAAACAAAGCGTACACAAGAGGAGGGGAGACCTTGATTTTTATTGGCTCATTACAGGGAAGCGGACAAGTTAGCGAGGCTTACCTTTACCCTCTTTGCTCTTCTTCCTGAGTGGCAGGTTAGGGGTGGTGATAGGAGAGCAGGGACGCACCGCTCGCGGCTTCCGCACTATGATTCAAATTGAGGGGTTGTGTGTTATGAGGTGAGAGGTTGCAGTGAAATCATCCAATTACCTACAACACTGAATTTTTAGTACAAGAGATAATTCCTGGGTTGTAAAAAAAAGAGGACCACAGTGTTACCTTTGGTTTTTTTCTGAGGTTTTAAGGGACACTTTTGGGGTATCTCATCCATTGATGAAGTGTCCTCGTCTAGGGACATGTCAAGGGCACCATTATCCATCTGGTCAGGCCTCAGGGGGGCGTATGTCAAGTCTGACTCCAACAGAGTGCCGTAGGTGTGAACTATACATCAACAAGCGATACAAAAACACAGAAAAAAACATGAATAGAACCTTTAGAACTCATCTCATGCTCAAAATATGATCGATGTCTGATCAAATTTGAAATGTACAATATGAAATGTAACTTACTCATACGCTTCTCGTCCAAAATGTTGTTTGGAGACTCCATGTTAAGAAGAGCTGCTGCAGCTTCATTTGTCTCCATGCTGTCCTCTGGGTCAGAGACTGTTGTTTCTGTCCAGCAGACAAATTCATCATTATGAAATCCATGTGGGTACCTACTGTGTATAATGTATGACTGATACAGCTGAATGGCTAGTTTGTAACATCAAGACCAGTTCCACTTGTACCGAGGGAAGTTTGTACACTCAAGACATTGTTGTTGCTAGGTAAGTAAAGAATTAGGAAATAGGGATAAAAAGGTCTTGAGCAGGTACAGCCTGAAAAGTCTTTTAAACGGCTACTCTGTATTTTACAGGTCCGTAACTCCAAAATAATTTTCAAGAAGTTTTCAAGAGAGAATAATTTAATGTTTGACATATTTTAAAGAAAAGAGGATGTCTTTTTAAAATAATAAATTCTTTGACTATTTATTATTGGAGAGGTTGTTGTATTGTATCCTTGCATATCAACAAATTTAATATTTTTGAATATTCAGTTGACTACTGAGCACTGACTAAAGACTCTCTAGGTTATGCTAATGATTAAACAAGAAGAATTAATTGGACGTGTACCAATTGAACGCCGTCTATATTTTCCTGGTGATTAGTATCAAATTACATATTGCTTGGAAATGATGGACTTGTAATGTAAAGCAATACATACAGTAGATGGTGAGATTGTATGTGCACCTAACATAGCACAGTTCCCTTTAAATGACAGTAAAGTCAAATATTTTTACCTGAGAGGACGACCCCTCCGACCAAGATGGAGGGCTCCTCCACGACATGGAGCGTGGTGTCCACCATGATGCCGTTGGTCACCTCGTCGGACTCCAGGCCTGAGTAGACCTGCAGCAGATCGGCTGCAGGCACTTGCTCAACAATCACAGCTGGAAACACTGACGGGTCGTCCAGCTGAACAGAGAGAGGACACAAACATACAGAGAAAGGTATGAGACATTGTAACACAGGAGCTAACACAGGGAGGCAGGGGACTGACGGTCTTTGCACATACCTAAATGCAATAAAAACACCATTAATTCCTCCACTACACATCATAAATGCAATATAAAAACCCCAGATGACATCACATTAATGTTATCACCAGGTTTGGTCCCTCATCTTTATTGCCTTGTAAAATATTGAATATTCGTACTCGATTTCAGCTAATGTGGAGGCACATAGCATGGAGGAGAGCTCATATCTGTGGTGTTGCAGCGGTCCATAGGGACCCACTGAAGAAGACAGGAACCAGCTGTTTGATTTGGCCTACTTCTCCTGAGAAGTTAATCTTATGCTCAGAAATTATATAAACCCAATTGAATGTTAATGGATCAATCGTGAGTTGCAGGCGAGCACCCCCTTCATCATGTCCTAAACGTGCTTTGGGAATTCTAACCTCGCCGTCTCATTTCAGGCATGGCTCAGCCTGATGCAGGAAGGAGCCGAGGGATGAGGCGAATTACTGGAGCTTGGGCCAAACCGTTGAAACAACCGAGGAGCCCAACATACTTGAGAGTTCCTCAAACACAGACTGAGTCAGGAGTGCTCACTAGGTGCATGGTTTGTGTCAATGGGGAGAGACATGGGGACTAATTGAGTCCTTTGAATGTGTCCATCATGTGGTCCTTTAAAACTCAGATTTTTATGTTTTTCTAGTAGCCTTAAGTGACAGCTGTTCATTTGTTTATTTCAAAGAGCATCAAAAACATGAGCAAAACATGAACAACATGAGAGGCAGAGCTGATTGAGAAAGCATCAAACAAAATTATACTTTTCTATGTCATGGCTTTAGTTGTAAATGAAAAGGTCACCTCAGGTTCCATGATGAAAAGAAACTCAGAGTCACTACCAGCAGATGGCAGCAGACTGCATTTTTTAAATGTACTGAAATAATGACAGCATCAAGAAGCTACTGAACTTATTTAGCTCTTAGGTGCATTCTCGGTCCACTGAAACAGATACAATTTTGATTAAATGTTCATCTTAACAGATTTCTTTCGGCTCACCAGAGAGAAGAGAAATGCATATTTTCTGAAGTTAAAGGATAAGTCAAATGTAGTCAAATATGTTTCCAAACAAAACATTAATATATGCATAATCGGACAAACACCTGCTGAGTGCCACCTGTAGTCAGGGTGCAACTTACAATGCTGCTCAACAATGAACAAGCTGAATCAACAAGAATATTTGCACTGTTGTCTGGACTCAGGAAGACGTATAAGAAAACTCTTACATTTCATTTACACTCAACAGAAAAGCAGTTATAGATACATGTGTGTGTTATGGGGTGATTTTACCCAGATCAATTAAGAACACATTTTTACGATCATGACCTAAATAAAGAAGTAACCTACTAGACGAAAAGGTGCAGCAGGACATGAATAAAGGCTTATCTGTCTCTTTGCACAAGTGTCCATTGTTGGTTTGGACCTCTGGGGCATACCAGGTGTCTGGGCTTTGAGCCGTGGGGGTGGGAAGAGGAGTCCATGGATGCACTCCCATTTTGGCTACACTTTAACCAGGAAACTAACAGATCGACTCATTATTTGGACATGGTGTTAAGAGGTTAGGCCTCCGGGGTAGGACCAAGAGTAGCTACCAGAGGATTGTTTCTTCGTAATCTGATACACTGTACATAATTTTAGGTGACTGTGAGCCTAGAACAAGATGGCTCCACAAGACGTCTGTCATAATTTTGAAGATCAACAACAAACAGCTAAAAAACATCTCAGCAGCAACACCTCAAGGGGCTAATAAAACCCCAGAGTTTTGCTTTGACTACAGTCAATGTCTCACTGACATGCACTGAATGTTTCCCATTAATCTGAGTCGGTGGTAGACATATTATCAGATAGCTAGACAGTGAGGCTACCACGTCTCCTCGTCTGGGCTTAAATGATTTTTGCTGTCCTTGAGTGAGAGTCAAGCATGTGAGTGAGTGTAGACAAAGGCATTTTGAATATTGGTCTACTGAGCTCCTGAAACAGCAGCACCCCCCGTCAAACGCAGAAAGTCCCACAGTTTGCTGACAGGGCACTAATCGTCTGAAGCTGCCGTCTCTGCTTTTGTTTTGATGCGATCTGGGATCCGTTTTTGCGAGGAACACCATCAAACTCGTCTTGTATTGACATGTAAACCAAGTGTTGATTTGAAAATGCATGTTGCAATGTGAAAGATAATCACTATGAACGAGAGAGAATGTTTTTTGAAGGTTTAAATTAGCGATAAGGTGGGTCTTTCAGGAGAAGTGGCACCCAACATGTAACACAGCATGACAAAAAAATATATAACACATCATAAAGGTTTTTACTGCATCTTCCTCTTTGCTGACTTGAATAGTTTTTCTAGTAGGGAAACAGGAGAGATAAGAATCGGGCCGATTTGCATTTCTGAGTTCCCCTTTCTGCCTTTGAAAGCAACAGCATCTGCGCAAGCTGTTCCCTTCACAACCCATTCTCTTCTGCTTTACCTGCCCAGCCACAATGATTCCAACTGTCTGTACACTTTCAATATCCTCATTATCACAATATCTGACGCATGAGAGATACTACCATGTTGTTGTTTCTATAGCTTAAAAATTAAGACATCTTTAATTTGAATTCAAATCAAGAGAACACGTTTTATTATGGCTACCTGTTGTTGTGCTGGAAAAGTCACAAAGCTAAGTATCACCCTTACATGATACAACTCAGGCAGCTACTTATTGACTTAAAATCCAATATAGCACGGCTAATCATTACAGAATACGCTATTATTTCACCGAGCTCTAACGGCTTGGTCACTGCATGTTGTGTGTGGATACGTTTTGGGGGTAATTCCAGGACTTGGTAAATAGGGGCATAATGCTTACATAACAGGCAGAATGGGTGCAGCACAGAACAAAACTGTAGCGCTGGAACAATACAAGACCTTTGAGTTGAATTATCCCATCCCTTCCAAGCAGCCTTGTAACTGGTCCGTCAGGTTAGGCCTGAACTGGTGCTATTCAGGGATCCAGTGACAACTCGTCACTCTAGATGCACACATACACATATCAGTACAGAGAAACACACATACATCCACACTTACAATCAATCCTCCTCCACAGGATTCAGACACGGTTGTGGGGATGAGATAACTGCAAACCTGACCGGGCAACGAAAAGACACATAGGCACAGGTTCATATAGCATGCACACACAGCAACCTTTGTGCCACAAACACATTCATGGCCAAGCCCCAACCTTTCCCTCCCACGCACCCTAACCTTGCTGCAGGTTTTTCAATCTTTCCATTTCTGTGCTCCCAGCAGCCCACACTCCTCTTCCCAGACCTCCTCCATCCTCCCCTCGGCCTGCCTCTCGTTCCCCAACATGTTATTACAGTAAAAGATCACAGGCTCTGAGCCGCAGCTAATCCTACCCCAGTGACCAATGCTGTTACGTTTTGTCTGTCCTTCTATGAAAAATCTTACACCTATCAACAAGATCTGGTGGAAAAGATGGATGGTCAAACACTGGTCCAACGGTCTTTTGATTGAATAAAAAGTAGTCAAGCCCAGCTATGCATAAAAGCAACAAACAATTGGGTTAAACACGTTTTAAATCTGTTTTCTCCAGTGCGATACGTACCTGATTGATTTCGTCCATCCCGTTGCTGGCAAATTCAAATACCAGTTCACTGGGCTGTACTGCAGTCGTCATGGTCAGTTCAGAGGGCAGGGAGCAGCCTGAATTATCCTGGCTACGACCACTCCTGGCTCCCGAGACTCAGCTTCACCTCACAAAATGGCTGCCCTCTTGTCCTCCTGTTCTCTAATCTGGGCGGTTAGCTCTCCGGGAGAGAAACCACGAGTTTCAGAAGAGTGCTGTGGCCCAGGTGGAAGCAGCCTCGTCCCTCTCTGACACGGAGGCTGGGTCCCGCTGTGCCTGGAGCATCTACACCTGGCAGAGAGAGAGGATAAGAGACAGGGGCTAAGGTCAGGAGACATATTAGATCAGTTTAATTTCACTGAGAGGCAAGAGAGGCAGGGAGGAGCAGGGACAGTCGTGCAGGAGGGCTTGTGCGAGAGCGGATAAAAAACCCAGTGTTTTTGAGACCTAAAAACGCATCATTCAACTATCAACAGACCCACATAGTTTCAGGCAGGGTGAAGTTATCTGTAGTTCTGAAAGATGAAAAAAAAGCCACAAGTCTCAGCAGAGAAATCAGATCACTGTCTTATTCCCGCCTCGCTGCCTGACAAGCCCTCTTATAAACTCACAAAGCGAGTCAAGACCAAGCAGAAAAGTCACCTGTGATTGCCTCCAAAAACAGGTTTCAGGCTTCATGACAATTCAATTGTATTTCTGCAAACAGCTCGTACAGTTACTTTTACTTCTCTTAAATCAAATATCAGAGATGGGACACCAAGATATTTCAAAGTTAAGCCTCGTTCAGTTTAGGCTCTGTGGCTTAAGAGTTGGAACCATTATGGATGTTACTAAAGCGATCTTCTAAATGATGATCACAATATCCCAGAGCAGAAGGTGACATCTTCAAATAGCTTATTTTGTCCGACCAACAATCAAAACTCCAAAAATGTTAAATTTACTATCATTTAAGACCAGGAAAAGCAGCAAATTCTCACACTAGAGAACCTGGAAGCATCAAACGTTTGACACTTTTGCATGAAAAATAACTTTTACCTCAAACATCACGATAGTTGTCAATTCATTTTCTTTTTATCGGCAAATCGATTCATTTTCTGAGCTCCAAAACAAGCACAACAACACAACTTATAGTCAGGAGGATCTCAGTGCACGGCTCATTCTGATTTCATCACACACACCTCTCCTTTCATAGCTGTGTCCGTCCATGAAGTGAAGACACCCCTCGGCACACCCCCGTGACCAAGAGACTCAGGGGGCTGATTTTATGATCACATGAGAGGGTCTGAAACGAACCCTCCCTCCACATAGAAACAGAAGAGAGATGACCCGTCTGATGATGCTCTGGAAGCCCCTCTGTGCTGAACCTCGGGGAGTTACTATGATCACAGTCAGCGGGGGAGGGAAACTCCAAGTCACGTTCCTTGTCAGTGTGTGTGTGTCTGTTGAGGTGTGTCCAAACAACCCAATACCTAAAGCCATGTTTTAGGGCTGAAGGACGGGAGGGGCTGAAGAATAAACGGACACCCAAGGGCCACAAACCCCCCCTCCTCAATCCCAGAGACCAAAGAGCTGGTAGCAGTAGAAAAGTAAGAGATGGCAGTGTTTAGTACACACCCTCAACACACACACACACACACACACACACCATCCCTGCTTTTTCCACTGCTGCAGGGTGGAGCTCATTTGCTTTGAAATGCCTGTGTGACTGGCGAAGTTGCGTACCAGGCCCAATTGTATTTTGAAGCTTTGAAAGGGGGGGGGGGGGGGCAGTAACAGGAGAGGAGGTGATAAAAGTGGACTGAACTTCTGTGCAGCTTGTGGAGCAAAGGGGCCAAACACATTTTACGATTTAGTTTATCTTCCTGCTAAGCATCCGGACAGAATAGTAATATGTGGCCGTGGTCTGGAAAGCATCGTTTTGGGAGCTAGAAGAGAGAGAGACGAGGAAACTAAATCTTTTTGAAGGCTAGTGTTTCATTCCTGTCAGTCCCTCTTGCTGTCTCTGCTGGGCAGTGTCCATGCCCACCTCTGCCAAAGCTGGACGCTGCCGCCATCTGTCAGGAGCTCTTCAGTGCCCTGGACTTCTTGGCATGTTTGCGCCGGGAGAGTGTGACACGCCATTACCAGACTCAAGCAGAAAAAGAGGGGATGTATCGCACAAGGCTTCCAAATGGAGGAAGATGTATAAATCGTGTAAAAACAATAAAAATAAAGTGAGAAAACATTGTTGGACACCTGGTGACTGCAATTATAATTTCAGATGCCCTCATCTGCCCTCTGTGAAGACCAAGACACCCCATGTGGGACGAGGTAGAAGTGCAGCGGTCAATATCTTATGGGATAACTCGCTGCCTTCTCCCACATCCGAGAAGCTGAAACAACCGCGCCCCTCTGTAACAGAGTAATCTCAGTTCCTCTTTTGTCGTCGTCACGATGTATGTATTCATACTATTATTTATCAGACTGTGTCACTGCTGTGTGTATTTTCTATATCCCTCCTGTCAGTTCCTCATTGATCTCAATGGCCCAGTTGGCACATGCTAACAGCAGACAGGGATACAAGAGAGCTAGCCATTAGTCAGACACAGCCTGCACATTATCCCTGAGCACATGACAACAGCTGCCTTGTCCCAGCACAGGGGCAGAGTTGTAAGTGAACTTACTACGTCATGAAGAGGAGAAGAGGAGGAGAACAGCGGAGGGAGGGATGTTAGTCAATGCATAATAGTCCGCAGAGCAAATAGACTGCATGTGACTCACTATGGGTGGGGCCTTCTTTTGACAGACTTGAGTATTTTAGTGTGGTTTCCAGGCGGGGCATCCTGGTGACCCAGAGATCTACTGCATGAAATGTGTAACAGTGGTGTCCTGGGCTTGAAATCCAACCAAACACATATGCTGCATGTCATCCCTCCCTCTCTCTCCTTATAATTCCCATTGCTTTCCGCTGATAAAAACCTAATTGACAACTATCTCAATAAATTGTTTCAAAAGAGCATTACTTGAATCTTGGCCAATTGGGAGCAGCTGAAGAAGCTGTAAACACAATATTGATGTATTATCACCTCATGAAGTTATGGTGAACGTGTTAGCACACATCCAGCAGACACGGAGCAGCATAAGCCTTCATTTGAAGTCATGTTTTTAGTCTCTCATTTTGGCTCTGTTTGGTCTCCACCAACACCTTAAGCCTAGCCATGCTTTATATCTGGATCTGTTGGGGAGCGTGAACACGTGCCAACAAAAACATTGACGAAAAAGACAACGCTACGCCAGTGTCACTTCTCACGTAAGTTTTTGTGACAGAGAGGCTATAAACTCAAACAGATACATTTCGTGGAAAGTTTTAGAAGTTTATTCTTCAGTTCTTAGTTACAACGCTGCAGGTCTTGCTCTATCTCTCTGTCACACACACAACTAATTAGTCGCGTCATGACCGCTAAGACCCAATCACGTAGCGAACGCGGGTGTCTACGTCATTGTTTTTCCAAACGTATGCGTTTACGTCGTCCACACTAGGAGGTAACCCCAGAGTTTTAAAAACGTATCCGTCCTCGAGAGTGTTTTTGGCCTAGTGTGGATGCTCAGTGCAAACATAGCAAAAGAAATGCGTTTTAAAATGGAAACGTAGTAATGTGGACATGGCCTAAGATGTCTAGTAAGAACAGTACAGCGATCTGACGATTTAGAAAGTCATGCAGTGTGAATTTGGCTTCAAAGGAATTATGTCTCTTTAGCTGCTAAATTCCCCAATATGTTCACCAGCTCTTTGCTAACTGTGTCTGTCATCTGTAGCAGAACCGGTAGCACTAATGTTTTTGCTGAAAACAGCAGTCTGCAGTGTCTGAAATCAATTCCGTAGAGAACCAAAACAATGAGCTGTGTGCTAAAAAAAATGCTCCAAAAAGCTGAAGTGAACTGCAGAGTTGGTGATAATTCTCTCTGGTTTGGTCTCTTTCACATCACACTTAGTCATTTAATCGATTGTTAATACAAATATGCAGCTTTACAGAATTTATCAAACAAAAATCTCAAAACCGCTTGTGCAATGTAAGGATTTCTTCTATGTCGAAACAATAAACATTCAACTGTTTTCTTTATAATGAAATAAACAAATGTTGGAAGCCCTAAAGATAATCACTAATATGGATAGTTGATAGTATGGCTCCATCGTGGCCCTTCTCTGTGACCATGGTGATGTTATTTTTTTTTGTCAATCTCCTCTCATCTGGCGATTACAACTGTCTGTTTGGCAGCCTGGTGCGCAGCAGACTGAGGAGTATGAAGCAAACACTGGCCTACACCACCCTACAGCATGGTGACTGCCAGTCGCAATAACAACCAATTAGAGTCAGGATTCATGAACAAATGGAGCATTCCCAGAAGGCCCTACTTCCCCCGCTTTAGGCTCTTCAGCTGAGCTCATTGTTGACCATGAAAGGAGGTAATTTAAGCCAAGCCAATTGAATGACTATGCAATGACTCACTCTGCATGTGGTGAGTGCAAACATTGTGAGATGCGAGAAAAGAACCAGGACAAACTTTACTTATCAGCCATTTTCAGCTCAGGTTACAAATATGCAGATTTGTTCAGGTGCTCAGCAGCGTACTGGGGTGGCTGCGATACGGCGGTCACAGGACTTAAAGATGTCAGCGAGCGGGTGGTATTCCTGGTATTTGAAATCTCTTTTCCACACAGGTGTATGACAGAAGCAGTGATTTTGCCCCTTCATCATGCAGTACTTTGAGACAGAGACAGAGTCCTGCAAAGGTTCAGTTTTCCAAACTCAGCTGTGCCGAGAAACAACGGTGTGCAAGATGGCAGAAAATGAGTGGGCTTACCACTACCATGTCATTGAATGGTTGTCAGCACAGACATGCTGTTTTTGCAGGATCCTGTGCTTTCCTGTAAAGGAAATGACTCAGTGATATGAGGCTGGAGCTCATTCCTGGAGCCCTGTGATAGTCCATATGGGCATCAGGGGAGATTTCTGGACAGCAGTTCCCTTTAGGGAATGTTTTGGTACAGATGTCAGTAAACTGAGCACCAGTATGGAACAATAGCACTTTTAGCGCCAAGGAAAATGACTCAAACACAACTCTGGTGAAGTAAAACCACTGCTCAGTTCAGTGAAAGAAAGGAATGACAACGTATCTATATTAATCTATACTACTTTACAAGATAACAAAAAAATGTGTTGATCGAATGATACCAGGATCAGGTCATAGTGTAGGAAAAGTATTTGCTAATTCAAGAAGTTCTTCTAGTAAGTAGACAGTAATTAAAGAGTTGCATCAATGGCAGACACTGCTGCTACAGCACTATGTCAGCACCATAAAAACAGTTGTGTACAGTATTTACAGTGCATTCTACATTTTACGTACCACCCAGCGTTGCACAATACAGCATGTCTCACCATGTCTCGAACTCCACCATATTGCGCTGAATAAAGGAGTGCTTTCACTGCAATCCGGAGAACACACCATGCGTGTGCCGATAAAATGGCAGAGACGGGCACAGAGGCAGGCACAGACACCGGCTAGCTTGCAGCTGCAGAACACAAGGCATCAGAAAACACGAACGAGGGGGCACTGCGTCCGAGCCAGCACTCACTGTGTCTGTCTTAAAGTAGAAGACATTTGGCTCTGCCGTGCCAGGGTCAGATGAAGACTGAGAGAAAAACGTCACCTCGAGCACAGGCTTTCAGATGGAGAATGGAATTTAATCTCATCTCCTGTGAACCTTGTACTTTTCCACTCAGGCTCTAGGAGAAGGACCCATGGCAGTTGTTTGTGCCAACTAATGCACAATTAGTTATCACATTTGGCATTTTTGAAAGATTAGACATTAGCTTCATCAGGATAACATGGTTTGGAGAACAGGAATAAAAGCTCAGTAATGTCCCCCAGTGACACATGTTCAGAAATGTCTCCAAAGAGCTCTTCTTTTTTGGTCATTTTTCATTTAGATATGAAATATAGATATAATGAGTAGAGAAATGTCACCTGCGTTACATGCTGTTCTCTGTCATATATACGTATAGTCTTCTAAGATAAGATGTTTTAGAACTGGATAGAAAAAAACACCCACAAACTGACCTGTGATTCTTGCACTCACAGGAACAGCATCACTGAGAAGTGGGTTTCTGCTGCTTCCTGTCTGTTAAACCACACAAGAAAATGTCTTCCTCTGTGTAAGAGCGGAAAGTTCTCAACTCCCCCTCCTTCCTTCTCAAACAACATGATATTACTCTGATAGATATGAGGCTTGTGACATAGGTAGCATTTCCAAAATGAATAATATAGTTACCAGAGTTATCTCCAGGAGTGACGTAAAAGATAGAAATTATTTTGACGATCATATCTGCAAATGTGAAACCATTAGAAGTTTTCACACTTCACATTTTCTAGCCTACTACACACAGGTTGGTTTAATGACAACAGGGCTCTCAAAGCCACGCCTGCCATTTGCAGACATCTCTTCCTCACAAGGCACACAAACACAGACAGCATTACTCACGCCATACCCATCCACACACACACACACACACACACACACACACACACACACACACACAAACTGCAGTGTGTGCAACTAGAGCATCCCGCAAACTTTTTACGAGCCACTGAGAATAACCACCCTAAAGCACGTAAAAGTCGTTCATTAACAATGTATAAAAAATTCCATCTGTTGAACTTATGCTCCTGGTTGGTATGTACAAACAAACCTGGATATGTATCATGCAAATCCTTCAAAACTGCATATGCCATTAATTTCCATCCTGACTGCTGTCTTACCAGCTGAATACAAAACTAGCTTTTGCCACAGAGAAGCATGTTTCAATTTAACAGATGCAGCCCATTTGTCAAACCCCCTCCCCCCACCCCCCCCCCCAGCGGCCTATTTCTATTATGTGGCAACAGGCCACATGTCACACATTGAAGTTGTGAAAACAGGACAGGAAATTGCAGCAAAGTTTCAGAAAAGACATTTGCACCCTCAAACATCACAGTGTGATGCGCTGCTGTAATGTCCACAAGGCTGTAAGACTTTATTAGAGCATCTGGACATTATTTGTACAATGCGGGGTAACACATGGTGCATCTTTTCAAAATAACCTGCTAAAGTCTGAAGTCTGATCTTCTAGTTAATATGATCTACTATGTATAATCTACCACCCGAGATGCTTTACATTTTAAAAAATGCAACAGCAAGGGCAGGCTAGAAATGAGAATCCTGACACTACCCTTTGCTAATAAAAAAGGAAATTACCTCTAGGAACCCAACCCTATTCATAGTTCTATCCAAAATGACAACACCTTTTCCAAAAAGCCCCAAACAAGATGCGCAAATTGCATATTATAACAAACAAAGACACAACAATATGTAATCGAATGCGATTTATTTTAGTTTGCAGGTTTATCTGCTATATTATGAAGTATTCTTCTGCAGGCCACAGTCAAAGCTGGTACAAGACAGAATCTATTGTTTCTTATGGATCTATTTATTTTATATGTGGTCATATTACAACCTGCTTTTGAATGGACACTTCTTGTCATGCATGTGGACAAGCAGCAATTACATCTTGACACTGTCCATGTGTCTCTTTTATTAAATCATACAGCATACGCTGTTTCTGGCTCAAGAAGATAGAAAGGAAAATGTCAATCTATTAAGTGAAACCAATATGAACCTAGAAGCAGTTTCCCTCCCTACAGCCTCTCTTGTGTCTCAGCTCAATCCCGTTATTTCAAAATCACGATTCCATGTACAAAACACAAAAGGTATATAGAATAGGATAAAAATCATGCAAGTCTGTGCGTGTGTCAGTTGCCTCACACTGCCCCGCTGAATCCTTTCTTGCAGACATATTTGAAATGCTTCTTCCAGACTCTGCTGATGTTTTGGCTGTTGTGTGGGAGCAATTTGAAGCATGACTAGACTAGAAAAGCTACATTCTCCCTTTTTATACAGTAAGCAAGCCTCCCACTGCATTAGACATGTACAGGATGCTGGAGCATAGAATAAACTCTCTGTAAAAGAAAAAAAAAAGACAAAATATAACTATACAAACTCTCCAAAGACATATTAACCAATGCTAAATTCAAATCCTGAAGTGTTTCTAAAAACAGTGCTACTGTGCTGCATAATGTTCCTGCCTCGCCACACGCCCATCCCCGATGTGTTTACATTCATACCAATACCAACATGTCACAGCACAGGTATACTGGCAGCAGCAACAGCAAGAGAGGACATCAAATACCAGCAGCAGCGTACTCTCAACCAAGCCTGAATAAAAACAAGGACGACTTTCCTGTTTCTTTCTTGAACTATACACCACAGAGCCAATTTTACCCTTGATACCAGTCATCCGATTATGTAACTTCCCACAACAGCTAATTTTCCCGAAGGGAGAAATTTCAGGTTGGAGCTTTTGTTCGCTGTGAACTTTGCCAAAATTCTTTGCACACCAACCTTGCAGCATACGTGTTCAGATGGAGCACTGAAATCTCAGGGCTCCAGGTCTGAGTCAAGGCTGAGAACAGGGGACCCAGCTGTTGCAGAGGAGGCTGCATACCAAACAGGTCTGGACACAAGCAGGCTGAAGTGTCCACCCATAGTCAGGCATGCAGCATTACGCCTAGAGAGGGAATAAAATCAACCAGAGATGAAATAATATCATTTTTCTCTGTCGTGTCATGCACTTTGGAGTCACGCTCTTCTTAAAATGATAGTTCAACATTTTGCGAATTATGCTTATTTGCTTTTTAGATGAGAAAAACTATGTCACACTCACATCAGTAGAGCAAATATGTAGATAGAGCCAGCAGCCGGTTAGCCTAGCTTAGCATAAATACTGGAAACAGGGGTCAAAAGTTAGATAGTTAACCCCATCCCCCCCTGTAAAACTGAAGCTTGTGGATTTTACATTTAGTTTATTTGTCAAAAGTAAACCCACACGTTTAACATATAAACATAACGTATTATCTACTGAGCTTCAAAAGATGTCGGGAGGTGGAATTTGTTTCTTGTTCGACAGAGCCTAGGCTAGCTGTTTCCCTTGATTTAAGTTGTTATGCTAAGCTGAGCTAACCGGCTGCGGTATCAATCTTCTCAACTAACTCTGCAAGAAAGCAAATAAGTGTTTTTCCAAATAAATGTAATTATTTTTTTAAATCCACTATCAATTCTATCGGCCTACAATATTTCACACTTCATTCATTTCTAGTATGTATGATAATAAGTCCTTTGTGGGAAAGGTTAAAACACTATGAAAGATGCTAATTTGCAGTTTGGCAAAGCCTTTTTCAAGATCCCTGCAGATCAAGCTTCAGTTTAGCAGCTAATAACGACTAAATCAACTCTTCTCATCTGATCCCTTGTAAAGCTTCACAGATAGGACCACTCGCACTGAGACAGCTTAGCCCCTTCAAGAGAGCTTATCTGATTTCACACCATTGGATACTAGGTTAGTGTGGTATTAGGTATAGCTGGCCAATGTCTCTAGTCTTGAAGCCGGTAGAAGTCTGCCAGATTCCTGGATCTCAGGACAGAAGTGCTGAGTCATGATGTCAAGTGCGTACTTCAAATGGGGACAAAAACTGTTAAGTCATGTGACTGAACTAACAAGCCTAAACTACAACTGATGAGGTCATGATGAATGTTCGGATTGCATGGTTTAGGTATTACATCATAACTTGCGCCACAGTCAGTTGATCTTGACATGTTTTGTGTAACTATGCTCTACTAATAATGTAAAAGTTAACAGTACTAATCCCAATCATTTTCATTTAGATCATTTATTTCAGCTGAAACCATCAATCAAAGGTTAATTTCACCTCTTTGGAGAAGTATTTGAGCCTGTGCAGGAAGCAGAAGGACAGTCTGGTCAATATTGGAGAAGGCTTTATGAAATACACTCGTTTATGATAGTCGGGAGGTGGGGTGGGTGCAGGAGATGAGGACAATAAACTACCTGGGTACAGCGACAGACGTGCTCAATCTGGTCCTATAAGAAAATATTTACATGGTTTTATTGTTTAATCATATTAAGGATCTGTAATAATTAAATGTTGGAAGTAGAAGAAGATAAGAGTTTAATATAAATAACTCTAAATCTATTGCTTTTTCAGGAGGGTACATCCATTATTAATGACTTATGTACGTGGGAACCTTTGCATTAATACTACTTTGAATAAAGAGGCCTGACAATCAGTCTCCCGAGGGGCTGGGGTTATGTTGTTCTAATGAGAATCACAATGCAAAAACTCAAAGGTAAACAAGGAGTGGCTGTTGCTTAGAAACAAGCAGAGGGAGAGGGCTAGTAAAGTACGCTCAGTGGTACAAGAAAGAGAGAGACGGTGGGCCTCATTCAGCTCAAGGCCCGTAGTGTTTGCAAGGGAGCACAGTGAAGACAAAGCCTGACGAGCATTAACAGACAACTGAATGGATGTTCAAAGTGTTGTGTAGTAAACTGCTCTAACTGGATGAATCAAAAGAAATCAATTGGAAGATGCTGGTATTTCATCACCAATAGCACTATTGCAAAGTTACAGCTATAGCTGTTGTCCAAGAAACATGATGTCAGATACTTTTAACAAAGCTAATATGATGTGAATGGAGCGACACTAATGACCAGCGCTCATGACAGTCAAGAAAGAATAGTTTAACATTTTGGGAAGTACGCCTTTTCACTTTCATGCCGAGAACTGGATGAGAGCGATCGATAACACTCTCTTGTCTGTACAGTGGATAAGAAGCCAGAGCCAGGAGACCGTTAGCTTAGCATAAAGAGTGGGAACAGATGGAAACAGCTAGCGGGGCTGATTCCAGAGGTAACAAATCTGTCCGGCACATCTAATTCCCTTAAATCAACATGTAATATCTTTTTGTAATCTGTACCTGGCCAAAAAGTTGTATGGCAAATCACTGTAAAATCACATTGTTTTTTTTATGAATTAACCAAACAAGATATTAGATGTTGCTTTAATAAACTTTGGATGCAGTGGTGGGCAAATTGTGTTGCTTTTAGACATGGTCCCACTGGCTGTTTCCCCCTTTTTACATTCGTCATGCTAAGCTAAGCTAATCAGCTTCTGGCAGTAGCTTTATATTTAACGGACAGATGTGAGAGTGGTGTCAATTTTGTCATACAAATCTCCGCAAGAAAGCAAAAAAACATATTTCCCAAAAAATAAAACAACAGAAAAAACAGAGAGAGAAAAGTGAAACGTTTCTCAGCTATTAAGCAAAAAAAAAAAAAAAAAAAGGATCTGCTTGATGGGTAGATTTCTGAAGAAATGAAAATGTCACTCTAGAGTTACTATCCTGTCATTTCTGCCAGCAGCTCTGTATGTGTGTTTGCACCGACATGTTTTGTGGCGTTTATCTGTCAAGCCTGTGGTTCAGCCCCTTATTTTTACTCGCATCGTGTTCGCCAAACCAACCGCATGACAAGACAAATTTTCACAGAAAGGGCATCTTCGTGCCTGTAAATGTGGCTCTTTGAGGCTCAATTTAAGCTAAATGAAATGCCTGAGCTTCTGCAACAAGCATTTCATTTCTGGTCATTGAGCCTTTCATGAACACGCAGGCAAAGTTGATGAAAGAGGAAAAAAAAGACATTCAAACAGTATGGAAGCAAAGCATCTTGGAAAAGGAGGAGAGGTCTCAAGACAAACATAAATAAATTAAGCAATAAATGAACTTCAGCTCTGTCCTCCATAACTGAAACCTTTCCACTCACACAGGAGTTCAGCAGATCATTTAAGTGCTGGCGTCATTATGGGCATGGCCAGTTTTCCATATAACAGCCTGCTGCTGAGGCTTCTAGACACAGACACCACTGCAGCTGGGTGTCTGGGTCCAAAGCCTCTGCAAACCATGTGGGCAATCAATTTCCCTCAGTGCCTGGGTCAGAATGCCTCTTTGTACCGAGTGATACTGCATTAAAGGCAACATGATGTTTAAATTAGCACGAGGGAGTGTTAGGGAGTTGGCAACAGAGTATGTCCAAATGTACCCCTTTTTTTCACCATGTTAACTCAATAAGGGTGGAACCCACATAACTGGAAAGAAAAACATTGCAGTGTGAATGTATTTTCAGGCCACTGTATTATATAGTAGAGTGCTAGCAATTTATAGCAGTCAGCTAGCTGTATCATATTCCCGTATCTACAAATTACCGTACAGAAACAAATAACCGTGCTTCAAACAAAGACAGGGCCAACAGAAAGCTGTAATGGAAATTTTTACGAGGTTCTGCATGTTGCTTTTATCTGGCACAAAATAAACCTGCACCTCAAACCTGCCTCCACCCACACAAACACAGTGACAGATAGACTTTCATCAAGACATGCATCATCACGATTTTCACAGTAAAGCAGTACACAAGAGAAAATAGTTGAGTATATTAAAAAACTCTAAAGTTAGTTAGTATGAACTGCATGCTTTCAAAATGACGAGTCACTTCAAAAAATAGAATCAGAACAGTATGAATGTTGGTGAATGTCTGGTAGTTCATAATTTATGAATAGTGTATATAATTATTCCTTACTATCTGATGGCCTCATCATCATCTGAGTTATATGCTATCCACTAACAAAAGTCAACTTTTTATTTAGAAATGTATAGGAAGCACTTTGCATTTTTTTGTTGGGTAAATCCAGCTCCTTTACTTGAGTAAAAGTATCGTATCAAGAATGTACAAATACTTCAATAAAAGTAAAAGTCCTGCATTCAAAAATGACTTAAGTACACATTAGGGCAGCAGAATAACATTATTATTTGTTTTGTATGTAGACTAGTAGCTGTAAAAGAGAACAAAGTACAACATTCCCTTTTCAATGTAGTAGAAGCATAAAGTACCATTTGGAATTAATAGTCAAGTAAAAGTACAGCAGTTGAGTTAACGTACATGAAACCATGTGTTGAGGCTAGACTAGTGGACCTATTTGCAGCCATGTAAAGAGGAGACTGTTGCTTTTGCCAGCACAGAATTTGTGCCCTGACCGGCATGGTACGTTGCATAACCAGGAGTGTTATCAAAAGGTGTGACCTGATATTCCACATATTCTCTCTCATTCTCTCTCTCATTCTCTCTCTCTCTCTCTCTCTCTCTCTTTCTCTCTCTCTCTCTCTCTTTCTCTCTCTCTCTCTCTCTCACACTCACACTCACACCCTGTCTTTCTCTCTGTGTCTGAAAACATGACACTCTTGTCTTTCACCCATTCCTTCTGAGTCTCATACAACTCTTTTAAGGCTTCTATGTATTGGCAAGAATGTGGTGATACAATACATCCCATGATACAGGGGTTACGATTCAATAAACTGAAATATATTGCATTACTGTAAGCAAGGCAATACACTGCAATTTTTGTATTTCATTTAAGGAAAACTGCCATCGTACAAAGAACAAACCACTAAGTCTGACTAACGAAAAGTTAACTTTTTTACACCACCAGAACAGTGGGATCTACGTTACGTGACTGTAACATCCAACATCATAGCACTACTTGTTATGCAATCTGAGACACTGTCTGCCATGAATCTTTACATGTAAACTATTAACTAAAAATTGATATTGTTTTTGAGAATTGTTAAAATATCACAAAACATAATATCGCGATACTGAAGTATATCGATAGTTTCTAGTGGATTTAAAGCAGTTTTAATGTGATAAATAAGAGCAAAGGACTCTATCAAAAGTCTTGTCACTTCACCATCAACAACCACTAATGCAAGAATTTAAATATCTGAAAGACCTAAGCCAACCATTGAATATTCTGGACCGTCATCAGTTTTGTAATCACTGAAAAATCCGGTATTACATCACATCCTTTTAAGTTCTCAGTAAATAAGTCTGAGGAAAAACACAAGAGGAAAAAAGTATCATCCCTGCTTCCTCTGAAAGGAAATCTGTCTGGACTGGGCTCCGTGTTCAGATGTGATGATCACAGTTCTGGCTTGTTGAGTTCTGCCAGTCCCAGCATGCTCTTAGTATGAGACAGTTGCAACACGGGACTTGCTCAATCGATTTCACTTTATTTATCAAGGGAGGGTTTCCTGAGTGTAGACCTGCAATTTATTAATACAGACACACAAGTGGCTTTGGCCTGCTGGGTGTAGCTATGCCTGGAGCACCTTGAGACACAGTATGTGCCTTGCTCAGTGGCACCTTGACAGTAGCCATAAGGGCAGAGGAGAGTGTTACACATTAACTTTCCCCACCCAGTTTTTTCCAGCCGGTCACAGGAGTTCAAACTTCCCGTCACAAGCCCACTTCTTCAACCTTTAAGTCTTCATCCACTCCAGAAAAAGAGAGTGCCATGGAAATTAAAATGTCTCAGAAGAAATGGAGAAACTGACAAGGAAACATAATGCAAATCTATTCAAGCCAAATAAAAACATCAGAACAGGATAGGAGTGCTGATACTTTCTCATTTTAACATTTTCCAGGCAGTTTTATTAAAAAACAATGGCTGTGGATAAACAAGACGTGTCTCTACTAGTTTCACTATGAGTCCACTGGTTTTCTGCATCCTCTTCAATAAATGGGAGATAATAATGCATTAAGGATTACCATGAAATTCTGGTCTCCTTTTTAGTAGTTATAACTTCTAATATATTTACATTTTAAGACCAAACTAGTTGAGTTTAAGCTTGTATATGCTACTGACATTCAAATCAGTATAATATTTAGCCTGTGCAAATGCATTTTATTTCCATTATTGCAAATTGGTTCTCAGCCTGTTCAATTCAAGGCATAAAAAACTGTTTGTACCTGACCATACAAAGTTGGCTCTGTTGTTATTCTCTTTGAACCATGGGCCTGTAACATAAAACTGAATAAATCCTCCACTTTTACATATCTCGGCATGCTGGGACTGTAGTAATAAACTCCTCCCCACCTCCTCCTCTCGTCATGCCCTTCTCTTGCAACGCCTCCGTCCTCTTGCCCAAGCCTAATGATCTAATTACAGGCCAAGACTTGTTGACTTTGTATTGAAAGAGGAGCCTATACCTGATACTACTGTCCAGCCCCCCTTCGTCTCTTCATCAGCCTCTATGTCCTCTGAATGAGGCACACACAAAGCCTCGCTAAACACCACCTTCAGCATGAGTTCATCCTCTGAGGCACGAGGGCCTCATTTACAAGCCAAATCAGGGTGGGCACAGAGTACCAAGAGTTAGGTCAAATGCAAACTCACCTGCTCAACACAACAGCTCTTTTCACTGACTGCATCATGAGTTGATACTACAGCAGGTGCTAAATACAAATAGACTTCAAGGCCAATTGATCCAAAGCTAATAATAGCTCAGTAACTGAGCCTAAAGTATACAGATATCTATTTGGTATCTCTGCGATCTCTGTACTTAGTTGCATGTATTTGGCCTCAACCGCGCGCTACGTCAGAAATTACATCAACAAAATCAATTATGAATGCCGAACCGATGAAACAATCTCTCAAGCTTTGGGCTTTTGCATATGGCTTCATAAAACAAGATCAACCAAAATTGGATAAAATCAGTACTGGTTCAGGGCTTACTGCATACTGCAGTGGCTTTTGAAGACAGAATCGATAAAAAGTGGGTGTGAAAGCTAGATGCTTCTCAAACTGTAGTCGTGTTTATTCAGTGATAAAGTATGTGCTCTCTTGTGGTCCCAAAAAAGTGCAGAGTAGATTTCTGGTGAAACAGGAAGTGTGATTGTATCTCTGCTGCAATGAGTAACTTTTAGAGACAGATTCTCACCAGCATTTAGACGAATAATTGAACTGGCTGATGGTTGAAAAAAAATTACTTTCGAAAAGGTCAACTAATATGGGCATAAAAGAGGAAGCAACATACTGTGGGACCAAACTTCTCTCCGAAATTGAACTGAGGACCTTGTGGGCCTCTACTTTACAAGATGAGCAAACTTCTGTTCTGATGAACTGAAGATGAAGCGCTGCATGACTGACTCCACGCACAACACTGTGGAGAGCAACACCTGCAAAACCACAGCAGTTTTCGTGCCAACTGATGCAGCATTTAACATGCTCAATAAGGACTGCATTCAACTTTGAAAGCAGTCACAGATCAAAATGAACAACATCATCAACATGATGTGTAATTACAGATCACTACACCATGAGAAATACATGTGGGCTTGGTCAAGGGGCTTGCAAAACACGGTTCCCGCCCTTGCTTCAGCACACCATATAAGGCAACAATTCATAAAAGAAAAGCAACAATCAGATAGTTGGTATTAGTTGTTAGAACCACAAACACAGAAACTCAAACCCATTACTTGATCTCCCGCGTTATCAAGCCATAGAAAGTGTCAACTTCAAACCAGTTCCCTCAAACTGGTTTGATCTGCGCAGCCCAACATAAAAGCTTAATATGTAAAACTCACAGTACTATTAATACTGTTTTACTGCTTCCTTGAACACATTTTGTTATAGAAGTAGGCTTAGAAAACATTATATGGGGAAAAAAACACCTAAATGTCAATTCAACTTGTATGACTTGTTAAAGCTCCCTGAACAAAACCTGAACATGTCAAGTGTGCTAATGAAAATGCTACGATGAAACCAAAAGGTACACATTATGGCGACCTATCTAGCTGCTTGTCTCCCAAATAATTTAATAAATAAGGATCAAAAGGGTTAGGGTCTTAAACTTAAAAAGTCTCAGAAAAACAGTTTTAAGGCATTTGTTTCAACGAACAAGAAACAACAAAACACGTCAAGTGTGAAGAGGAGGAGGAGAAGTATTCATCACTAACCTCAAAGGCTCAGGATTCGGGTGACAATGTCCATAATAGCAACCGAACAAGTGTCGCTCACAGTAACCAATGAAAATCAAGAGAAAAAACAGACAACAAAAGGCGAAAAGGGGAATAATCCAAGGCGCATTCAGAAGGGGGACAAAGCTGTCTGAAGGTGTAGACCACGGGCTAGCCTCACACCTCTTTCTCACAGCGACTAAAACAAAACTGCAGAAGACGGAGAAAAAAAAAAAAAGACAATGCAATGGCTGCTGTTTGAAGCAGAAAAAGGAGAAGTGTAATGAAGCAACTTGTCCTCTCCCTATGAGTCACGCAGCCCTATCACCATTGGTAGGGGAGCCCTGAGGCAGAGTGCTTTTACCTGGCCAATCAGCGGCAAGTATCGGCCCTGAATACAAATCGTTTCAGGTGAGTTTGACATGTGGCGGGGATTGGATGATGCTTCAGCGGGGGAGGGGAGATTAGAGAGGTCCAACCAGAGGGCCACACCTCAAACAGCATGAAAGACGATAGACGGGTTTCTCCTGCAGAGGCGGAGGAGTGCTGCTGGTGCAGGTAAACAGTTGAACAGGTATGCACTTACTTTAGACTTTGACCATACAATATGGGCCTGGCATGGTTATGAAAATCTGTACGGCAGCTCAGAAGTAAAGTTCACACCCCTTTGTGTCCCATTAAAACATTTGCAATGAATCGTGAGTCTATTAGCCGTGTCAGGGAGCCAGTTAAGCTGCTGACTTGTGGGGGAGTTGTTCTGCCGGCAGTAGAAAGCCCCATAAAACAACTTCTACCAGTGGGAGGTACAAAGAAATTAAACTGTAAAGTCGACTGCGTTTAGGTATGAGCAAGTGCTTCACCTCAGAGGGCCAAAAAACATTCTCCTCCCCCTCCTCCTCTTAAACACTCAGTGATCATGATAACGGCAACGCTCCTGCTGTGAACAAACATCGAATGCACTTTTAACTCAAGCACCTGTGTTCGTGTCTCAGATTTTACATTTACAAGATGTTAAAACATACAGAAAGTGTCACAGATCAGCCGCAGTAGGTGTCACCAATCTTTTCACTGTCACATGTCTTGTTAAGTTTAGAGTACACAGATATAGCTAAGACTTGATAAGAATGTATCAGAAACGACACTCACAGGAAGCGGTGATCTGTGGTGAGCGCTGAGCACTTTGTGTCTTCACACTCTTTCGCTCTGCATTCATTTATACATGTTTTCCACTGAAAAGCCCCACGTAGTGCATTCAACAGTCAAATATGTAAATAAAACCTGCCTCAAATTGGGATTGTTGGGAAAGAAGATAAACATAAACAGACACAAGACTTGGAGATTGATGTTTAAAAAATGAACCCATTAAACTTAATTGCAACTGCAGCGGGGTCTGTTTGTCACGGACGCCCAAATCACCATCTCAGTCTCCACCGAGTGCTCTCATCATCACATTAATTCTTCCTGGCCTCTGTTCAATATAGTTCGGCTCAGAGCAGAACGCATCGGTTTGCCTCAGAGCAAATTGATAGCCTTGCTGTGAGGGAAAGTTACACCAAACAAGCTCCATTCATCACTTTCCTCTTGGAAATACTGTCCACAACTCCGAAGCAGCGGCGGAAACTTCTTGTGATATTTACGCTTACGGTTAATGCACTGCAGCACTGCTAAAATCCAGGACAACTATGTAAACATACAAAAACACACACATGCATGTACACGAGCTAAAGTAATGTTACTCCCCTTGTGTAAGCCGTACAGATAAACAAAATCTCTGGGTAAACAAAAGTTTTAAAATATCATCTAAGGCCCAAAAGAACAGCTGCAGACATTCAGCACATTCTTGTCAATATTGTGGATGTAATGGATCTATTGTGTGCCACCACCTTACCACTATCAATAGGGTACTTTTCTGGGTCCGTAATTTACCCGTACTCTAGATCCAGAAATCCCATTTATATATTTACACTGTGTATCTACTCTGAAAGGAAAAAAAAAAGCCATCAAAGGAAAGGAAACTTTAGAGAGCTGCAGTGCTGACGATACGCTTTTAGACTCCTGAAGCACAAATTCAGCATATTCTTTGCAAAATGAGAAAAGAAAAGAAACCCGTAATGAGACTGCGCTACATTCCAGTGATTTGTTAATTGTGGGTAATCAGCTGTGTCGAAAAAATATTTCCCTACCAGGAAGTCGCATAAGAGGAGCAAACAAATAGACGAGAGGGCATGGCATCAAAAACAACTCATGGCTCTCTCTTCAATGAATACTAAGGAGCACATTTATTCCTCTACGTGTGCCAATCAAGCGGAAACCTCTTGGTGCTGGAAATGAAAGCGAACGTGGAAGTGCCAAAAATTGCAGTTCTTGAAATGGCCAGTTGAGGCTGGCTCCAACAGCGAGACAATCCCCATAGGGCCCCATGTTAAAATACCCAATTTTACAGCAGTAACAAAAATTTTTACAACCTGGTACAGAAATGGTTTTGGTCTTTATACCTAATGTCCCCATTTATGACAACTAAAATTTTATAGTAGTCGCCCATTTGATGGCAATGGCAGGAGCCACCCACTTAGAGCTTCACAACTTGTCTTCAGAAACCGATGGGGGACGTCATGGAGACTACGTCCATATTCTATACAGTCTATGGAGCCAGTCTCTTCTGAGCTGTCCCTGTAGTTTCTGGTTAGGGAAACTGCAGTAATGTGAATTAACTAAATATCTCACTGAGCAAGACAGAAAGAGAATCTCTACAATCTATCTACACATGAACTATAAATACATAATACATACATACTTTATGAGTCTTTCAAAATCAATTCAACATGTCAAACAAGCTTGCAACCATTCCAAAAGCCTGCAAAGGCAAATCGCTTGCTTTTTTTTTCAGCTTCATATCATAAAATGACAACGTAAGAAATCCCCTGACATTAGTTCAAGCTCTGGTGATTTCAGACACTTCATGAGCTTCATTATTATTTCATCAAGCAAATGTCAAATTAATTAATTGTGGATTTAATCTAATGACTTCGTTTTATTTAGGGTCTGAAAAACACCAAAGTTACATAGACACAGTACAATATAAAAGAAAATGTCACGTTAGGTCAATATTATTTATAGATCCCAAAATGACACATTTGCTTTACAATCTGTACTACACACTATTCTTTGACTCTTGCATTAAATAAGGAAAAATTCCACTTTTTACAGGAGGAAGCCAGGAGGGATCAGGATGGATATGCAAACACATCTAACATGTTTAAGCTGATGTTTGGAGAAAAACAGACACTGAAACATTGAAATCACTGTTTTAAGGTTTGGATTGTATATAGAACACACTAGACACCCATCTTTGGTTCACAGTGTTTGGAGAGGCTCATTCATGGCCTCAAATCTAGACTAAACTTTAAAGCATCATGAATGTGAATATTATGTGTTTTTTTACTGAACGCAGCAAAAAAAAAAACTATTTGCACTTATCCTCTCCAAAGAATTTACAGTCCTTCCAATTATCTTCTGCAATACTGAACGCAAACTCACCCAGATTTGCACAACAAATCACATCTACACTCTGGGGGAAAAGCAATAAAAGAGAAGATGTTTAAATTGCTGGTGCTTCATGACATGTCAGTGGGATACAATTAAAATCAGGCCGCAGTGTGAGAACACAAAAAGCCTGTCTAACAGTACATTGTGTTCTTGCTTTATTTCTACAATGGTGGTGTACTAACACAATCAAGAAACAGTCTTGTTCTGGGATCAGTGCAGAGCCAATTGAACCTATAGACTCACTGAAAGACATACCTTTCCTTTGCAGCCTAAGAATGAAAAAAGTCTTGATTATTTTGTGCGAGCTCGGCATACAGACACCAACCACAACAGGCCCAGCCCTAAAAGGCCCCATTTTCTGCGTTAACTCCCCATTAAAGGGCAGAGCACAGCAATACTTGACACCAAAGAGCTGCTGTGGTTAAGGCCTGTAACAGTGTCAGTGAATTCCCTTTAACCCAAAAGAGGGACATAATATAATTGCATGCTGTTAATCTTTCTGCTTGTCATTTTGAGTTGCTAGATTCACATTATAATATTATCATTAGTATATTAATATGACAGAATTTCACTTAGTTATTCAGCTCACTAGACAAATGTCTATGCCAATAAATGTTATATCAGCCAGAATGTTTATTTTATGGGTCAAAGTTTAGCAAATGAAAACCCTCAAATACAGCACAACTAGTCCTCGCTTCATTTTATATTTATCTCGGCGTGCCCTACAAAGTTGCACCTGACAAACCACTCCAGTAAGAACTGCACTCATAAAATCCAGATCACTCAGTAAAGAGTTATTTGGGAGTACCGTGTGACAAACATTTGTGAACGATCCTTGACAGGATGAGATATGGGAGCCTTTGGAGGCCGCACAGAATTATTTGTGTGGCTTGGAGGTCAGCATTGATCCAGAATGCTGCAGCACATGTACTAACAGAAACGAAGAAAAGAGATCATATTACTCCTGTATTAGCTTCTCCGCACTGGCTCCCAGTTAAATAACGAATTGAATTTAAAATCCTTCTCCTCACCTACAAAGAATTGGCCGGGCACCATCATATCTTAAGGAGCTTATAATACCATATCACTTGTGGTTCCTAGAGTCTCAAAAAGTAGGCTGGGAGCCAGAGCCTTCAGTTATCAAGCTCCTCTTCTGTGGAACCAGCTTCCCGTTTCAGTCCGGGGGTCAGACACACTCACCACATTTAAGAGGAGGCTTAAGACTTTCCTTTTTTGATAACGCTTATAGTTAGCGCTGGATCAGGTTTGCCTTGGTCCAGCCTCTAGATATGCTGCTTTAGGCCTAATCTGCCGGGGGACTTCCGAGGATACACTGAGCTCCTCTCTCGAAAGATGGAAGGCAGTCAAGGTGCTATACAAATATCACACTTTTATGATTTAAAAGCATGCCAGCTGGTTGAGGTCAAACTTTCTCGTTGCAACAAGTTTGATCAATAAGCCGACGGCTCATAGTGCAAAGAAAACGTCATCATTCTCAGACAGTGACCGAACATGATTCATTGTGCTGACTGAGTGTGACTGTGGTGCAGACAGACCTGCCAAAGAGCTGTGTAGGTGTACAGCTATGAAGCCAAAGCATTCAGTGTGCAACAGCTCATCCAACTGGATGTGAGTGATTCAGGAGCAGTTTGCAGCAGAGAACGATGCTCAGACCACAGGCCTTTAATAGATAATATTCAGTGTGCATGTGCATACAGACATTTTTTCCCTCCTGTTTCGTAAAATATTGCAGGAATCTACATTCCTCCAATTCCTTCAGAATTGGAGCTGTATGACAGGAAGTAGTCACATTAATAAAAATTAAATAAATAAAATCAAATGTCCAATCCTCTTTTGCAGTTTGAGTGTTCATTTTTGCAATTAATATAAAATAAAATAATTCATTTGTGGACCGGATTTAAACCTAACTGTGTCTGTCCGCTGTTTGCTGGATCTGGAAACGGTGCTGATGAGACATACAGTAGCTTTTGAACAGATAGGCAGGGGCTAGCTGTTGTAGTCGCATTACATCTACTGCTGGCGAATCCAGATACACACATACAGACTGCAGCTCATTAATTATTAAATACAGAGAGCAGGCCAACAGTCCAGGTCGTCTACATCACACCTCTGTGGGCTGTAAACAGCTACCTGCAGTCAGATACTGGCAGAAAGCATTCATTGTTCCACGACGTCACCGAACCACATAACTGCTGTTTCTCATGCAGACATCTTATCAGAAACAATCGCTGAGGTTTTAAAAAAGTCCATCTGTGTCACACCAGCTAATTCCGGGCTAAGAGCATAGCGTGCTCCAGTGTACGCCAACAGCCAGCAGCTTTTCACCTGAGAGCTCTAGTTTATCTCAAGCTCATTATTAATAAAATGCCATGAGGCCCTAAGAGCATATTACTCTGTCACTCAGGGCCTAGATTATAATACCCATTGGCTGCATGCAGTTAAATAATTTAACCAGCCTGAGGACTGCCTGTCACTTTGAAATGAACCCAAAAGGAAAAAAATAAATAAAAAATTACTGTCAGTGAAGACAGACACTCGCCTCTCAGCAGATACGATGAGCTGCCATGAGCTCACTGCAAATTCTGTCAACTCTGTCTTCGCCTGTGTTAGTCACATTTGTTGAAAGAGTTTGTTGAAAGTTGAATAAGGAAAAGATCCTTTGGCTTCTTCGAGCAAAGCTCACTCTTTGAATCCAAGCACCACTGGCTGAGCTGACTCATGAAAGGCCTCCGTGAACCACTCACTGCTACCTCATTAGCTCCAAGAGACATGAAAAATGACAGGGTGAAATCTCATTATGCGCCAAAGTTGCAGGCTGAGCCAGTTTCTATTTTTGGTCTGGAGCTACTTTGTGCGGTCAAACTACCGTAAGGTAGAACACTACAACCCGAGCCATCACTCCTTAACGTAATTACACATACATCAGTGATACAGCTCACTACGCTGTGGGCTTACATGGACCCGTAAAAATATCTAAGTAATGCGGTTAACTAATCTCATGATGTCAACATGCTGCCAGAGTGGACACGTTATACTTTGATTCATCCTACAGACAAAGTATACTGTGGCTAAGGGGTTTCTTACTTTCCCTGGTATCTGGAGCAACATAATCTAATGCAATGTCCTATTTCAATTTTCATTCAAAGCAATAGTTTGACATTTTGGGAAATACACCATCTCTGCAACAAAGGTATAAGCGTATTTCCCAAAATGTCAAGCTAGTCCTAAATGTAAAACTGTGAACGCTTTTAGACGAATACAGTCTATTCTCACTTGATTATCACCGCAAAGTCTTTATTATTGCCTCAATTTGTCATTTTTTGACTACTTTATGAATAAATACTTTTCCTCATTGAAGCCAGTATATTGTATTACTTTTAATCACTTCGTTTTCTAACACCTGAATCAGTCTAATTGGTTTAAAAAGAAACAACTAAACTTTAATACTGCATTTACACAACAACATACTTCAAAAACAACATTGTCCTCTTTTGTATGCTAAAAATAGCTTGACTGGAACGCTGCATTACATCATGACAATGCCCGAATTTATGGAGAAACTTAGGCACGATGACTCGTCCAAGTCACATGCTTGTGAGACAGGCAGCAAGAGAGCAGAGTGAGGCTACAGGTGGAATTTCCCCTCGACTCTCCTTTCTCTCCGACGTCAGGTCCAGTGGCAGCGGTTTACTGCCGCAATCAAACATGTCCGACAAGGTGATATTCAGGTGTCAAAAGTCTGAGGTTGTGAAACAGCCGCGTACAATTCAGGAACTTTGCAAACAGCAGTTCCTCTGCAAGCCCTCAACAGAAAACAGGCAAACATGAGGTCTCATTTCTGCACGTAGGAAAGGGGAAGTTCAACAGTTTTATTTCTCTTTTCACAGGTCGTTTCCTGCATTTCTGCAAGTCATTTGAGGTGTCAGCCATCTCATGTGATTGTTTGTTTAGTCGAAGCATAAGAACATTGCCATCTTGTGGTTATTCCTAAGCCACCAAATTACACTGAGTTACACCTGAGAATGTCATTGCTTACAGATGCTGGCTTTAGAAAATGTTTTTCTCTCGTTTTAAACTGGCAGGAGTTAGCGAGCAAGTACATTTTATTTGTAGCTGCATGTGTGGACACATAACAATAAATCTATGGGTTGAACAATGTCACAATAGTTCCTAAGGACTCAAAATATCTCTGAACATGGTTCCAGGGTTGTAAACCTGTTTTTTAAGATTACCACATGTGCCAAATTGCAAAAGATTGCCAGTCTCTTGCAAGGCCACTCTGAAAGCTTTTGTGAAACTGTAGTGCTGCTTTCTAAATAGGATGAAAGCTCAGATCTTCTTTTTGTGTAGCCGAATCAATATCCAGCAGCCCATTAAGGCATCTTGGGCAATAAGAAGTGTCTAATGTCTGAGGAGCTCCCCGTCACTGGCGGGAGAACAGCACGGGAAGGATCTCCATTATTGCCCTCGGTCAGGCTGCTGATGGTGACATCACTGTCACAGGATAAGAAGGCTACCAGGAACTGCTTTAACCTCAACCACACTGTCTGCAGTGTGCGCACACACACACACACACACCATATCACTCAAACCAGAGAGGAAAGGGGGAAAAGAGAGGCTAAATATGTGGACAGAAGCACGGCAGGATGTTTCTAAAACAAGGGCACATGCTCGAAGCAAACATGACGATCTCCACACTGGAGTATTTTGGGAAAGTCTTGCTCTGGATAATTGATTTCAGTAGATTGAAGTTTCCAGTTATCCACAAGCCTCTGCCCGTGTTCCCACCATAGGGAGACTGTAAGGGGAGAGCGGGGTGGGCGAAAGGGTTGGTGGGTCCAGCTGGTCCTGTCTCTAGCGGGACGGACAAGCTAAGAGCTCGTAACTCTTCGCCTCCCTCTGCGTCACAGCCGCCTCCTCTGAAGGGAGCAACTGCAGTCGACCAATGAGATTGTGTTTGTCCGTCCCATGATACAAGCATCTTAACTGAAAAATGTAAACATCTGGCAAAGATTTAGACTTGCCACACAATTAACTTGATCAACTATACTATGGTGAAAAAAACCTTTTGCCAGGAATTGAAGGAATGTAGAAATTGGGAAAAACAGGATTTATATTTGTCCTACGAGGAAGCTCAATGAGTATTTCAGACTCTCTCTCAAAGCAACTCTGTCTTATTTTAGTGAATATATTCAGTCTGAGGCCTCTTCAATTGAATGAGTGACTCACGGTGGAGTCGGATGATGGGAAAATATGTGGACATAGCTAAAAAATGACCAAAACAATCTCCGGGAGCCCAAGTTGACATATCAAAACTGCTTAATTTATGCAACCAACAGTCCAAGACAAAAAGACAAGCGGTTTACTGTAGTTGAACACTTAAAAGAAGATTAAATATCCACATTTTAGTGAAAACGCTGGAACTAGTGAAATTTGGGCATTTTCGCGTAAAAAAACAAACAAACTGAATGATTAGTCTTTATGCTATCGATCAACCAATGGATTAATTGATTGAACACTCCAGCTCAAAACCCATTTAACTCTAATAAGAGGCCAAACATCTGACCATGTTAAAATTCTGAGGGGTTATAAATACAGTAGATTAACAAGGTTCAATGTTTTGTAGAAATGACTACATTTGACTGGCATCAGGGTGGAGATTTACAATAAGACTAAATTAGTGCTCTCTGTTCACTATTCGTATTAAAGCTCTGAACACAAACAAGCACTACAATGTACTGACATGATGTACTTGATGTCTATCTTATATGTACAAATGAGTGGTTATTAAAGGGGGCATCTCTGAAGCACACACACACACACACACAGTCACACACACACACAGTCACATGATGACCCACACAAAGGGGAGACACAGAAATGGACTCATAGGCTGAAGGCCATGTATCCCAGAGGGCAGTACTATCATCATATGAGTTCAGTCATGCTTCTTTAGCTGCAGTGTGATCACTTTCTGTGTTCTGAGTGTAAGCAAAGTGCAATAAAAACGCTTAAACTGCTGTAATATTTTATAAGCCATTATCAGCTTTTCACATGAAAAGCACCAGGAAGAATGTAGTAATTAACATAACTCCAAAGGGTCCTCACATAGGCCCAGTACACATACAGATAGGCCTACATTGTCAAGGCTACAAGAAAGTAAGCAATAAGTATAAAACATACTGTGGACTCACCCTGGTAGAAGATGTCATCAGCAGAGCATTATGTCCTGGGCTCATGTTAACAGGAAGTGGTTATCCTCTGTCCTCGTGAAAACACGGTGTCGTTAAAGGTGAGGCAAGCGGTACTGTAGCTCCATCATCCTACAGTCACCCGTCGGCTTTCACCATCCTGCTGCGTCCGTGTGCTTTCTGACACAAGGTTGCAGTTTTTCCTCGACTGGGGCTGATGCGTGGGGAATTCCTAACAGTCACATTTTCCTGGGAAATGATTGGCCCGGGAACAGAGTTTGGCTGACGGTAACCTTGTAGTAGTAAGAAGGAATCAGGAGCGGTGGTTTCAGTTGAGCAATATGGGATCGAGGGACGAGGGTGGATTAAAAGACGTTATGAAAAAACAAAAAGAAGTGGTCGCGCCATGCCCTGTTGCTTAAAATGTAAATACTGATCCAATTGATATTTTATTCTTAATACTAGTAGGATATTATTTATATGTAATCCATTACTGGAATTTCGCTAACCATTAAACAAACTGGTATCTAAACCGTTACGCAGTCACAGGTGTCACTTCAAAGGCAATTTTGTCAACAACGCGATTTAGTCAAATTAAGTTGCGGACGAAAATAAGGCGGTTGTAGGCTACAAGCTTGCGTTGGAGGTTTTTTTTTTAGACGAGTTTGTTTTCCTCTACTAGACTACGATAAGTGTTAGCACAGGGAGATAAAAGTGAAAATGGGCATCTTCCGGGAAGGTCCAAGCCCTTGTGAGAAGAGAGCAATCGAGGATAACTTCTTAACGGGCGGGGTCTAAAGCAACGTAAGATTCCTTGAAAAGGACAGGCGTGAATTGCGATAGATGTAGCAAATAGCCTAAAAACACTCACCATTTGTCAATAATGATGTGATGTTATATTTGTGGGATGGTCAAACGCACAAAAATGAATTATTTTTTGAAACATATGCAAAAGTGTGTTCCCATACCGGGAGTCGAACCCGGGCCGCCTGGGTGAAAACCAGGAATCCTAACCGCTAGACCATATGGGAAACATGTCATAATTACGGTCGATCCATCTATATTCATATAGTCTGAGTCTGAGTTTTAAATCCTTTGTCAAAGTGCTGTGGTTACCGTGATAGCTACACGTTCATAGCGTTACATTAAAGCCAATCATATTTTTTATCTTGTTCTTGATCTCTTTGTCGTGTAAATTACAACACTTGGGGGCTAGGTACCATCTAGTGGTCTTTAACTGTTACTGAATACAGGACAGGACGTCAGCCATAAATACCCTGTGTTGGTAACGGTTACTGGTTATAGCCAAAGTATAATTGAATATTTAATTGATTGATAAATGTGCCAAGAAATAAATTAATACGACGAACAAAGGAGGGGTAAAAACCTTAAAATCACACGAATTGCTACAGTGTTCCAAACTAACTAAATATGGGTGCTAAACATATGACGTAATTGTCTATGGACTTGAACAAGTGTAAAGACGGGGTCTGTCGGCTATCTCAAAAATACTTTAGCTGTGTAAAGTACGACCTGAAACTGGTTCACACAAATAAACAGGTTGACCTGGCAACACTACGTTCAGTCATACGATTAGCGTGTGTTCATGTGGCTCATTACAGCTTACCAATTTACAGTCAGTCGATTAAAATACCCCTCCTCTTTCTAGTGTGAGTGGTAGCGCCCGTAGACTAGCACAGGCAGCCAAATATTTGACAAACTAGCAATGGTTGGCTAGTCAGTTAGGAGTTAAAATAATACATCGAGAAAAATATATATATTTCCCGACACATAACCCATTTACGTGTATGCCAAGGGTTTAGGTTTCCGTGTCAACAGGATGTCAACTCCAGCAAGAAGACGTTTAATGAGAGATTTTAAACGGTAGGCGAAAGGAAAACATCAGCGAAGTAGCTGTAGCGCAAGCTAAAGCTAACAAGCTAGGACTAGCTTGTTAGCTTTAGCCCATAGCGGCATTCTGAACTACAACTTTAATACTACAAATAGACACATAAACACTGGGCGATTCTAATCGTGTTTTTGGCGAGGGTTAGTTTTGGGTAGTGTAAACTAGTTAATGACTATTAACAGGTAACGATAATAACGTTACTGGTGACAAGCGTTGGCAAGGCAGCGACTAGCAACGGTGGTGTTGTGCAATTCATGGTCACTGCTCGTAGACATAACGTTAGATGTCGTGTGTCGATGTTTTAGACACTGTAACATGATATTCGCGCCTTCCCCGAAACTGTTAGTGGTTATGTTCATACGTGATATGTACTGGTCTGTATTTGTAACTGGGTTATTGACAATGCAATTCATTGGCCAGATGGCCCTTCACAGGCAAAGGTAGATGAACACTGTCCAAATACACAGTGATCATGGGAGCCCTGATAGATCACTATCTAAGCCTAAGGATAAGCAACCATCTGCCAGGCAGTCACTAACAATCTGCGGACACTTCACATGGTTTCTTATCTACAGTATTTTCTTACCAAACAGAACTGATGGTCACAGACAGAGGTTAAGAGTTAACTCACAGTCTAAATCAATCACCACAGTCTTTCTCTGACAACGTGACTAAAGGACTGAACTTTAATAAACATTCATTTAGAACTTGGCTGAAATGGCCAATCAGGTAGAGGCATTGTTCATTTTCACTGATAGGACTGTGCACTATAGACAACTTTATTTCTCACTTGACAATATCACAACAGTATGATTTATATCATTATATTACCAAAACAGACATTCCAGAAGAGTGATTAGCATTATAGGGTTTCCTGTGTTGATGTATATCCAGCCAGAGTGTTTTCCAAACTCTCAGCCCTCCAGCATACGATTGCCCAATGCCCACCCAGCCTTAGAAATAGAACTTGGGGATTATATTCCTGTTTTCCTATTCAATGGAGCCTTGCTGTCTGCTGATTTGTTTTGCTCTTTTTGAATATCACCTGTATTTTTGTGACACCATTGTGTGTTTTTTTACTCTGTTAGACTGCAAGAGGACCCTCCAGCTGGAGTTAGTGGGGCACCATCAGAAAACAATATCATGGTATGGAATGCTGTCATTTTTGGGTAAGTTGATTTGTTAAAACCTATTACATTCATTTTAGTCAGCAGTTGTTTTGTAGAAATAGTCACTGTGATAATACTGTAGTTTATATCAGCGGGGTTTGTGAGTATTTCAAACTAGGGTATGAAAAGTGAATTGGATCTTTTTGTAAGTGATGATCAACATGTTTTTTTTACCTCTTTTAGACCTGAGGGAACACCTTTTGAAGATGGTAAGTCCTCCTAAAGCTCTTTACATCCAAATAATGTGTATTTCCAACCCTAATATTGCACATGGAAAGTTATATATTATGGTAATGAGTCGATTTTAGATGGTGCCTTAGATGTTTTAACTAATATCTTACTGCACTAGACTTTGTCAAGTTGTCCAAGAAGGTAACCCTTTGACTTGGAGTTATTTCTTCTTCAGCATCTGTGGACCCTGAATAGTAGTTTTAAGTAGTTCTTCAGAGCTTTTGTTGATCTTTTCTTTTGCCCGCACAATTCCACAAAAATAATCCGTTTCTGATCACTAACTTGGCCGCTGAGTTACAAAAATGATGTAGTCTCGTTTTTGAGTGTTGTATCAAAATCACCAGAACAACCAGATCAAATTGACACATGCATTTACTAGTTGGTTAGATTACTGTAATGCACTGTAACAGTTACTAGTTGATGTCTCTCAATTCATACAATGCCGTTTCTTCTGACTTCCAGGAACCTTCAAACTTACCATTGAATTCACAGAGGAATATCCAAATAAACCTCCAACAGTGCGATTTGCCTCAAAAATGTTTCATCCAAATGGTATGTTCATAATATCTAGCGCCAACAATTTCAGAAATTGCATTTTGTTACACGTATCCCTTATATTATGTGTGCTCCTCTTTGCAGTGTATGCAGATGGAAGCATATGTTTAGATATACTTCAGAATCGTTGGAGTCCAACCTATGATGTCTCTTCAATCTTAACTTCAATACAGGTAATCCAACATTCCTTCATGCACATAAACACAGTGTGCCAATGCGAATCAGGATTAGTTGAAGTGACAAAGAAATAATATCCACAAGTAATTTATACATTACGACTGTGTTATGTCATAAAGCTTCATTTGAAACATGTGTTTTTTGTGTATTTCAAGTCTTTACTGGATGAGCCAAACCCAAACAGTCCAGCCAACAGCCAAGCAGCCCAGCTGTACCAGGAAAACAAGCGGGAGTACGAGAAGAGGGTTTCTGCTATTGTTGAACAGAGTTGGCGTGACTGTTGACCCCCGTTGTTATCGTTCGAGTAGGAACAGTGTCCCGGCCCCCGAATCAAGAAACCACCGATCAAGAGAAACAGCTGATCTCACAGAAATAAAATCCTTAAAATCCTTCTCAGTATATTTGTCCCATAACTGTTGCTACGTTTGTATGCTGTTGTGTGGCATTCACTGCCGAAATGCTTGTGTTGGGCTGTAGCGTACGTTTGTTCAAAGTAAATGTACCTTGTTATATCTGGGTTACTTGCTACATGCACCAACTTGTTTCTTTAAAAAAAAAAAAAAAAAAAAAGGCAATAGCCAGTCTGTCACTTTTCTCCCTGTTTATTTCTACATGAAGTAAACCGGTTGGATGACACAGTGACAGTTCATTCGATGTGCTTGCTGTGTGGTTTGCTGCGTGGATACCGACAATACATATTTACAAAAAAAAAGCTGTTCATGGGTGTTGCTCCTTTTTTAGTGGCCTCACTTCTTTTGGTTTTGTTTCTGTCTTTTGAATGCCTTTGAGAGGGATGGAAAATGAACCCAGCACAGACATCCATCCAGCTCAACAGATGCCTTTGGGGGTCATTTTTCTCTCAACTGTTGATGTAAAGCCATGCGTTTGAGTTTTAAAAAACATTATAGAAATTGGTGAATACACATATGTCCCTCTTCAACACAAACAAGATGTTTAGTTCCCTTTGCGGGCACTTCACTTTGTTTCACGCAGTTTCATAATACTGACATTTAAAGGCTGTGTGAGAACATTTCTATGCTATTTTACAATCTTGCATAACAGGATGGTGTTTTTTTTCAGATTATAAAACTTTGCACTGGTAACCCATGTAACAAACATGTACATTTTCTTGTAAATAAAAAAATAAATATACATCAGTTGTCTGTTGCTTTTTAACTGACAACACAAAAATATACATCTGTCATCAGTTCAGATTTATTCATTACAGCTGTGAAAACAAGCAGACAAGTTAACTGTAATCACACAAACCAACACATCCGACATTTAACAAAGATCACAGCTTACAGTTTCCATAAGAGGAGTTTGATTTATGGACGCGGCTTGTTTTTGTAGAATGACAGCAGACAGCGTTGCTGGTAGAGAGATTGAGACGTATCACTACATTGAGACCGATATGAGCATCTGGCTACAGTTTGATGCCTCTCATGAGTCGACTGTCAACAATGTTCCACAACAAGCAGTGACAAGCTGCATTTTCTGCAGAGTTCCTTAAAATAGCCAGAAAACAAAGAAAAGTGGATCTCAGTAACAAAAACCTCTTAATTCCTAAAGTAACTGGAACATCATCAGGACATGGTACCACAAAGTACTGAAGCTTGTGCAAAAGGTTAAACGAATAGAAGACGTGGAATGGCAGGAGACCAAAAAAAAAAAAGAAAAAAAAAGACAAATCACTTATTGTAAAGCTCCTGCTAAAGCTGAAGTGTATTGCATGGCAAAGGAATGCAGAAACCACAGGTGATCCCTGAAGGATTCTCTTTTATTAATGTGTGCTGTAAGTTTGTCACATACAAGTAGAAACACAGCATTTACACTCAAGTGTGATTTGTACTGAAGTTTAAATGGATGTCCAATGTTTTTTTTGTGATTTGCCCTGCATGCACATCAGTGAATGGCCTGAGGTTTCACGAGCTCGTACCGTCCCACCTGTCCCTCCTGTAAAAGCTGACCAATGAGCTGGTCTTTGTGCACTTTGCGACTGACGATGAGGAACCGTTGGCGTCCCTGTCCGTACGACTTGCTCCGTAGGCCGTATTTCTGAGATATCTGGTGGATCTGCTTGCGTTCGTCGTTGGTGAGGTCGGTGGAGAACCGAAGATCGTCCTGACGGTCCGAACTGGCGTAGGTACGAATGATGTCCTCGATGTCGCGCTTGCGGAGCTGGTTTCCGGTTTTGTCCGTGTCCAAACCGAAACCTTCTCTGGAGAATTGCTCCTTCACTCTGATGGGCTCCGCGATACCTTCCCCATCTCGGCCCAGACCGCCTCCTTTCCAGCCCATCTTACGGAGCAGCTGGTTCCCGATGTTGTCCTCCTTAATCTCCTGTTTTATGGCTTGCTCACCAGAGCGGGCCAGGATCTGGGATCGTGATATGGCGTCGCAGTGACCCTCCTTCCTGAGGTTGGATTTGACCACGGCCTGTGTCTGCCTCAACGTGGTCAAGGCCTCCTTTGCTGCAATGTGCTTCACTATTTTCTTGGGCCCAATCCCCGCGGCTACATACTGTCCTTCCAAGTAAACCTCGCACCTCCATCGATGATCCGGCAGAACCGTGAACTTGTAATCAGCAGTCACTTTATTAAACTGAGCCGTGTCATTAATGATACAGATTGCATTGTCAGAGTTTTCCAGGATGACCAATTCACTCAGATGCTTCTTTTTGACAACCTGTTGTCCAAAGCGTCCACCGGAATCTGATTGATTATATCCTCTGGGATATTGTGATAGTTGTTGTTGCGGTTGTTCTTGTTGTTGTTGTTGTTGTTGTTGTTGTTGTTGTTGTTGCTGCTGCTGCTGCTGCTGCTGCTGTTGTTGTTGTTGTTGTTGTTGTTGCTGCTGCTGTTGCTGTCGTTGCGCCTGGTTCATCCGAAGTTTCCTCACAGCGTCTTCGGCCGCTGAATGCTTCGAGCTCTTTTTGGTACCCGTTGACTGCGCCACCAGCTCGCCCTGCAGGAAAACACTGCACAGCCAAGCAATGTTGTTGGGGAGCAGGTCAAACTTATAGTCTATCTTCATGCGATTAAAAGCCGCAGAGTTGTTGAGTATGCAGATGGCGTCGTGAGCGTTGTCCATAACCACAAACTCCGTCCAGTGCTTCCGTTTGTCCGGCTCGTATTGGCCCTTGGAGCTGGGTGTCGGTTTGTCCTCTGGGTTTCGGAGTGCAGGTAAAAAGCCGGGGGTCGGGGTGTGCATCTGGCACACGACTATGTCGTTGACTACCGAGTGTCTGTATTTGCGCTGCACCACACGAACCTCCACTGTTTTCAGGAAGAGCTTAACAGCTTGCTCAGAGGCCCGGTCCCTCGCTCCATTTTTACTACCGGAGTACCCGGTAGCAAGATACACACCCTGACATCTCAACTCACAGGCGTAACCGTCGGTTGGTACTTTCCTGTTCTTCGGTAGGTCGGATTGAGGAATGTCCTTCAGGTTGACATAAATATACTCGGGATTAGTCTTGCAGGCCTGAATGCTGCGGCTCAACATGAAATTATAGTTCGGTGATTCACTTCCAGTCAGGAACATCGGGTCCCTGAACGCAACAGCCAATGCAGACGCTACATTGGAAATCAGCCGTTGCTTCTCATCCAGCGTTGGCTGAGATATAGGAACCGGCTGTGATGAAGAGACCGACTGAGATGTGGTGGGACTGCTCCTGCCAGGGCTGTTGTAGACTCTGCTGAACGGCCTGCTGGATGACAGTCGGTCCTGATGACTGTATCCCAAACCCTGACGTCCTGAATCCCAGCCTCCTGCCCTGCTCGCTCCCCCGTATCCGTTGTATCTCTGGGGCTGAGGATAGGAGTCTGAACCCCGAGAGGAGTGGGCTTCATACTTGGTTGAGTAGTCCTGCTCTGTTTTCACCATAAAGTTTGAGCTGGACCAACGTCCTCCATACCCCAACCCACTTGTGCTACCTGAAAAAATCTCACTGTCTCTGTCTCTGTGGGTACCCCAAGAGTCAGAAGTGTACAATGGCACTCTGTCAAACGTAGACCTCAGGGAGGCGGAGCCCTGCGCTCTGCCGGTGCCGCCGTAGGACGAGTGTTCGGAGTCCCACTGCCTCGCACCAAACGACTCGCTCCTCCTGCGCTCCTTATCGTTCTCCTTCTCGTCAGCGCCGGTTCCTCCGCTGCTGCCACCACTCACAAAGTGCACTGGCTCAAATCGAGGTCTGGAACCAAATTTTGACATAGGCATTTTCCTCATGGGCTCGTCTCCTGCAATAACACAATACAGGTTCAAAAATAAACGTCTGATTTGACTTAAATAACAAATACATAAATCATCATCTAAGATGGCCACAAAAGGGTTAATGTTATAAAAGTCCCATGAAACTTCTTCAAATGGGATGTTGTGGCAGGACTGGTGTATGCCTATATTTTAATTATTGTCAACAAATCCCATGAAAAGTTAACAGTGAGTAGCTCCTTCTAGCACGGAGACTGTTGTGCACACATCTTTACAGAGAACAGGACAATGTTTCCCTAGTGTTGAATTTTTAACGTTAAGATGTCGGCCCAGAGAATTCACTGGTGTTTTAAACAACAGTGCCCAACTGTTTTAAGGATATTGTGTGTTTAGTTTCTAGAGAAGTTTATTTTCAGTGGGTATGAACGGGCTTCAACTGCAAGCAAACATTGTCAGTCCTTATTGCTGCAACCTGAAGCCCTGAGACACACCTCTGACTCATGTCACTGCAACGTCTACGATACGTTTGGATTGCCCCAAAAACAGCAATTCAGCCTTTTGCTCAATTAAGGAACTAAAGAGTAGTTAAAAAAGTGTGATAAAATATAGATTTGGATATAAAGATGTAGCAGTGAACCACAAACAGTAGATAACAACATGGCAATGGAAATATTTATAAACAAACGCAGACTATACAGCCCAGATCAACACTCACTGCCATCAGAAGAAGTGGGTCTCTTTTTTGCTTCAGAACTAGGACTTGGGTCAAAGGAGGGCATTTCGCCAGTGCCAGTCCCTTCTGCCATCACCAGCACCATCCAAGTCAAATCCAGGCCATACCTGTTATTGAGGCCAGAGATGAGAGTTAGACATTACATTAATGGAGGGAATTCACACACACACACTATCTGGACGTACAGAGTTAATACTCCATGCTGCCTATAAAGGCTCAACACATCCCGTGGAAAACAAACACCACCGACCAGCAGCATGCAGGGACTGAAAACACCAACTAACGATACGTGCCTGGACAAAAAAAAAGTATATATTGCACAACTAGAAATCATGTGTCAAGTTATGATATTAAATGAGGGAAATACAGTTGCATTTCGAACCAAAACAAGGCCCTGACAGAATGACGCAGTAGGCCAACATAGTTCATTTCTCACACGTAATCATGTTGTAGAAACACACGTATATACATTTAAAATTGCGACTTGTTAGCTGCGTCAAATTCCTACCTTAAGGTGTAGCCTTTGGTCCGATTTGTATCGCTGTACTTCGACAGTGCATGTATTCGTGTGATGAACCGGCTGATATTATCGTAGCTAGCCTCTTTTAGCTAGCTAGCTAACATGGGCTTCCCCGGTGGCGGCTGCTAGCATTAGCCAGCTAGCTGCTAACTAGCCTCGAGCTAACCCCAGCTTGCACTTCAGCAGCCACAATCTGCTCAAATAATTTTGTATCAGATTCAGAGAACAACATGTACGTTTGTGTCCTCTGGGTGTAATATCCGAGACGAGGTTGGGTTGAGATGATGCAGAAAACTCCTGGGAGCTTCAGACACCCATTCAACTAGCTAACTAGCAGAAAGCAGCCATTTTCTGGTGCAGCTACAGTAAAAAATCATGGCGTCTGTCACCGCGATGACCCACAATGCTTTGCCGCCGGACAGTTCAAGCCCAGTGGGCTGCTGATCTCACTCTATGCCAAGAGAAAGTTTAAATTAATGTAACGGCAATACAATTAAAGAATATTATATTATGCATCTAATCTTTCTTTCAGCAAAATCTCATTTCAACAAATCCACATTTTATAACTCGAAATATTTATTATGTTTGGGAATAAAACTAAGCAACATAAACTATTTTCTCCTCCAGAAACCAGAAGACTATGACAATTAATTTGTGCACGTCCTATAATTTACTGTATTTGTATGAATTGATAATGTTATTATACTGTGTGTGCATGACCTCATTTGCAAAGTAACTATAGCTTTCAAATGAAAGTAAAGACTAAAATGTGCAACATTTCCCTCTGAAATATAATAAAGTAGAAGTTGTATTGCAATTCCTAAAGTGCATGTACTTTAAAATGAACTTAAGTACTGCACTTGAGGAAATACACTTATCATATTTCAACATACTTTCTTAAACTGTGACTTGTATTTTACAGCCATCATATATAGCCTAATAATTAGCCCAATAATATTATATTAGGTGTGGTTTTATTGCACTACATTTGTACTTTGCACCCCAGGCTTTAAATAATTTACTAAATATATTTCACATGGAAATGATGCCTTAGGTGCCACTTTCGAAAATGTTTCATGTGGAATGTAACTTCCTTTTTTATACAATGAAGTTTCTCTCTTTTATGCCCCTCAGGTTTATTTAATTGTGCTATATATGTGAATGCTTTACATCAATAATATGCGTTTGTGTGTTAACTACTCTCGGCCAGCTTTCTCTTGTAAAATAAATAATGTATCTCAGGGGACTTCCTGTTTAAATGAAGTTAAAATACATAAAAAATGCAATTCTTCACAATTTAACTGCTGAATATTGAGGTGTTTCACAGTTTTAATTCTCATATAGTAAGTACTAATTACAGGTCATATTAGCAGGCTTTCATAGCCCACAACAACTACAATGCTGCTGCTAATTAACAAAATCAATAAACATAATCTGGGGTAACTGTTCGTGTCCAACACTGTAAATAAAAGGCAAAAGCTTAATATGTTTGGATCATATTTTGTTTTATTGAAAATGTACATGAATGGAATGAAACTAAAGTAAGATATTTAATTATTTGTAGTGTGGGAAAGTCTTTGACTACAAGAGGTGGTGACTGATACTAGAAAAATTTATGGCATTTTATGACACCAAATGTTACTTTACACTCAGATTCACGTCCAAAGGTCATAGGTAATAAACCACAAGTCTCCACTTCAATACACAAAATATTTCCTTATAAATTATACAAATGCATGAGTATCTTTTTAATACTCCTATCTGGGATTGAGGTCAACTCCATCTTACACTAATATTTGGCAAAAAAGGGAGCTGAAATGATAGGACAGAGGAAATACACGCTAATAATATGCACCATTTGAAGAAAACAGCAATGAAGTTGAAATAGATTGCAAAACTGAATTATTAGGAGATTAAAAAAAACAAACAGGTCAAATATCAAAGAGGTAATCAAATAAAAGATGCATGCAAAAAATATAGAATAGGCCGGTGAATATTAAAGCACAACGTGTAATAAAAAGGCCATTACATGTGACCTCCATGGTATTCAACAGTGACTTGTAAACATGGGCAACATCAAATGGAGTGGAAGTAGGAATATTGCTTTGGCTTTTGCATTAATTTACTTTTAGTGTTCAGAATACCTGAAGGCAGGTGGTTTTCATTTAAAACTGGACTTGATTCGAGAAAACAACATGATTACTCATTCATAACACGTTATACATAGTGCTTCTTGACTTGATGAGTTCGTCTTTAATCAGCAAGCCTCAATGTTTCCGTAGCATGTATTAAGAATCCTATTAAAAAGATGAGTGCATAGTCCAGGACATTGTAATTCAAATGATTTCACATGAGTCCTGTAAATGTGTGTGAAACCTAACTGATGATTTCTATGAACTACAAGCTTCTCTTTATATACATTAAGACATATTAGCAGATTTAAAACTGTGCCCGGTTCCCAACCTGCATGGGTTTAGAGCTTCACTCGGTCGTCAGAAATACCATGTGAGTCGACATAAGGCCATAATCAAAAAAATAAAAAAATTAAAAAGGAGGAGATACGATGGGGAGAATAGAAAAGGGTCGATACAGCGAGAAAAACGGGGAGAGGTGAAGGATGCTTAGTTCTTGCTGAAGCTGCAATCCTCTCTTCAGGTGGTCAAGACAGATTAAAAGAAGCTGAAGAGACAAAGAAAGAGAAAGCCGGCAGTTAGAGAGGTGGCAAAGCAGAAACTCTTACAAAAAAACCACACGCTTGAGATATAGAAGTGCATCTGAATTCAAGTAGAAAACATATCTATGTTTGATTATCGTAAATACAAAGTTAGGTGGTAAAAATCCCTGGGAGCATAGTTGTTCAAGCAACACAATAAAGCATAAAACTGAGATTATATTGTGCCAACTGATGATGCTGCATGATTGTTAAACTGTGAAATGATCACATCTTGCCTGTGGTCCAGTTTACAAAAGAAAAAAGGAGTTAATAATTATCCAAATACGACAATAAATGAACAAGTGCGCATATAATTTCCATCAAGTGAAAAGGTGTTAGTAACAGCCCAAAAAACAAACAGTGCACATATAAACATAAGCAGAGGCCAACAAGGAGAAGCTGAGGTTAGAGCTGCAGAGAAACACAGATACACATTAATCAAAATGATAGCAGAGCAGGTCATGATTGAGAAACCCTGAAGGATGGGGTCCACAAAGCCTCTGGTCACATTTGAGGTACTCAGTACCCACAAAGGCCGGTCCCTTAGCAAAGCTTGAGGGCTGAGGGCCTACTCAGTGCAGAGCCAGGGATTACTGCAAAGGAAAGTGAAACCACACAGACCAGTGAGCGGAGGATTAGAGAGGAGGGAACAGCTCTTTGTTTTGATGTATTTTTACCCTGGTAGCATGTGGAAAGGTGTTTTTATGCAGCAATGTCTTGAATCCAAGAAAATTGTATCCTTCATGAGATAATACAAGCAACTTTGAACTTTGAAGTGTTGAAAAAATAATAACTGATCATCACAGTAACGCTTATTGGCATCAACATTCATTCACGGTTTTCCAATTAATAACAAATCAACCTTCATCCTGCAAATCAAGCATACCCACTTTCCCCATTTGGGTTTATTAAAGCTCCTCTAATCTCCTAATTTAAGGCAATATTTTTCATACACAATGATTATGGCCACAATTGTAATATTTGGTGAAAAATTGGCCTTTATTTTCTTTAGAGATAATATGTCTTTTGTGTGTAACACGAATACAAACACTGGTCCCTGCAGGACAATGGACAGTATAATGAATTACTTTTAAATGTGCCTTCATAGTAAGTAAGAAAGTTACAATTGCACTGACATCAATATATACTTAAAAAACATCACATTTGTGTATAAAAAAAAAAGTGGAAATGTGAAAGCTAATACAAGTATGCACATAACACATGACAATGAATGAGGTATGGGAGAAGTGGCAAAGAGATTAGGCTCACAACTACTCATGCATCTGGATAAAGTGAAGCAGCGTCAGCAAAAGGACATAAATACCAAAACAAATCTCAAATTAAATTCTTGTTGTAGGTCTAAAGTCTATAAGGTTGAGGTAATAATTAGTTATTAGATTTTCATGAAATCAAATCCCCTTTTTGATATTATTTCTACATTTCTGGTGATAATAGTCTACATTGTTAGTGGCGGGGTCTGCCGTTACAAAGGTGGATTAATAAATTCCATTCAGAAATTGCTGTTACTTGGTGTTTATAAAAGTGAGAATCACTGTTGTGATTGCTGTGCTTTAATCTGAAGACGGCTCAATACTAACTTAATCCATCATCGCATCAATCATCAGTCGACCTGATTCTTTCTTTACTGTAATCTTCTGCAGATCTTTGTTTACACTGAGGTCCTAACTGTCTGATGCGCGTTTCACTTTACCCTCAACACGTCTGCCCATCACTACAGTAGCCATGTATGTTAATATTCAAAAAGCTCACTCCATCATGCAATTGATCACTTAATATAAAACAAACATGGAATGCATTACTCTGTAAATTTGTATAAAAAAAGTCAAGCCAAACAATTGCTTGTAAAAACCATATAACATACAAGCGCCATTCAGCAAAAACGACCAGACTGATAGCAATGCCCAGCGTCTTCCAGAGAGCGGGGGGCATGTGGAGGGGTTGGATTATTGGGGGGGGGGGGGGGGTACTGTAAAAAAAGATGATGGGGTGGAAACTCATTCACAGCAGGATGGCCACAAGGGAGCACTTTTTCTACAGGAATCCTAAGCTGGAAATGAGAGAGAAGGGCTGTTATTGCTTTCTTTTGAGTTAAAACATCATCACGACACACACACTGTTTGACATCACATCAACATTAGTGACCAGGTGGTATTTAGAGGAGATCGTGCTCAAAGGGTTCAAGTGCACAGAGGTGAGGGTGCAACGATCGTCTATTTCTTGGAATCAGCAGAATAAATGTATTTCATATTTATAGGATTCGTTCCGCTCCTGAGCTTTAACAAACAATGGGTTTGATTGTCTTCATCATCAAACAGCAGCTTGTCTTTGTCTATTTTAAACAGTCCTGAGCTGCTTGAGGAGTTTACAGATTGCAAGACAGATGTCTTCATTCACTTCTACCCTCCCCCAGTGGTTGAGACTCAACAACATCTCTCTGTGGATTTGGCTTTTTTATCCACTCAAGAGGGAGTGGAGGCCGTCATACGGCTGCGAGATCAACAAAACATGTCATCGCTACAAACAGAGATGGGCCCCGGGGCTGTTTGCTGCTCTGGTGTGGCCAGTTAGTCTCAGTTCAGCCTTGAATGGTTCTTTGTGCGACTGCACGGCTGGGTGGGGAAGGACTTTGTAGAGCCACAAAAAAAAAAAACTGTTGTGGATTTAGGGAGGCAGATGGGGCAGTTTATCAAATGGGTGTGTGGGGAGCTAATAAACTGGTTGATTTAGAAGCTGGCACAAGGACGGTAAACACTGCCAGCTCAAGGATATGATGGACACAGATGTTAACAGTGATATACTGTCAGCCTGCACTCGTTTATTAGAATTACTGGGCCCATTTATGGCACTTTATTACATATTAAAAGTGCCAATTAAATGTGTGTTAGTTAACATATTTAATAGCTTTCAAAGGTTAATTTGATTGTGGTTGAATTCTAATGTGCAGATACAGAAAGGTAGTTGTGTGCACATCCTGTTCTATGTTTAGGCCGGTTGCAGGATGTCAATTAAAAGGAAAAAAAAAGGTGAGTATCCGCAAACTGTCATTTAGGTGATGTTTATTCCTGACTTGTATTTTAGAGTAATTCTTTACTCGTGTACTGGTCATAAGTTAAAAGTCGATACCTGGCTGATTTTTCATAGTTATATTTTGAGATGGTCGGTGGTGTCTTACCAGAAAAGATGCCCCATGCAGCATGCAGCAAGTGTGGGAGGAGTTAACTGGAAAACATTATGGATGCAACATGGGTGACACATGCACTCACAGGACACATTCACATTTACACAACAAGCAGTAATTAATAATTGTGTCGTCTGGAAACTGCAGAAAAGACTGAAAGATAAACATAAATATTATCCGTGTTAACACTTGAAGTGCAAGACCTCTTTAGTTTAATCAGGGAACCACAGACAGAGCTAAAGTTGCACAGAGGCCCCCTTTTTGGAAGAGAAACTTTCGAGGCCGAGCTCATAAAGAGAAGAAGTTGCTGTGAAGAAAACAAATGAACAGGGAAGAAAATAAAGCAACAAGAACCTTTCTCAGTGCAAGTGTCTTCCTCCATTTCTAACAGGCACAGCAGCACATCAGCTTCAACACAAAACCAGGAGTGGATTACCAACATGAAGGGACCAACAATGTCAACAGCACTAAAGTTACTCAAACACATCTGGCTTCAAACACTGCCTGTAAGCATGAAACATGCTGTGGAAAACAGTCTCATAAGCTCACGATTAGTGAAAGAACAACAGAATTAATGTCAGATATACCAGGAAAGACAAATATGGAAAACCGAGTTCATACTGTAGATTGATTAAAACCAAACGAGTGGCCCCTGTGAGGAACAGTGTCAGATCGTTTCCACTGAAACGATTATGAACTGTGAAAAAAACGTTTGTTTATCAACTTACTTTCAAGTTCATGGAGCTGTCCAGTAATTGTTAACAGAGTTGCAATTAAGTTATTTACACAAATCTGTTCAGAGTATTAAATTTCATGATGAGGATTTCTGACAGTTGGCAACTTTTCAACTATTTAGTTGAGGACAGCAAGGCATTGTCACCACTCCCCGCCCCCGCTCTGCTCCTCGAATGATAAATGAGGAATTCTGGTCAGCTCTCTCAGCATGGAACATATTCTCTGTTATTATACGGAGGGTAAACTGGTACATCAGCCTCTTTCAGAAGATCAGAGTGAGAAGTCTTCGGCTTAGCCAGAGCCTTTAACTAATCAACACATTAAATTATACAAATATCTGGCGGATTATAAGCGAGTGGTGACAGAGAAACTGCTAAGCGTTTGATGACATTAGTGGGACAGAACAAAATGAGGTTCTGCCTGCAGCACATGTGCACAGAGTGGAATGAATGCTGAAGAAGTTTATCAGGACACAGCTACATATGTTAGTCTATTGCACAACATAAGAACCCCAAGGGAATGTACCACAAACGACTTCTCACTTATTGGCAATGATATTCATGCACTCATTTGGCAAATGATGGACATCCTGAAACGTCAATGTAATAACATGTGGCCTTGTTCCTCTCATGTTCATAGGATCCAGCCTTTTCCAGTCCTTATACAACTGGAGGTGGTAGATGCAAGGACAGATGTGAGGAAGAGAACAATACTTACTTTTTCCTCTCTTTGTCCCTCTTGAGTGTGGTGGAGCCCCCTGCCTGCTGGGCTTGGTTCTGCAAGAGCTCTGCGGCAGTCTTTTTCTGTTTGAACATGTTGAGCTCGTCATCCAGGGACTTCCTCTTGTCCTCCAGCTTCTTTTTTTCGTCCTGGTGGAGCTTCTTCAGACGGTCAAACTTCTCATGCAGCTACGCGTCGGTGACAAAAAACACAATACTTTGGATTATTCAAAACGACAGCAGAACCTTCCTTAAAACGAGTGATGCACATGATATTTCAGGATGATGTAGGTGCAGAGTTCGATGATGATGATACCTCTTTCTCCGCCTCTTTGAGCTCACCCTCCTTCTCTTTGACTCTTTGGACAAACATTTGCCTCATTTCTTCTTCTTTCTTCTGCAGCTCGCCCATGAACTCGTTCCTCTTAGCTTCGTACGTCTCCTGAAGACTGACACGGGAAAAAGGGAATAAAATGGAGTGACAGCAACATTTAACTAAACAACACACCAGATGAAGACACAAATAATTTAATGTTTTAAAGATAAATGGATGCAGAAAAATGCATGATAAAATAGAGAGCAGAGTAGAGGTGGAGAACATGAAGATGTATGGGAGCAGTCTACTACCTGAAGGGCTTGCTGTCGGGGTCTGTGTCTTTGAAGCCCATCTCCTCCAGTTTGCAACGGCGGTAGAGCTCATAGTGGCGTGTGTGAGTCTGCTCTCGCAGGTCCTCCATGTTCACTCTAATCAGCATTTCTCGCAGCTTGACGAAGTCACAGTGATTCTCGTTTTCCACTGTGAGAGACACACATCGTAGTGACACGTGAGAGCCTCACTCAACACATCAGATGGCTTCCTACTCATCACGAGTTATGTAATTAGCAATAAGTGTACAATAGCTGTTTCTGCTATTGTACACTTACGCCAACAGCCAACGCGAGCATCACCTAACGTTTACATTAATTTATAGCAAATAATCGAATGAATTAAAACATGAGCGAGAATTTCACAGACCCAGTCAGAACAGAATGATGTTCACTTCCTGTGGCTTGTTTATTGATTTTGTTACCAGACTGAGCGCAACACTCCCACAGACCATGTGACTGTGTGTGTTTGTGTGTGCATGTGAACTCACATGATGTCAGTCTGTGAACAGAACCACGGTCAGATAAAGGACAGAAATATTTAACAGTTGGTAATTATTAGTAGAGCAATGTTTTTCATTCAATCCAGCACGTTGTATTTCAAATGAAACAATGACTGTGAGGTTAAAGTGCTGACTCTCAGCTTTGAGGATATTTATATATAATATAAAACATTTCTACACAGATCATTGGACGTGAATATAAACACCCTAAAATGAATGCTAAAGTAAATTAGCCTCATAGTCAACAATACATTTTAGCAGTAAAGTAGAGCTGCAACAGCTAATCGATCAGTCAATCGACGGAAAGTTAAACAGCAACTATGTTTAGAAACGCATCATCATTCTAGTTATTTATCAAGTCTGAGGTTCTCGCTTCTCTCATGTGAGGATTTTTAGCCTTTATTCTGTTTTATATCATTATAATAAATGTCTTTGGGTTTTGGACTGTTGGCCGGACAAAACAAGACATTTGAAAATGTCATGTTGATGAACATTTTTCTCTACTTTGTGTTTATAGACCAAGAAATGAATAGATCTACTAGCTTTCTATCTATAATACATTACCCACTCCGTAATGTATTGATCAAGTAAGTCAATAATAATAAAGCGATTGACACATCATCAGAGACATTACATTACTAGATCTGTGGGAACTAAGAGCTGATGGCGCACTAACATACAGTGTAATGGGAGAGAGGGTGCTGCGGCTAAATGAGGTTATGTAACAGCTCATCGACTAGTTTGCAGCAGCTGTTGGAGCCGAGCAGGAATACGAGCTGCAGAAGAGGGAGCACGCTCTCATTTCCTGTGCAGGATGTGACCTATGCTTACCCTGCACCGTCCCCCAGGGGTACTGCCGGGCCTTCACCATCTTGTTCCCAATCTTCACCTCCTCTGTGCTCCCCACAACAGCAAATGGCAAATGGCTCTGTGGAGCAGAGGGAAAAAGCAACGTTGGTGTGAAACAATCTTCAGAGCATGAACATTTCATTACTCAAAAATCTGAGAATATTACTGCTACTATCTCATTCATACATGCTCAGGATACATTCCTGATGGTGGTCAGACTGTAGATAAACAGCCAAGAGGCCACAGTCTGACCTCATAAACAGCTAAGTGAGCCCTGGCTCATCTGTCAGTGAACACAGGCCCTTTCCCACACTGCAGGCTTCCTGCCGAGTGAGCCGCTCTAAACTCAGTCGTCCCTGCATGGAGCGGCTTCCTGACAGCCTGAGCAGACGCAGACGATGACTGTCCCGATTCTACATCACATGTTGTTTATGCCACTAATGCATGACGGAATGTATACACCAGTTGTGACACTTACGTTCATGGTGGAGTTGATCTCTGCCACAGACTCGTCATCAGTGGGGAACTGGTAGATCTGCACTCCGTTGCTGACCAGCTCGCTGGTGATTTTGATTTTGAACTTAGCCAGCTCGCTCTTGGAGATGGCGTCCGACTTGGCGACGATTGGGATAATGTTGACCTGCGGTTGAGCAATTAGGAGATCGACACAATGACAAGGTGCAGACGACGCTTTCTGATACGCTGCTAAACACTAGATGTCTGTCAGTGGCAACTTTTTTTCAACACCATTTGCATAGTCCAGATTTGGAAAACAGTTGATGTATTTTTAAAAAGTATCACAAGGTTAAAAGCTAAAAAATACTTTTAGAAGTAGGATCTCCACCAGCATTCAGGTTTAGCAACAGTTATATGCTTCTACTCATTTCTTTTATTCCCCAGGATAACTTGTGCTCTCTTCATCATTTCAACACATCACAGTAGCTCTTTGTAGCTCCAGGCCTTAGTGCACCACAAACAATTACACATTCTTAAGGACGGAGATAAAAATAGTAAATGCAGCAAAAAAAGAGCTGCAGGCTTCCATCTCCTGCTTCAGATCACTTAAAAGCTCTCCAAACATGGTGTTAATAGTCAGACTCAAATGATTTAAACAACATTTGTGCTGTCCATGTTATCCAAACGGAAAAGAAACCCGGAAGGGAAGGGATGAGGAGCAAAAATACAGGCGGGGTCATTCTTATATATGCACTTACAACGATCTGATGAAAAAACGAGACCTTCCCTCCAACACGACTATTTCCTACGAGCTCCATCACCCCCACACATTTCCAAATTACAGTATTTGCTCTCCAACCGAGGGCCCTTTAAACAGCAAGGGACGCCCAGGTTCATGTGAACAAGTAATACTTTACTTCACTCTGGTGGGGAATCAACATCTTGCTCATGGACACTTCAGCAAGAGGTGAATGTGTAAACAGAGGAGGCTCTGCTCTGGATCAGGCCGTTGTGAGCACTTGCCAGAGGGCCCAGCTGCTCTGGCAAACACTGAGCCGACTCTTTGTACAAAAGCCAGGAGATCCATGCAAATAAGCTACTGTGGAAAGGCCCTCACAAAAAAAAAAACCCGAGGCTGACTGCATTTCACAGCTGACCTACACCGACGCAGTAACAAGACCAGAGCCAATTGGCATGCAGGCAGATGGCCGAGACAAGGTTTATGACCCATGACTAGAGTAGATAGATCAAATGCTTCACACAACAATGCAGTGCCAAAGGATTCACCTACAGTACATCTGTCACATGCCACAGTAGCTCCATCCATGTTTGTAAGCATTATAATAGTTATTCTTCAACATCATTCTTCTGCAGCACAATGGTCCTTCTCATTCGACGCAAAAAAAAAAACAATACAGAAACCATTCAGGCTATAACATTTGTGAATCTTGCCAAATGTTAAATAAACTGCATGTGGCTTATATATAAAAACAAAACAGTATTAAACCCTAACACTAATGGGACACTAAATGGATGGAAACACCCAGGATCTGAATAAATGATCCCAAAGCTTCAAAAGAAACAACAAAAACTAATTCAACAGGATACTTAGAGACATAAAATGGCGTCTGGTTGATGATAATAGTTTGAGGAAGTGAAGCAAAGCGCACCTTGCTATCGAGTTTCTTCATGGTCACCAAGTCCAGGGATTTGAGCGAGTGTCCCGTGGGAGCGATGAAATACAGGCATGCGTGGATGCGGGTGTCGTGGTAGCTGTGTAGCGTGCGCTTTATTTTCAGCTCCTCTTGTAGATACGCTTCAAACTGGGCATCAATGAACTCCACGATAGACTTGTAGCTGTCAGAGAAAGGGAGAAATAGGAAAGTAACATGAGCGAACACATGACCAGAAACAAACACAAAGAAACACACAGCTTGTGTACATACTGGAGAGTATTCAGCCAGTTCCAGTTCACAGTATACGCTCATGTATGTCCACGTTATTTATTCTATGACGGTAATTTGATACTGAACAATTTATGAAACCTAGAAACAACTGAAGCCTTCCTATAACAGTGAGCTAATGTAGTTGCAGCTCACGTGACATCTCGCCCTAAACTTCAGAGTTAAGCTTTGTTCATACTCGTGCCGTAGCCTTTCATCAGTGAACTAATAGTGACAGTCACATGACCGCATCTTGTTCAATCTAGTCAAACACCAGAAAAAGAGAAAGCTTCTACATCTGATTTTGGTTTGTACGAGTGGATACGATGAAACTATTGCGGAAACTCCTGGAGCTGGAGACTTGATTCCACATCCTACGGGTCGGGTACGGTTTCATTCAGGATGGGAACCGAAGGAACCTGAGCTCCCAAAAGGCTCAGAGCTCTCACTGAGTCGTTGTATGTCAGGAATGTAGTGTGCGTGATCGAGTGGGGATCAGACCTCTCCCTCCCTCAAAGAAGTGACATTTGTCCAGATTGAATTACCTGTCTTCTTTGTTGATCTGGTCTCCGAAGCCGACGGTGTTGACGACGGTGAGTTTGAGGCGCACGTTACTCTCCTGGAGCTCATAGGTGTTGGATTTGAGCGTGACTCCCGGCTGGTTGTGCTGGGTGGGCTCGCCCTCAAACTTGGTGTTGAACAACGTGTCCATGAGGGTGGACTTCCCGAGACCCGTCTCGCCTAGACAACACGGAGAAATGTCATCGTGTTACTGGGATCCTAGGAACGTTGATCTTGGTTTCCTTCCCACTAAACTGTTCTCTGCACCTCCATTCAGTCAGCTTCTGATAAATCTATGCTCAAACTGATCAGAAAGTTTATTGGCTGCATTATTTAATGGCATGCAAGATTCAATTTAACATATTTAAGATGCTCTGAACAAAAGAGCTCCCCACGGAGCTTATTTACTGATGAATTCTGCCACCCGTTTACTGTAACGAGGCCGTCATATGACTCAGATAAAGAGCTCCCTCTGTAAGAAATTCTATTTTTATTCCTCACAGCCTGACCTACAGTCTAAGCATGATAGCCCATTTCAATGCTCCACATTTCTAATCTTCCTTCAGAGCTCAGCTTAAGTCACTATAGAGAAGTCGCTCATGCTAAAGGAAATTTGGCATCTCTTTTAAAGAAAAACGAGGGACAAACTGGAAAGAATTGCAGTCAAACCTCCTATAACCTATAACAAAGATGACATAATAAAAACCCTGTGCAGAAATGTCAGTCGTCTGTTAGCCCAATGGAACCAATCATCTCCACATTTTTGATTCCCCTTTTTGGAATTTTAGGCCACAACCAAAAACATAGAAAAACAAAGATCACATGTCTTTGCCTCAAGTAATGCTTGTACTAATGTGCACTTGTGAGTCACAGCATTCAGAGTCTGCAAGAAAAGATGTTAGTCTCCTGCATCATCTTTGCTTTCATATTCTTGAATGTAGTGCACTGTTTGTTCAGAGAGTTATGGTTTGGTTGTTTTAGCCCCAATATTAAGTAATTATGACATTAGTTTTGTTTACATTATGAAAAACACATTATTGTTGGCCATATCCACTGTTCACTCCTACACAAATATAAATAGACTCAGTGTATCCACAAAACAGTCTTCAGCTGGGAGGCTAGTCGAAAACATCCCACTAAAAATGGCCACCAGCTCCACCTATCAACAAAATCTTTAAAACATACACATCGTCGTAGCGTAACTAGACATCTAAACAGCAACATAACACATAAAGATAGCATACATTGCATACAAGGTCTTAGAGAGCAGTAGCAAATAATGACCATTGATATGTGTGTGTGCGCTTCTGTGCGCGTGTGTGTCATGTCTTCCACTCTGTGTAAACTAAAATTAGGAGATGTTTGGGGAAAAAACACACAGAAGGCAAAAAAAGAAAACATTGCCAACCAATTGGTTAGAAATTTCCATTGCTCCTCTGGGAATTCATGTGCCCCTAAAATAACATTATTCCAAATAGCAAAGAAATGTTTGACAGCATACAGCAGCCAGTAATGCAATGTTAGCAAAAACTAAAACATCTTAAGTTCTAGCCAGCACTCACTGACACAAATGGAGTGGAAAAAAATATTAGAAACGCCTCTCAGTATAACCCAATACAATGAAACGGCACCACAAACTATAGCCCTCAAAATGACCATAAAGTTGAATAACAGCTTAAAGCTCGAGTTTATTGCGTGACTGTTGTATTAGATTCCATTAGTTGTAGCTGGGTGCACCTCATGAACTGGCAGTTGAGTATATGCGAGTGAATAATCCTGGCACTGAAGTTAAAAAATATCTCTTCTGAATTTGTTCGTTGAGCACTTATCTGAGCATCCTACTCATCGTAACTAGCGTTGACCGGTCAAAAGGACTCTAAGCAGGTCAAACACAGAGCAATGTGCTTTGCATCTTGTGGAAAAGCCTGACTTTCATTGAGGCAAGCAAGTCATCTTTTAGCCTCGGGGGGGAGAATAGAGAGAGAGAGAGAGAGAGAGAGAGAGAGAGAGAGAGAGAGAGAGAGAGAGAGCGCATGTTCACGCACGACATACTCACCAACACAGAGGATGTTAAAGCAGAATCCGTGGTTGACAGATTTGTTGACCAGCTGATCAGGCATGCTGTCAAAGCCGACATGGCCTGCCAGAGGGACAGCACGAGCACCGTCACCCTAAAAACCAACATTAAACATCAGATTTATATCGATCACTGACCACCTTATGCATTGAAATGCCTTGTTAAAAGTATGGCTTCTCTCTAACACTCTACAATTATCATATACATCTCAATAATTGTTGTCCTGTGGAGAAATAACATTATGTTTTCCAAATTACACTCGAATTAACACACTTGCCACCACGTTTGATCGTGTTAGTGTTTGAGAGAGACTTTAGGTACAATGTCGCTCACTTCCTGTTTCCTGAGTCTGAACTGTCTCCCCACAAACGAGACAGTTACAAACCACAATGTACATATATGGAAAGGTATCGCTGTCAATGTGTCAACAGCATTTAAAAAACAACAAAGAGCTTTGACAATAAATATATACTTTACAACTGAAAGAATAAGAGACAACAGAGTCCAGTTAGCCACCAATGTGTGTTTCTGAGGTGTCACTTTGACTTGAGCCCTTTAACTCCCTATTTTTGGCCGGTTGCACTTCCCTTTCACACTAATTTTGTGTAGAAGCACTGTTGTTACATGTGTGTGGGGGCGTGTGGCTGCTGGTGAGTATCTCCATCTTCTGTGAATCACAATTCGGCAGCCCACGTCTACATTATGAGGTGCCGGAAAGCAAAGAATTTAGATTATACGGCAAAGCAATGGCTCTCAACCAGCTAGACCTCAGCCAACAGGCTATTATGTGGCTTAACAATAACACAGTGTCGCTTAACTTGCTTTCCAATGTGGCTTTGAGAGGAAAACATTCCGCTGGTCAAGATGATGGTACCGGGCAGTTGTGGATTATTTGGATTGTTAGAATTGGGTTTAAGCAGCTGAGGGAGTATTTGGGCTATCTGGGTGTAATGTGACTGGACAAACAGCCTTTCCCTCTTCCGCTGCAAGTGCAACATTCCTGAAACCATTCCTGCTTTTCAACACTCTTACAAGCCAAGTCACACACAGCGGGTTTCCATTCATTGGGTCGCAAAAGCGTGCTATTCTGAGCACTCTTTTCTGAGTGTAGTGGCTTCCCCCCCCCCCCACACACACACACACACACACAAACACACAAACAAAAGCCAGGTAAACTTTACACAATTCAAATTACAGGCTCGAAATGACCATAACCGACCAGAAATATGTTTGGTACAACAGACAACGCCCGACTGAAAGTTAACGGGACTTAACGTTATTTGAAACAACATAACGGAAATGAGCACCGTAGCTGTGCAGAAACGGGGGCGTTAGGAATGAATGGCCTACCGACGGCTCTGTTATAGGTTGTCCATTTCTCGTGAGCTAATACAGAAGATACTACACAGTGTTTCAAATATTTAATCCCCCAAGAGAACCATTTCGTTTGAAACCGTTAGTTTTAGCCATCGATATCAGCACAGGATGTCTGCAGGCGTTGACTTACGGAAATGGAGATATTTAACAGAAAGCAACGACTGAGCAACCTCAGGCCTTACTTTAAAACGATCTATTCTATACGATTTAGAAATGCACAATCAGTTTTCTAATAGCCAACCGCCACCAACGGTCGTTTTTGTTTGGCGACGTTCCATTGAGTTTCGGTTGGAATATGACGTTCACCATGAACAGCGGCTGCTAGCTAACCTAAATATCTCCCAAACGTATTCTCTTACTTAAACTAGAAGTATATATTTGACATTGATATGGGATGGCAAACACATTTCAAGAGCTATGTGCTAATAGTGACGATGGCATCCTGAGTAAAATAGGTTACTCACCGCTTGCCTCGCTATCTCAGTTGACGCCATGGTGGTTAACGGAGGACGAAACCTCTGCCGCTGTCTCTAACGTTAGTTAGCAAAGGAAGCTACGCTGTTGACGTTACGCCGAAAGGTGGCCTAGTTGGAATGTACCACTATTCAACAGACTGTTTCACGACTGTACCACACTGTAAAAACTGTGCTCACACTGGGCGTTGATAAACGCCAGATACAACTCGGCTCGTGTTTTGAAAAATGTCTTCCAAAAAATTAGGATTACAAATTAGCACTGTCCACTGAGCTCCCCCACATGATGCCTTTATGGTGTCGCCCAGTGCAAACTTGGAAGACCAGTCAATGAAAATTACAAAGGAAGATGATTAAATTCAGAAGAAACATTAAGTCTTGATATAACTTCATCGTTTTAAGTGCAGTCCTAAACACATATAGGATATGTTTGAGCCGTTGCAGAAGTAGGACTGATTTGTCAAAATGTGCATCTCTGAATAGAAATGTCTTTCACAGTAACGTTAGATAAACTACACGGACTAAATTCCTAAATACTTTATACTGTATTTTAGTCATGGGACGTTATTGTAAATTAGAGCCGCAATAAGGGAGAGTCGCGTCAACGGTTCAAAAACGCTTGATCGTCACGTGATTCACTTAGACTTCAGATGGTTCCAGGAAGTACTTGGCAGGCAACTTGAATAGTAGATATTTGGTAGATATCGGTTGAAAAGAGAGAGAGAGAGAGAGAGAGAGAGAGAGAGAGAGAGAGAGAGAGAACTGCGATTTTTGATGATTAGTATTTACAGTATTGATATAGAGGAACGACATATGTATTTAGTTACATACATGTTTAATAAAATATACTAATATTTGAGGATTAGTAAGTGTAACAGCTATAGTTACCTGCCTTGTTGACATATTTTATTCTAAAGTTGTGTAGTATACACATATAAATATATATATATAGGTATGGATCCGCAAATGAGTTGAGATTTACTATTTTTGATTGTTTTACAGTCAATTGATCTATGATCCGCCATTGCTGTAAAAATGGTCCATTGGAGTGAACGGAGATTACGTGACTCTTATTATACGGCTCTGGTGTGAAATATTTAGTTGGAAACGCCCATTCAAGTCCTCTTTGCTTCAGCGACCAATAGGACGAAGGCAGTGAATTTAAAAAGCAGCCGCGGTCATCTGCAAAGGACATTTCAGATCATAACAACCGTGTGATACGAGAGTGAAGGAGCAACCAACAGCGTTTAGTAGCGGCGTTGACCGAGGTAACGTTAAGGCTAACACCAGTTTGTCAACGTTACTGTTGCATTTAGCACTTTGAGCTAATAACGTCACGTTACATGTACGTTGTATTAACTAAGACTAGCTCGCCTAGCTAACGTAGGCGAGCTAATTCAGCTAACGTTTTGTGAAACGTTCGTCAAGATAACGTTAATTCAGTTACTCATAAGAGGGAACGTGCAACAAGACAGCAGAGTGACGTGGAAGTGTTAACGTAAACTAAAAATGGAGGAAAAAGAGCCAGCTTGTGTTTCAGCTTGAGCTAGAAGAGGATCAGTGTCATTCATGAAAGCTGCAGCTATTAAGCGCTGTAACTGCCAGATTGGCTATTGGTAGCAGTGCACTTTGTTTAGTGTACGAAATTTTAGAAGAGACAAAATTCCTGCCACGGAAAGGTCTCTTCCATAGTGATGAATTCTAATGTGTTCCAGTAGCTAATATCATATTGTGTTTTCAGATACAATGGCCAACATAAACTTTGCAGAGCGAGAAAACGCAGGTCTTCATCCACTTAATTTGAAGATGCGTCAGCGCCTCCAGTCTGCTCCAGGTAAATGACAGCCTTGTGCATTTTCTATTTTTCTTCTGGCAGTAATGTTGGTCAGTTAACCTTTGCCTTTCCCCCCCCCCCCCCCACTAGAGAGACTCTTATCTCCTATGAATGCCAAAACCTTCCACACTCCTCTGGCATTTGGTCGTAAGGCTTTTGGTGCTGTCAACAAAAAAATCTCAACCCCTGTCGTCAACACACAAGAGAAGTTAAAGCCACAGGTTGGAATAAATTGGAGTCACAATCTAAAAGTAATGTCTCTGTACCTCAAACTATTCATGTACTAATGTATTATGATGTTCCCCACAGGAAATGAAAGTCAAACACGCTTCTCTGATCAAAGTGGAGGAATACCCAGATATTGAGAAGTTCATCCCTTATGACCCTCTAGGTAACACTGACGCATTCAGTAGTGACGGTTCTCACAGCTAAACCTTTTCATTCTGGTGCTACCAAAGATCATGTTAAGAATGTTAACAGCATTTTAAGGCAGACTTTATAGAATAATACATATTTGTACCATCAGCTATAAGATCACATTTCAGGTTTGGGTATTGGATGTAAAATACTGCTCAATCAGAAAGTCCATGAGTCCATTAATAGTTTATTCCCTCAGGACTCAACCCATAGAGTGCTGCAGGGATTTATTTGTGTAGGCCAACCGCTGAAGTTAGCATCACACTGGTTCCATGTCAAAAAGACAAAGTGATTTTACTATTGGATTGTGGATTCTTGCAAAAAGAGCTATGTGGCAAACACAAGTTTGTGGTAATTGCATGTTTTGTTCTGCAAGATATTCTTCACAACTGAACATTACTTTATGATTTTTGAAGTGTAAATGCTATCTCCAGATGTACAAAGCTAACGTTAGGCTACAAACGAACGACGCCATGACAGAGTGTGCAACAAAGCTGTAAAGGTGGACTATTCCACTTTACTCTAATTTAGCTACGATTCCAGAGGGGTATCTGCTGACATATTTTATATCATGGAACAAAAAGTAGTTTTTGCCACAGACTTTATTTCTAACCAAAAAACAATTGATTTTGAGATGAAGGAACAGGAAGTGCAAAACTGGTTTTCTGACTCATTCCAGAGTTTGAGAAGTACAGCGTACCTGAGGATCTGATTCCTCTCGGGGGCTTTGCTCTGCCTGGACTGGCCTGTTTCCCACCAGCTCCTCGTCTGTGTGAGGACGACCTGGAAATGTTTGAGCCACTCTCAAACCAGTCTCCTGTAAAGATGCCAAAATGTTCAGGTATCCACTTCAGTTCAATTAGGGCTGCATTCACACTTATTGTTTGGGATTGAAAACATATCTTAATGAAGTATTGGTCTATGATCAAATATTTCAATGAAGCACAGGGTGGATAAAGTCCTATTGCAGAATATGTAATTTCATATCTCATCTATTCTTGTGATTAAAAGTTTATGGAAGAAGTAACCAGATGGCATTTCTGTTTTGGCTTATTCATCAAATTTGCATTAAATAATAAAAGAGAACCAGTGAACAATCATTAAGTGATGGTAAAATATGACTACTTGCAAATCCATTTTATGGTGTTGTGTATATCATTGCCCAACACTAATAAAGTATTGTGAGGTTTATAGGTATAGGTCACCCACATTACAATAATCTAACTAGTATTAAACCATGCCGCATTTAAGGGTTTTTAATCATCGTTTTTTAGATTTTTGATAGGGATAATGTTGACTATCCCAAAAAAATAAACCATGTGGTTTAAGCAACATCTATCACTAGATAAGAAGCAACGATTGTCTGGCAGCTGTAGCCATAAGTATGGGGCTCCTGCTCCAGATGAAGAGTGTCATTAACCTGCTGTATCATTAACTTCACTGTATCGCCTCTCTACAGATCATTACTCAGAGCTGGACGCCTTTCTGCAAACACTCGATGAGCTGACTGTTGAACTTCCTCCAGAACCTTTTACCGACTGAATGTTGATGCATGTTTTTTTTTTTTTTTTTGTTTTTTTATTATGACATTTTTACTGAAATAAAGTTTGTTTTATCTGTCCCTATCTATTTTATTTGCTTTGGTTTTATATAATGGGTGACATGCTGTCAGTCTCTGGGGAGTATACACTGCACTTACTTCCTGCTTTGAAGTCCATCAGTGGTCACATGTGACGGATTCTCGCTGTTGGTTGCCCGAGATTAGAATGAACTTTGTCTCAGTTCCTCTTGTAAAGGAAACGAGGATATTGGCTTGAATCTATGGCTCAGTTTTTTGTTTTTTTGGGAGAAAACCTTAAATAATTCATATCTTATCAATTTTCTCCTACCATTAAAAGGGTTTAATGGTTACTCGAAACCGGAGTCAAGTGTGTGCTGACTACACGTATGCGCTTTGGACACAGAACAGGTGAGTAACATCAGTGTGGCAAAAACTGAGTACAGACTCGAGTATAATTAGTATTTAAGGGGTTTTGGGATGTCCGCCATTTCAAACGTTGCTTTGCAAAATGAGGAACTTGGTATATTTGCAGTAACGTTTAAAGTTGCATACGTGTGCACTTGGCACATTAAAACTTCGTGTATATATTAAAATAGACTTTCCTCCCATGACGCAGGGAAGGAGTGAAGGGACCCAGTTTGCAGTTTATAATTTGACAGTCTTCGGGGTGTCTAAATAAAGGAAGTAGCCTTGAACTCATCGCGCAGGGAGCCGAGCAGCATGTATGAGAGCAGATCGGATGATGCTGGACGTGACCCAACTGGATCCGAACCAGCGGTCTGTGACACCGACGCCCACGGCGGAAGTACGAGTGGACAGGGCGCCGTTGTGGAGCGACTCTCGAGGTATGGCATACCGGTCATGCCCAGTGCTTTCCAGCGTAGGTCGAGGCTGCAGAGGCAGCTGGAGGTCACTGACAGCTCCGCTCCGGGGGGTCTTCAGAGGGAGGCTCCGGAGCGAGAGTCGCTCACACCCGCTATGCGTAAAAAGTACATGAAAGAGCTGCTCCTGAGCAATCCGTCACACAGCGGGTTTAGCAGCGTGCTGTCACAGACTCGCAGCGTGTCCTCCGAGCAGGACGCGGGCTGGGCTCTGTATCCAATGGAGCACGCGTGGATGCTGTCCTCCGTGGAGGGAAATTACGACACCATCCTGGAGTTCATCTCCGAGGACCCCTATCTGTTGACCAGGAAGGATTTTGTCAGCGGGTACTCGGTGCTGCACTGGCTGGCCAAGAGAGGACAGGACGAGACTCTGCTTAAACTTTTGCAGTACGCAGAAAGTGCGGGGATCCCCATGAATGTGAACGCGCGGGGCAGCGGCGGGCTCACCCCGCTGCACGTCGCCAGCATGCACGGGCACTACATGGTCATCAAGCTGCTGGTGGGAGCTTTCAGCGCTGACGTCGACGCCATGGACTACAATGGGAGGAGAGCCTGGCAGTATCTGAAGGGAGACGCCCCGCTGGAGATGAGGGAGCTGCTAGGGACCTGGGATGACGAGCACAGCTGCGGGTGTGCGCAAAATGGCAAACAAAACGTGAACAACAACTGCGCCGGTGCAACTAACTTGACCACATATGATGAGGTCGATCACGGAGAGATGGAGGCGGTGAACTCCTTTGACCGGACTCGGAGAGGTGGCAGCTCGAGGTTTGGGTTTATAAGTAAGCTGCTACCCTCGTTTTCATTTATTCGAAACAAAAGCTGAATGACTTCAAGCATGTGCATTATCTCATGCAGTTCACTGGCGCTTATTGGGCTATATTTCTTAAAAAAAAAAGTGAAAGCAGCCCAGAAGCTGTTTTTATGCAAAATGCTCAAACAAGTTGACAGAAATTCCAGCTGTACTTGCAGAATTTTCTACATGTGTTGAGGGACGTTTTTGGAGATTTAACTATGCGTGGAAATAACTGAATAAAATGCAGATTTTCAGTGATCAAAAATGGACTCTTATTAAATACATTACTTGACACTTAAATCCTTCACATGAAACTGTTCAAAGATCATGTCCACACTGGGTCTATGACTTGAGAAGTCAAATATACATTTTTACATTTTAAGGGAAGCTAGCCTGGGAGCCACAGCCCCATTTCACAAATAATCCATTCATTTGGGATGTTTGAGACTCCTGGAAAGGAATCTGTTTTTAGAGCTGTAAAGTACATATTTTGTACTCTTAAATAATACGTATTCCATATACTGAGCTTTTTCTTAATATTTTCTTCTGACTCAGTTCTGCTTATGTAAACAATATTAAATGTTGGATATTGCTGACCTGGCAAACTTTCTGCTCAGTTTTGCCACCACGGTAAACATTTCATGATGAATAGCAGTACTGTCTTTGGTAGGAGCAACAAAGCCACAGCTCAGATTCTGGCTAAACTAGAAATAACCACGATCTTGCATGAAACAGCATTTCCAAAGTATTTGCTGTAGTCAAGAGAGTGAATCCCCTTCAAAGTGCTCGCTTCTGCTGCGCTGTGTCAGCATTACCCCCTGTGATGTTTAGTTTACCTAAGAGAAACACTACCTGTAAATGGACAATAAAATAAAGGCAGAAAAGCTCATATGAAGTTTGATCACAGATCTTTTATTGTCAAACAAGACCATAACCAGAGTATTTGTACAAAACAAATGCTGCTCCAGATAACACGGCTCCCTCCTCAGGGTCAGGCCCAGCAGCTGGAGGTCCTGGCAGATGTTGGGATGGAGGGACACGGGGATCCAGGGACCCTCACGTTTACAAGCCGAGCTTGGTCCTCCTCCAGTGTCTCCTCTTGGAGTTGTACCTGAAATCAAACAGCATTTAAGCAAACATAAGGAGAGAACATTTTATTCAAATACGAAACCTAGTAAAATGAAGGGCAGGTTCAAGAGTTCAATTGAAACTATGCAAATTCTGTCAAAGCTGTGCTTATTTCAGAGGACCTAAACTAACATCCTGTGTGATATACAGTCAACCACAACACAACAATGAGATTATTTTCTTGAAATCTTGTTACTAACCGCCCAAACCCCTTTGAAAAAACAGTTTCCTGCATGATCTCTTTTCACTGGAACTAAACCCATTACGGGAATCCTTCCAGACCAGTCATTTTAGAAACCACCAACACCATGGAAGTCCTCCAGCAGAGTCATTTAGCAGACACAATAGCAACTTTAGGTCAAACAGTGAAATGTTCGGCTACAGAGCTTCCTCATCACCACGGTGAGCAGGAATAGCAGCTGTGTAGCAGAAAGATGCTCTCAGCAGGATTAATGACAACACTCTACGGACATGAAGTGCTGCAATTGCAGACCTGCTTTACACAACATGAAGCTCCCGTTTCGTCTCTGCATTAGCGAGTCTCACATCTCTGCACTTACTGATAAAGTAGAGAGCTGAGAGCTCAACAATGAAACTGTACTAGAGTGAGTGAGGACCATTAAAACATGCATTAACCTCTCGTAGAAGAGTAAAGCATACGCTACACCTTTATAAAGGAAACTCTGCAACTAAACAGCAGGCCATCACATAAGTTGTGTAAATACTTTATTGTCAGTCTATTAGGTTGACCAAGCTAGAGTAATTGAATATAATACCACAGTCCATAATTAGTATTTTAGAGGATGTCGTTGGCGGTGCTGTTGAATTATACTCTATTTCTAACATGTAATCTCTTTGAGACAAGACATCTCAGTATAACGGATTATATAAGAAGTTGATTCAACTAGCACTGTATTGACTTAACTTGGAAAGAAGCCTGTGGGTCTGGAAATTCTTGCAAAACACTTAAAGTCTGCAGAGATGTCCGTTTCAACCTCATTCATTTCTCATTGACTGCATTACTCCTGTAAAAATGAGTGTTTAAGATTACATGGTAGGCTAGTTAGCTCTAGTAAAGTGCATTGGTATGAGGTAAGTGGACCCACATGTACAGACTGCATGCTTTCCTCGACGCGGCAGCTTCACATTGTTCATGTTACACACAACAAACTTACCTGATCTTGTTTCCAGTTTTCATTCTGATCCACTGAGGAATGGGCCTGTTCTGTTTCTGCTTCTTAGCGAGGAAGCGCTTGATCCTGAAAGTCTTGTGGGACGACTAAAAACACAACAAAGAGAGCCATTAACACCACGTCTGCCCACAATATTTATATCCAATGTTAAACATCTACGACCATAAACGAATCTATTCAAAGCACTTTAAAAAGTGTTAGTGAACAAGCTAGCAGCTAACGTCTATGAAGGAAGTTACATGCGCAGAGTGGGTACCGGCTAGCATCTTTGAGCAGCTTTAATATGCTCATCTTCCATATTTTAAGACAACATACGGATTTGTGAGGTACCATTGAGATGTTTATCAATCACACAATATAACGTAGCAGGTTTACAGGAGCTGCAGACGTGGATGTTTAAAGATTTTGTATTTACCATTTTGTCCACAGTCCTTTCCCGACTATGGCGTCGGCCGAAGAGAGAGAAGGACGTGACGTCGGCGGTTTTATCCAATAAGCGTCCACCCAACAGGCTCCACGTCACACACGCAGCGACACCTAGTGGAGGGTGTGTTTACATGCATCTTGGTACTTTGAGGCACGATGTGTGTACTTATATACAATTCTGAGCCATGTGTACTATTCTTGGGTATTTCTATTTTTGCTTGCTACTTTATACTCATACTACTGAAGGGATATGTTGCGATGTTTACTCCCTTACACGTCGGATTTAGTTACTTTGCATATAAAGATTTTTACATACAAAACGAATGAAAAGCTCATAAAAAAAGATACGTAGCTTAATGGGAATACTCAACGATATTTAAAGTAGTTACAATTGGTTCCACCTCAATCTGCTACAGTATTAAACCTCTGTTTAATGCATACAATAATATAACTTTGAAAAGAGCCATGTTGTGGTGGCCCTGTAATAAGTGCTGTATGTAAGTGCTTCTAATTTTGACACTTTAAGGACGGGATACTTCAGTACTTTTTCTTTTCACATCCGAGTATTGCTACTTGTACTAAAGGATCTGACCACTGCTTCCACCGCTGCCAAAGGTGAATCCCTACTAATACTGGAAATGAAAAAGCTGAAATGTAAACAGCACGTACATACCAGCAAGCTCATAAGAGGTGAAAAAGGTGACAAGCACCCGAAACCGAAACCCTGTCGGGGGGTTACCCGGGAAAATTTTATTTTAAATATGAGCTTTAAAATGTAGCATTCTGGTGTACTCTGAGAAGACAATTACGTAATAAGACATTTACTTTAAGCAAAAACAAAAAAAATGTATTGTTCAGTTATTAATCAGTATTTCAGCTCTAGTTGAACATCTGGCTAGTTAGCTTTTTTTCAATCAATATTATTATTATTAGACTTTATTTAGACAAAATCCATTGAGACAGAGGTCTCATTTTCAAAAGTTTTAGTCAAATAAAAATAAAGATAGCAAGAGTAGCGAGAACCATCGCCTATACAAAATAAAGTGATTCGTTTTCATTGAACCCTGTTACTGTATGGCTTAATATTAACTTCCACTGTTACTGTACAGCTGTTAGACTTGTGGCCAAAAATCTTCTATTTGTAATTAATATGCATTCAATCCAGTTCAATTATTTAAATTAAAATGATAATCTACTCTAAAGTAGCTTATCAAGAGTAAAATAATAGCTGTGATCTATACACACCTCTGCATTAGCAACCCGCTGAAATGAAGATACAGGCACCTTAAATCTCTCATTACTCCAGGGTTCTTGGGAGCAACTGCACGTGGGACTGTTGGGACTGGAAGTACACTGGCTGTGGTCATTACAGTGAACAGTGTGTAGTGTGATGAGAGGGCATGTGAGCCCTTGTTGCTGTAGTTCCATCTCCTTGTAGCAGAGGCTGTATTTAGCATACCCTGCCTTATCAATGTATTTAAAATACTGCGACAGCTGGAAGCTGTACTGCTCTCTCTTCACGTCTGTTCAGACCTCCACCTTTATCCAGGCCCAGCTCCACTCACATCTCAGCATTAATTAGCTCTACCCAGTCTAGTTTAGTGGAGGAATAGGTGGACATAACTGAACTACTGCAGTGTTATGAATAAATCAATCAAAAGCCCCTAACTTCAAAAAACTATACTGAACTTTTTTGGGGGTATTTTAATACTGAACAAAAAAAGGACATGTACACTTAAGCAAAGACCTCTTTTATTTCCAGGCAAAAGTGGCTATGGTATACAAGCATCAGCAGCATTGATGTGTTCTCATGCTGTATTCAGTTTAGTGCGACACACATTCATGTTGAAGAGGAGATTCAGTTTAGAAAAGTTAGGAAGGCCACTGGTTGATCCCTCTGATTGAAGCTTGCATGCAGGCATGGCTGTCACATGGCAGTTTAGTCTGAAATGGCTGTTTCCTCTCCATCACTATATGAATGTAGGAACAAAACACATGATCCCAAACCACGTTACGTACACTCTATGCTTCAGTCTACAAGACAATTTTACAGCTACTGACCGTGAAAAGAGTAAATTAAAAGTTCTGCACATAAATTTAGATTGTCTCGCTTCCCGGGCAGGAGTAAGATTTACATGTTTACACTTCAAACTGAACACGTCAATGCCACAACAGAAATATCATTCATGACAATGAAGAAACAATATTCATGAGCTCGGCAATGTTGACATATTGAGTAATTGGTAAGTTGTGATATGGATTAACATGGTGAAAGCCAATGTTTGCAGTGTGCACAACACTGAAGCAAGGTCACTTTGAGTTTACGTGGTCCAAGAAAGCTTTGGCTTCGACTAATGTGCCCAACAGCCAAACTGTAAGATGAAGGTTCCTGTTACCTTTCCTAACAAATACAATTAAAGAGGGTCACATTCAGGCCCCAAAAGGCTCCACCATCACATCCCTGCCTTCCAGACCGGGAGAGCCGGATGCAGCCCTGCTTGATCTGCAGTGCGTGTCGCCCTGAGGCACCACGCTGCTGCTCTGAGCCTCACAGGCCTGTCTCCCCTCTCCTCACCACATTTAAAATGCCATAAAGTAGAGATCTGCTCAATCCTCTCCTTTGTCGGCCACTTTCTCGGTCTCGGCATCTGGCTTTCTGTCGGCAGAGTTGGATTCCGCTCCTCCTCCTCCTCCTCCACCACCACCACCACCACCACCACCTCCTCCTCCTCCTCCTCCTCCACCTCGATTGCGGCTTCTGGTCCCTGGCTGGTACAGCTGAATTGCAGGCCGGTCCTGACGTAAAGAAACGATGCTCTTAGAAATACTAAAGATTTTTGCAAAAATTATTTGATTTGAGAGGCTAAGTCATTACCTTATTCCGTAGACGCTCTCTTTTACTACTCTCGTCCTTCTTGTAGTCTTTGGTCGGCCTTTCTGGCCTCTCAGAGTGAGTAGAGTCTCCAACGTTGTCACCCTTTTTCTTCTCCTTGGCCCGCTCTTTGTCTTTTTTAACCTCCTCCTCCCTCTTCCGACCCGAGTTCTCTCCGTCCTGACGGTCTCTCCTCCTCCGCCGATTCTCGTCCTGTCGCCTGATGCGCTCCTTCTCTCTCTGCAGCCGCTCCCTCTCCCGTTCTCGGTCGCGCTCTCTGTCGCGCTCTGGGTCACGCTCCCTGAACTCCTTCCTGCCCTCTTCGTCCGCTCTGTGTGTGTGAAGCACACGTTAGGTTTAAGTAATCTGTTCAAAGTGAAACATATACTTTCAAAACAAACTACTGAAGCAACTAACTTCCTTCCTCGATCCTCCTTGTTTTCAATGTGTTGACGCCTCTTATGATCGGCACCCCCCATGGCTCTGTCCTCTTTATTTGGCCTGTCTTGTTTCTTGGCCTTTTCCTTGGGCTTCTCAGAATCAGCATCCTCCCCTCTGTCTGGCTTCTTCAGGAGCTACACATTTGAAATTAAAGACAAAATCATAATGAGGTATTGGGAGATTTCACACCATATTAAACTGCTTCAATCCAACGCAGCACACACCTTGATCTTTGGTTCTTCTTTCACTTGGTCCTTGTCTTTCTCCAGGGGTTTCTCATGTCTCTTCATCTTGTCTGTGTCTTTGCGCTTCCTTCTCTCCTCCTCCCTCCACTTGCGACGCTCCTCGTCACGCATGCGCTTGCGATCGAGCTCCCTCCTTCTTCTCTCTTCTTTCTTTTCCTCCCTGATTCTCTGATCAGCATTGAAACAAGGTATGAGGCCAGCATTAAGCATGCAACTTAACAACTGTAACTAGTACACCAAACTGTTATGCCACAGTAGTTTACTTACCTGTTTATTCTTCAGGAAGTCAAGCAGAGGAGTTGTTTTTTTAGCTTGAAGGGAGAAAACAAAAGTATGTTTGAATTTATCCATCCAGCAGTGTGTCTCTTATAAAATGTATACAATGATGTCTCAGGTGCACTTTCTGGAGACTGTTCACCTACCTACAAGCTCCTTTGATTTTAACTCAATCTCTTCCAACAGTGTCTCTGGTGTTGATGCCATCTTGTCGTCATCACCGTTGTAAATATCAAGAAACTTCTTGTAATCAGGATCTGAAAGAAAATATACAACATACAAATGATAATATGTTGCTGCTTCTGGTAAGATTGCTTCTCTGTAGGTTAATATGGTGCAAATGGTCTTTTGACACAATATTAATTAACCAAGACAACTACTCGCTATTTAAGGTGATTTTTTTTAAGAAACACAAAATCTATTAGATATTAAAAGAACACACATACAAACATTACAAAATCTCTCTTGTTTTGTTGTAACATAACCTAAAGCAGTAAATGTCTTTACCTTCATCAATTGTTCCACATTTTGCATCCTTTTTCTTACTTCTTTTCTTGGCAGTCTTTTGAAAAGGTGCAAACTCCACGACGGCAGGATACTCCTGCCCTGTTAAAAACAAACAAAGCATGAAGCCTTGTCTGATATACTGCAGTTTGTGTATCTAGCTGTAAATGTGTGCTCTTCATACCTCTGCTGTCAATGAACACGTATCCATCAAATCGATCTCTGAAGAGAACTATATCCTCTTGATTCTTAAAATTGATGTAGGCCCTTGCAAAGAGGTGAGGATAGAGGCTGAAAGGACAGAACACTCATGTTAGACTTTTAGAGTCACTGATATCCTTTTTAATTGATGGGACGTTTTTATATCAACTCACCTGGCGTCATTGGAGAAAAATTCAAAGTAGTCCACCTCTGGGAGAGGTTGTAACTGCTCCTCCAGCTCTTCCTTGGTCAGACTTGGTGGTAACCGTCTGATCACAATCTTTAAATAAAATAATATTGCCAGTTAAAGATACTATCACGTAAGGAATATCAATCAGATTGAGGAAAAGAGAACATTAACTAATATTAACTTGAAGTTTAGTCAAATTACAATTTGTCTAACTCGTTATATAAAGTAATAGTAGACAATGCATGTGTTATCCGACAAAGCAACGCTAGTTAAAAGCATGCTGTTATTTAATTAAACTATAAGTATCCATAACTGACGAGTAGCAGCTGTAGCTAACCTAGCTAGCTCGTTTTACCTTTGTCATGGCCTCTTTCTTTTCCTTCAACCTGTCCGTCTTTTCTCCATCTTCACACTTTATTTCCAAACTTCGCTCCTTTGGCCGAGCGTTTTCCTTGTCTTCCTTCATAGTTGAACAGCTACTTCAATCCGCGGTTGTATTTCATCTCATTCCACAGACTTGTTTACTTTTTTTAGCAAGTTAGCCTGCTAGTAGCAACCGTTAACTTCCTCTCTGGCGGTTGGGCCTGCAGTTTGGTGTGATAACCAGGTGAGGGCGCTGTGAGTAAAAACAAGCGTGTACTTTGAATTTGAAATTATAATTAAATGTATTTAGTTTTGTCCATTTGTTTTTGGACTGAAATGTTTTTTTTGTTGTCGTTTTATTCTATTTAGAAAATAACGGCCGTTCAGTCAAAAAACCGCTTCCTTTTTTCGCGATTCCTTTCAAAATAAAAGCTGTCACATTTTGAGCAGTTTATTTTGTTTCTGACACTATTGTCACACCAACCAAGTGAGTGTTCAGTTGGCAGCTGATGTTATAATGATAATAATGCAATCTTAAATAGTGATGAAAAGTTATATTCGCTGCTGAATAAACTTTTCTCTTAACATTCGGTGTGTAATCTAAAATATAATTCCTGTTATTAACCATGGAGGCAATCTTTGAAAAAAATAATTGCAAATACAGCAACAGATTTGTTTCCCAATAATGTACACTAACGTTTGATGGCATAATAGTCTAGTTGTTAGTACAACAATGACGATTTTATCATCTTTGTAGAGCAGATGCTTTTCTTATGAAAAACATCTGACAGGAAGTGTTATTCCTGTTCCGGGTAATCGGGAGAGTCGACATTTTGTTAGCTCCTTAGCAAAATAAACAGTCGAAGGTTGTCTTAGAGCGACTTGGTTGTAATAAACGTTGCTCTCTGTCTGCCTGACCGTTACCGGGTGTCATCATGTGGTATGAGATCCTGCCGGGCTTCGCCGTCATGACCGTGTGTCTGATCATTCCCGGCGTTGCCACCGCACAGATCCACAAGTTCACCAACGGAGGAAAGGTGAGGAGGATGCAGACCGTGCTGCATGTCAGTGTTGTTGTCCTCTAAACTAAAGCGCTAAGTTAAAGACTTTGTTCTTCCTTGTAGGAGAAGAGGATCGCTCGGTTTCCTTGGCAGTGGTATCTGATGGAGAGAGACAAGCGAGTGTCAGGATCAGGGCAGTATTATGACTCCAAGGTGAGTTGGCCATGTGTCATTAATATCACCTTTCCCCCCCCAAATAAATCGTATAGTTTTATTTTTTGGATACATTTCCCACCATCCAGCTGACCGTTTGGGGTTTGTTTCCCAGTCAGCCGTTGACATTGCAAATGTCTTTATATACAAACCAGATTTACCTCAGTGATGTGCCAACATGTAATGTGTAGTTTGTGTCAGCACATTATGAAAATAAACTAGCATTTATGAGACTATATATTAAGAAAGTGGACCTCCACCTATATCCATAATTTGAGAGTAAGATGCATTATTGCATTCATGAGCTATTAACATAGTAGTAAAAAAGGTTGGGTATTTGATCTGAAAATTACTTTTTACATTCTGAATATACAACTGACGTACCTGCTATAAAACTAAGATAAAGTAATATATTTATGTTATGGAATACTTAGTAAAATGCTGAGTGATCATGTAAACAACTAGGATGATGTACTGTTGTTTAAGCAAACAATGCAATTATGAAATATTATTTCTAATAGACTAACACACTTAACTCAGACACTGTGAGAGTAGAGGTTACAAACGTGGATTAAGATAATGTAGTATTTTCTTGTGGTAATTTAAATGTCTTGCTAATTACATATATTTCCCAAACTGTACTTTAACATGTAAACTGACCATTACAGCAGAATTTGCACATATGACGCTTAAATGTTCTTTATGAACATAAACAAGAACATAACTTTGTTCACCTACATAGGTGTTTTTAACATTTGCTGAATAAACCTCTACTTGGTTTGAAGGTGGACAGAGTTATGCTGGAAATTAAGCAAAGTCACTAAAAATCCATTTAATTAAAAACAAAAACAAATTCCCTCCCAAGTGCTGAAGCGAGTGCATGAGACGTCAGTCTGTAAACACTGTGATGCACTTCTCTCAGTGAAGTTTCTAGTTGGAGCTCAATAACCAGCTGAAATAAAACCAGAAGCTGTCTGGAGGACAATACCATTTTTTTTTTTTTTTTATATAATGCCTGACAAATGGTCAGTTCATGTATGAAAATAAAATGCAAATATGTACTTTAAAAAGACTGGAGATATAATCTTTTTCTTCCTCAACAGGGACTCGAGAACATCCACTGATGAACAGAACTATGGAGATCCTGACAAGAAGAAGTTGGACATTAAAGGATTATATTTAACATTCAGCTGTTTGTATTTTTTTCAGTCTTTTCAGACAGTCTATTAAACTATTCCCAACTGGAAATCTGCTGAGGCTTCTTGGCTCGTTTGTACACCTGTTCACATGTTGTGGAGTTTATACTGTAGATGTTATGTCACCTGTACAGGTGATAATCCTGTGTTCTCAGAGGACATGTCTATTTGTAGACTCGACATCGTTTATCCTGTACTGTAGCTGTGAAGCATCTTAAATGCCTTCTGGTGAAATGGAAGAGACTCTCCAATCCAACTGTCACTACAATTCTGATAATCCCATAATCAGTAAGTAAGAACTGCTACTTTTCTATTTAATAGATCATAGCTGATTGTCTTTGGGTTTTAGACTGTTGTTCAACACATTTAAAGACGTCACCTTGAGTTTTGAGAAGGTGTGATGTGCATTTTTTTGAATTTGACATTTAATATACAATTAATTGATTCATTTAAAATATTAACAGGTTAATTGATTTAATGCAGTCCTGTTGGCCATCACGTCCACATTAAAGGAGTCCTGTTGAAATATGGTTATATCTCAAATATCAGGTGTTTGAACGAGAAACAATTGATTTAACAGTATCTATGAGCTCCAGTGAACTGGTTAGAACAGGACAGAGAACATGTACTTTACCAATTTAACCAGCAGAAATATTTACAGTAGCAGCTCTGCTGAACACGAACAATCAAAGCTTTGTATAACTTAAAGATTGCTCTAATTCATTGCTGCTGAAACTGTTTAAGGAGTTCAAAGAAAAATCAGATGTCACAAATCTTTCTATACAAAAATGACGTTTTTCATTCATTTTTAAAAATCTTTGCTGATGTACCTTCCTCCAACTCCTTCAATCTATCTTTAAGAAATACAAAATCAGGCTGTAGATGCTTTATTTGCTCTTTAAAATTCTTATTTTTTTTTATATACTCTGCTTTCTTTTGTACTTTTTATGTCTGAAACATCTGCTGCTGCTGTCTTGGCCAGGACACTCTTGAAAAGGAGCTTTTTAATCTCAATGAGGCCTTTACTAGTTAAATACATTTTCAAATAAATGAAATCAAATAAAAAAATATGAAATCCACAACTTGATAATGAAAATGTATTTACCGTTCTGATCAGGAGAAACATTTACAAGTTAAGGTTGAACAATTGAAAGGAAAGACTCTCCAGTGAGTAAATATAAAACAACAGAACAGAGTCTCGCACTCATTTCTTTAAAAGTAAAATCCTCCCACCACACTGTACATTCAACTCAAACTGAATGTGGTTAGAATGAAACATTAATACCCCTCCTGTCTCTACAAATGAGATGTTCACTTCTCCTCCTTGCCCTTGGTTTTCCTGTACACCATCTCCCTGAAGCTGGACAGGATCTTGCTCTCTCTCTTCCTCCTCTCCTCCTGGTTGAAGGAAGCCAGAGCTCTCTTCTCGTCTGCACTGTAGATCTGGTTCTCCTTTCTCAGACGCACAGCCTCCATACGACGATGTCTGCGGGGGTTACATCGGAAACTCGTCAGTATCACAGTAATGATCTGAAAGGATCTCATCACAGAGTTAGTCGTCCTACTTAGAAATATCACCGACCTGCTGCCGCTCATCACGTAGCCGGACTTCTCGAAGTTTGCGATCTCGTCGCTGGTGAGACCGATCTCACCTCTTCTCGGGATACGTTTTCCCGCTTTCACGTACTCCGCCATCGCAGCACCCTCACCCGGCAACAGCGCGTGACCAAAACTGGAAGAACAGAAAACGAGGCGAGTCATGAATTTGGAAAAAATAATAAAAGCAGAACAAAATATTTAATGTTCTCTGATTCTGAAAAAAGTATAAATACCCCTGCTAGTAATATTACAAAGGCAACTCCTTCGGCTGCAAATGACCAATGATTTTTTTATGTATTCATCTTATTGCGGATTATTTTCTTGAACTGTTTTGCTGTTTGTGTTGCTTTTAGCTAAATGATGAACACTTGATCGCGTCCCTTTTATCCTGCTGAAACATAACAGGAAGTCGTCCTGCTTTTACTTTGGAAATTCTAATCCTAAAAGATGTTAAGAGCTTTAGTTACATGACGTCAGACCGACTTACTCCAAAGGTCTGTCGTCCTGCGACATGTCGTGTGTGAGCGGCGCTTCGGGGCCGACCACGTTTTCGTCCATGCAGGTCTTCTCCACCCACATCACTCCGTTGGGATCCCCCTCCTCTTCCTCTCCTTCCTCTCCTTCCTCCCCTGACTCTTCACTGCTCGAGTTGCTGGACTCCTTCCGACTCTTCTTTGCCTTCTTCTTCTTGGACTTCTTTGACCTAAAAGGAAACAAGAGAAGTTTGGTTAATCAAAATGTCACTTTTCTGTGTGAATGAAGCTGCATATTAGCACATACTTCTTGCTCTTCTTTTTCTTCTTCTTTTTCTTTATTTCTTCTTCTGAAAGACAAAAAAAAGGATAAAAATCAATGAAAGATAAGAAATATGAAATATATTTCAGCTGATATAACTCACTAAAAAGACTTGAATTCATATAATTATGATATTCATAATCTTACCATTTGAATCTGATTCCAGCTCGCTGTCCTCGGAATGCTTTTTGTTCTTTTTTTTCTTGGATTTCTTCTTCTTCTTCTTCTTTTTCTTTTCTTCTGTGAATAACAGAAGTGTTTGTAAATTCAAACGACATAACAATATCAATGTAATATTCATTCACGTTCAAACACTGTGCTGTACCTTCTGAGCTGGATTCTGAACTGCTGTTTTTCTCGTCTTCTTCGACTGGTGTGAATTCATCAGAGCTGGTGCAGAACAAAGACAGAAATGTGAGCTTTCATCCTCTGTAACTACAGAGCCGGATAATCAAAAATAAGATAAACATGTGTGGTGCTTCTGAAAAACCACGTGTTGCTTTGGAGGTGCGATTGTTGACTTACTCCGGCTCTTTAACTCTCGGTGAATATCCCCAAACTTCAGGACAACCTACCTCACCGATCCTCTCTCTCTCTTGCAGACGCCTGTAACAGAAAGACAGATGCAGAAGTCTGAAGAAACAACTTGTTATGTTTCACACTGTAGGTGTTACGTTATTTTGTAGGATCCGCTGTAGAGATGTTGGAAAATAGCTGCATTAATATTGCGATAATGATTTCAACAAGTTAGTCGTATCTTTTAAACTGTTTCTGGATAGTTTAGCAGGCAAAATATCTTGGTTTACTGAATTGAAACCTTGAAATCAATTAATATTCCAAAAGTATATTATTGATTTTATAACTGCAGTTGATATTGTATCAAAGAGTTGTAATGTAGTCATACAAATAGATCAATTCATGTCTAATAGGCTGAATCTGACTCTTTAAATACTCTTTCCCAGGAAAGGTCTTCTTAAAAACAATGATTTGTTTTTGCATTGAATATGTTGGAAAAGCTTTTTACTATTATCAAGTTGAGGTATTTGATTTAGATTGTTTTAACAAAAAAAACTGAAAGAAAACAATTCATGAGCCTTAACCTCTTAACTAGATTAAGGAAATATTTGAAAAATATTGTGATTTTAATGATGTTAAAGTCCCTGAATCACAGATTGGGGGCCTGGATTGTTTAAAAGATATTTATTTATGAGGCAGGGTATGTTTTAATCTGTCTTCTAGTCATAGAGATGCAACATTGAGTTCTGGAGTGACCCTTCAATGAAACTGGATCGATATAATGATCATTCGCTGTAATATTAGTGTTTTCATTGTTTACCTGGCAATAAAAGCATCTTGTCTCTGTCTCTGAGCGTCGTCTCTTTGCTGCTCGTAGTAATATTCATCTTTGAAGCTTCCGTGTTTTCCAGAAGCGTCCCGCTGCTCGGACCAGTGGTTGTAGCCACCGCTGTTGTTGTTGTTGTTGGTGGTGGTGCTGTTGTGTCGCTCCCTGGACCTGGACCGGGACCGAGACCCTATCCGGATCCGTCTGATGTTCCTCGCCTCGCGGAACCGGCGGTCCCGTTCCTCGTGTTCCTTCTCCCTGTTGCGCGGCTTCGGGAGTTTGGGCCCGAAGCTGTACGGAGACAGGCTCCGCTCGCGGCTGCCGCTGCGGTGGCGGCTGCGGGAGCGAGTCCTGGGTCTCCGGGCACGAGGACTCCGGGGCGCCGCGCCGCCGTCAGAGTTCGAGCCATCCGACTTTGGCATGTCTACTGACCGCTTTAAACTCTCACACACTAGAGATAAAAAAATATATTTAAAAATAGTTAGTATTTAGAGAGAGAAAAGAAAAATTAACACGCGTCCATGTTTTCTGTGATACGCAAGAAAAGCGTCCAACAACAGGAAGTCTTCTTCTTCTTCTTTTTTGAGGTTTATTGGCGAATGGCAAGAAATGAATTGGTGCGTTACCGCCACCAACTGGTAAGGAGTGTAGATCAGGCTGTCTACTACTAAAATGAAATAAAATGAAATAAAATGAAATAAAATGAAATGAAATGAAATGAAATGAAATGAAATGAAATGAAATAAATTAAAATAAAATAAAATAACTGGCTCATATTTTCTTACTATTATTAGTTAGTCTACGATATTGAAATAATACTTGATAACATTCACTTTTTGAGTTATTTTGCAGAATATCCACTACATCAAACATCTTGCCGAGGTCTCAAATGAGCTGCCCTCTTTCCTGCTCATGTTTCTGACCGTCCTCCTCTTTTCTGTGTTAATGGCAAATTGTAAGTAAATGCAGCATTATCGCATGAGCTCTCGGCTCATGTTCTTCCCATCAGTCCAGTATCTTTGAGAAAAGTGAGGATGTGTCATCATTCCCAGTGTTTCTTCTGAATACTTGAATACCTCACAGCATATTCTTAATGCTTGCAACTGGATTCTAGTTTTTTTAAAACCATACATGCAGCTGAATCAAACACAATACAACTGTAATCCAGGACTGACCTAATTAAAGATGTATAAATGCTCCTCAAAGTAACTTTATCAGTCCCCCACATAGTGCTAAGTATCTCATAATTTTCAAAACTTTTTACATTTATCGTCTATTTTATCAATGTGATTTTTCCATGTGACCGTCTCATCCAGCCCTAATTGAAATGCTTTCACTATATTTACTCCTTGGTCATAATATTTTTTCTTATCTTTTTCCTTGAAAAAAATTAAGTTTCCGACTTTCTTTATTTATTTTTAAAAGCAATTGTCATGAAAAAGAACTGAGTTTTGTCTCCATGAATCACGTGATCTAGCATTTTGAACTTCCGTTGACGCGACTCTATTGACGAATCTGGCAGTGTGCGACCTCCCGCGAGATACATGACGAAGATTTCGGTGGGCAGGCACAACACCGGAAGTTCAAGTCAATGTGGTCTGTGGACTTTTAACTGAGCAACCAGCAACTCCACGGTATACAGTAGTTTGGGATGCTACACAACAACACCGGTTCTCTCTGTAAAGTAATCCGTGTGTTTTGTAACATCAGAGACGGGCCAGAAGCAAGATGTCTTCTAATACCGTTAAACTGGAAAGAACCGTGAAGCCGGTGTGCAAGAAACTTGAAGATGCACTGGCAATGGAGTTCTTTTTCACGGAGTTGAATGCGACCGCTACGTGCCTCATTTGCAAGCAGAAAGTACTGTTTACGGGGTTAAATATGAAGCGGCATTACATCGCAAAACACGCGGGAAAGTATGATAGATATAAGGGAAGGAGCAGGAAGACCACGTCCGATGAGCTTCATGCAGAATTCAACAGCTCCATCGGGACGTCAGCAAGAGAACCTGAATCTGTGCCTAAAGAGATCGCTCCAGGTATTATGCTCTTAATTAATGTATGTAGAGATCGTCGCAGTAAACTTTTATTTTGAAGGGAATGAACCGGTAGTTATCTAAACCCGGCGCGTAAACAGTTACACGTTAACTTAACCGCTTTCTGCTGAATTAACGGCACGATTTCATTGTGGTTTTAACACTAACATGAATCAAATTATGTATTGTTATTGTAGGTCTTGTAATGATATTACGGTTTAAATGTGTGCTTGATAATCCTACACGACGGCGACTCCTTGTGGCTGCTCCATCAATGAGGCTGTAGCTCAGTCGGCAGGGTGTTGTGTGTTGTTAGCCATTGTCTGTAGCCAGCTACGATACTACAGTCGGTGTCGGTGGTCCTGCTCAGTCCTGTCAGCAAACATCAGGGTTGCAGGTAAAACAGAAGTAGTTGTATGTGCAGCTGTTTAACGTAAACAGATCTCACGCATCCGTCGTAGTGTTGTGTTTGAAGCTAGCATGCTAACAAGATGCTAAACAGCAGGCCGCGCTGCCCGCTCCTCATGAAAGAGGAAGTGAGGAGGAAACTCAGCTAGTTACCTTTGTTAGCTTGCCCGTTACGATGTTTGAATATCAGATCGATTGCGTTAATACTGTTTTAATTAAAGTAGCAAACGTCCCCGTTAAAGCCTATTAAACGTAGTTATGCACGTGTGCAATGTCACGCGAGACTAAGCTCAAAGCTAGTTACTACAACTTTGTTAAACTGAGGTGTGACGTTAGCTAACGTGTGGTTAAGGTAACGTTATTGTTTTTGTTGTCTGACTAAATTATGATGCCTAAGATTAGCACGACTACAACACTGATGTTGAAGTGCATACTGTGACTGTTCCTGTTTGCATTAAAGACTAAAACACGGCCTTTCCGAGAACTTTAAATGATCTTTTCTGCAAATAAATACGTGCATATTTATTGTAATCGGGGGAATATGTTGACTGACACGTTATTAGCCATTTCTGCTCCATAGTATAGCCTAAAAGTATAACAATCACAAAGCTTGTCCACCAGAGCACTTCAAAAATGTACTTTTAAGTATCGAAAATGACATCAAAGATCTTCTATTGATAAATTAAACATACCCTGCAGTATAATGCATTATAAATACAACAGCATCTCAAACTAGAGCCAAGATGACCATATATCAACACCTCCTTAAGACGATTTCCACAAAAACAAACATACCACAGTGTTGTATAAACAAAAGAAAACAAAGTCAGATGGTTTCAGGACATCCTTGAACAAACTGTCCTGATTGTTCACCTTTTGAATGCTTGCATGTCACCATAATGTCATTTTCTGCCCTTTCTTGTGGATTGATAAATTAATCATTTATTCTTTGATTTTTTTTTTTCTCTCTACAGCCATGCCGAGTCTAAAGCTGATCTCTGCGACCGACACACAGTATGCCGTGTCTGTGCTGAAGTCGATGAACGAGCAGCGGAATCACGGGTTATTTTGTGACGTCACCATTATCATACAGGACAGGAAATTCAGAGCTCACAAAACCATCCTGTCTGCTTCGAGTACGTATTTCCACCAGCTCTTCAGTGTAGCCGGACAAGTGATCGAGTTAAACTTCATCAGAGCGGAAATTTTTGAGGAGATTCTCAATTACATTTACAGCTCCAAGATTTTCCGCGTCCGCTCCGACATGCTCGAGGAGCTCATCAATGCTGGACAGATACTGGGAGTCAAGTTCATTGCAAACTTGGGGACACCGTTGTCACAAGTTAAGGGTCTGCCTGGTTTGTCAAAGGAGACGGAGAGCAAAAGTGGCACACCCGCAGAGATGATGCCCATCATCGCAGAGTCTTTCTCCATATCTGCCGAGGAATTCAATCAGACGAGCAAGCCGGCGGGCAACGACTCGGACTCGGACGGTGATGTTATGTTTGTCTCACAAACGGATGCTCAAACCAGAGCGGCCAATCAGAAAGCCAAATCTGGTGACCCCATCGATGTGGATACAGCTGATTCAGGAAAGGCAGCATCAAAGCAAAATGAAGAATCAAATCATACAGTAGCAAAAGAGAAAGCCAGCGCCCCCTTGAAAACAAGTCCTGTAAAGCCTCCGATCATCAGTGGTCCGATCATCAGTGGTCCGATCCCCAGCGGTCCCAACAGCAGCCCTCTGCACAGTCCAGACAGCAGCTCCAATAACTCGGCGTCCCCGGCCAGAGTTTCCTCAGGAAGTGCCCCAACAACGCCAGCCAGGTCGAGCAATGTCACCCCCGAGCCCTCGAGTGCCTCTCAGTCCTCGGAAAACAGCGATATAATGGGAGTCCACAAGAAGCAGGTCTCTGCTTCCTCTCAGCAAGGGGATTTCAAATTAAAGCTCCTAGATTTGACTGAAGGCCAAGCAAATCAAACGAACAGTCCCAAATCGGCCATAGCAGCAAAAAAGACAGTGACACTCAATACAACCACAGAGATTGATTCGATTTCCTCAGGCTGTAAAGTGTATGCAAATATTGGAGAAAACACATACGACATTGTCCCGGTGAAGGAAGATCCAGGCGAAGGGGGATCTAAAGTCAATAGAGGGAAGAGGGCGTTTATGGCGACGCCTTTGAAACCGTTCGATAAAATACCCACCTCACCGCTGGGCGGCCCAAACAAGAAAAAGGCCAAAATGGAGCTCGAGGACCACTATGAGCTCATCATGGACGGGAAGACGTTCTTCGTGTGCGTCGTCTGCAAGCGCCCCTACGTTTGTCTGACGAGTCTCCGTCGTCACTTCAACACCCACTCGTGGGAAAAGAAGTATCCGTGTCGCCACTGCAACAAGGTCTTTGCACTGGCCGAGTACAGAACTAAACATGAAATCCACCACACGGGAGAGCGGAGGTACCAGTGCTTGGTGTGCAATGAAATGTTCATGAACTACCAGTTGCTGTCCACCCACTGCAAGCAAGCCCACAACCAGGATCCCAGCGGGAGGAAAGAGAAAGACGAGACGGACAACAACTTGTACCGACTCCTGCCGTGTAAAACGGTGCAGATGAAGCCGTACTCGTGGAGCACGGACGGGCAGGGGGTCCCCGTCATATCGGAGGATGGCAGCGTGCATCACATAACCGCCGTTGGCGAAGACGTCCACTCCTCCACTCAGAGCAGGATGTTGAACTGGGACGACATCTTTGTCGAGCCCGACGCTCACATGCCGCCCAACGCTCGCGCCCGACCAGCGTCAACCGTTAACAGCATTCCACAGGGAGCCACGGAGTTTGACTTTGTTATACCAGAGACCTACTGAGCAGCACGAGCTGCTCCATTACCTGTGCCTTTTTGGTGCCCCACCCGCCTATTTCCTCCTTGGTTCCATGTCAACAATATTCTTCTGTAATTCTTAAGTGTCGGCTTCCTTTCAATGACATTTTTAAGGTGTAATATTGTACTAAACTTGGTGAATAATGTCTCTGAGTCTGCCGGAGCAAGCTGGAGATTGATTGAATTTCTTCAACTTGAGTTGAACGGAGACGGAAGGAATAGTTGCAGGATGACAGCGCAATATGACCAGACCTTTAATCATGTTCCTCTGCTTGTGTAATAACATGATCTTTTTGTATCATTGGAACAAATGATAGTCACGTTAGAAAAAACATATAGCAGTGGTTCCCACGCAGTAAGAGGGTGAAGGAACAAATCCATGCAAGAAGTCTCACTAGCTGTAATAAACGGTTAAGTCATGTATATTTAATTTTTCACTGTATGTGGGAAGTTATATCTATACAAACTTTACTTTTATCATCTTACACATTCAGGCCGATACGCGACATTAGACCTGTGTATGCAACCGGTCCTACGCATTTAGGAGCTTTGCCTATTTAGGAATGTGAAACATCAGCAGATGATTTTTGTAACGAGGCAACCTTTTGTTCACAGGATACATTATAATGCGTTTTGTGGTTTCAACAGATCTGTATAAAATTCAGGATATGATCCATAGTCGAATGAATCTATCGTTACCGGATCATGAACTTAGTTTAACACAAGGCGTTGATGAACTGATCATTGCTTGTTCCAATGTGAGACTATTTTAAGCCTCATTCTGTTCAAGAGAATGTTTATTATGATTGGAAATATATTTTTTCATTGTGTGATTGTTGGCGATTCCACATCTGGGTGTTGTGGAAGGGAAGATATACAATGGTTATTTAATTTTTCAGTGGTTTGAAGTTTTGGCTTTCTTTTTTGTTGATTAAACCTGTTTTTATTTTCATTCACTTGTACATTTTTGTTTCCTGTGCTTAACATGTTTCCTTTACTTTTAATATATATTTCAATGCCAAAATCCTTCATAGAGTAGGCTAGAGACTAGCATAAGTGTGATGATAGGATTGACATAAATTGAGGATTATTTCAAAGCACTCGGTGTCGGATCAGGCAGAAGATTTGTCTGTAATATTCTTACTTTTTTACTCGTTTTTTCCATTGTATCAACAATGTAGTGATTGGTCAGTATGAGTAAAAAAACAAACAAGTAGTGCTAACATGGGAATCTATTCTGTGTCATTCAATAAAATCATGCAAGATTTGTTTTTTAATTAACAGATTAACATTGGTGTCTAATGTACAGTATATTTGTATTAACCCCACTTTCTTTTTAAGTGTTTCACATGTATTTATTAGGTTTATAGCGGTATACAACATGAAATAGTTATTAAATACTCTGTTCTGTTGGCATCTAACTAAATGTTCTTTTTCTGTCAATTGGCAACAATTCCCTGATGGTAAATAAATTATTCTTTTACTATTTTTACTTAATTGTCTTGCACCAACAGCATTTAAATATCTGTCATTTTAATTACTGTGTTGTGATGATGTGAGATGAACACAACGAACGAACTTAATTGCATTGCCTCTCGCAAAGTCTGGAAAAAATGCACAAGATCAGAAGCTGGTGTAAGAGTTGAACTCACTAGTGTAATAAGACATATACATATTTATATTTTTGCTAAGTGAAATAGCTAAACTCAGTTTAATCGTCCTGGTTTCACTGAGGAAATGTAGCCTTAGTGGCTCTGTGAGGCGGTGCTTTGAGCTAATATGCTGATGTTGGCAGGGTTTATGTTTACCACCATCACCATATTTACTTAGCAAGTTAGCATGCTAACATTTGCTAATTGGCACTACATAATTCGTTTTTCAGGTAATTGATCATAAACTTCAACATTTGACGAGATGATGGACATGTAGAAAGTTACAGGGTCACCAAAGTTACTACTTTCCTCTTTAGAGGGGGACATGCACATCTACACCAAACGTCGTGGCAATCCTTCAAACTGATGAGGATTTTTCATCATACCAAAAAATGTCGACCTCATTACCTCATGATGGCGCTACAGGAAAAGCTGGGATCACTGAGGTCTGTAGGGATCATCCTCTGGGCACTATGAATGTCGGCAGAGTTTCATGGCTACCTGTAGCTGTTGAAATGTTTCAGTCTGGATCAAAGCGACCGTGGTGTTGCTACCTTGAATAAGAAGAAACTCTTTGAATTACACAAAACATTTTTTAATGGCAAGACAAAGGAACTGACAATCAGCCCCTGAGAATGTGTTTAAATCATGAAAAGCAGTGATTAAAGCTGACAGAGACCTGTCTCATGGACTAAGTTGACTCTTCTTCTCTCTTCCTCAGTGAACAACAGTCCCTTTGACTCTTCATTATCTCCCATCTCATGTCAGTGAATCCAGCACTGACTGTCCACACTCGGCCTGACAGAGACAACACTTTTAAACTCATAGATGTGACATTACGACTACTTACAAAGAGAGATAGATATATGTTTACCTTCTTGGCAGCTTTTAGTTAAAAGACAATAAATAGGGTTTGAAGTACAACTTAACTTAACCGTCCTTCCTCAACATCTACTGCAGAATAACTTATTTCTTCATAAACGTTGCTCTGCAAAGTGCACCACACATTGATCAAGATATTTTGGAACATAAACTGAAGAGTTGATAAATAGATACCATGATCTGTTCGGATACCTTAGTCTTAACTGCTCAAGGAGCATCTGTATACCATACTGCTGTACATACATTACGAGCATGTAATACCTCCATTACTGTCTACTTTGCTACCAAACGGCGAAAGAAAGTGCTTTGGCCGACAACTACAGTTTTTAATTTTCGATCCCACATGAAGGTCGTGACTGTGAGCATCAGTCCAGATCCAAACTGCAAACAGTGAGGACGTCATCCTCTTTGCCGCTCGAGGCATGAAGTATTTACAATATGAACTAAAGAGAAGTAAATTTAAAGCATGAGCTGGAGGAGAGTTTTGGAGTTTTCGCACAGAATAAGTCCAGGAGACCAAGAGCTGCAGCGCTGGAAGCATTAAGGCAGATAAATGTGTAAACAGTCGTGGCTTTGATCCGGTTGTCTCTCGATGTGTAGATGCACACAAACACACACACAGTGCAGGCATGAGTGTGAGTGGTGCCCAGGGAGACAAACACTCAGTGTTTTGGGCTGAACTCAAAGTGAGTGTGATCCGTGGTCGTCCTCCTCTTCCTCACCACCTTTCCTTCAACACAGTTCTCAAAGATTGTGAGGAAAAGCTCGGAGGAACAGTGCATTCGGAGTCTAAAAACACCCGACAACGTTTCAGGCGCCGTCTTTGCTTGAAGCCGCATCATGGGCTGTACGGTGGAGGCTTGTCGTCAGGATGGTTGTGAGGAGGAGAGTAGCGCGGAGGGATCATAGTGGGCCACAGGTGGCTGGCTCCAGACTGGGAGTCGTCTGAGAGACCTGAGGAGTCGGGGAACAGGCAGGAGCCCTGCAGGCGAGACAAAACAGTTATCAGAATGATCTGTTTACGACTTTGGCTTCTGAATAGTCAATTCATCACTTATTTTATCCCCCTAAGGGATAAGAACACAGAGTACATTAATATACAAATAGAATGCACAAAGTGCACAATTTCAATTTAAGGATATTAAGAATTTGGTCCCTGAATGGGTTTATTCTCTCAGGTCATCTTCCTCAAAGAGTTTAGAGAGATGGCAGAGGTTGTGAAAGAGTCGTTATATCAGTTAGTTTGGGTTTATCTTAATCTGAAAGTGCTTTCTTTATCAGCTGTTTTAATTTTGCTGCAGACATTTACCACCCTATTTAGAAGATTTTTATGTTGACAGTGAGAAAAGAAAACCAAGAGATTAATAGAAAGTGTAAGAAGATACTATTGACTGCAGGCATTGAAACGTTCGAGTTAATCCGGCAGTTAAATGCCATTTCACATCATAATATTGCCTGATCACTTTCACGTACATTTCGTTCGTCAAAAAACATAATTTTGAATGAGACACTTGAGCTGAACTAGACGTCACTGATTTAATTGGCCCCTTACCTGCAGGTCGTATGCAGTGTAAGGCGGCAGGCAGGGGGCAGTGTTGTAATATGAGTTGTTGATGGTGGTGGTGGCTGGAGGAGGCTGTGGGTGGACTGGAGCTGTGATGGCCTCTGGTTCAGATGTACTCTCTGAGGCAGCAGAGGGAATCTGACAAGGACATGAAGAATATTGATCAGTTTCTATAAATTCAAACACCAGAGAATTAGAATTGCTTTACTCAGCTCATACTGACAAAGCCACAATTATTTCAAAACATTCAGCAGTATTTAAGCCCAGCTGTCCGACGGTGTCTTCTCTTCTTTGCTGGTTAACAAATGTACCCACCAGGTCTTTGAAGCCTCCCAGCACTGCCGCAGTAATGATGCCCAGAAAGAGGGCGATGATGTTGAGGATTGTAGCGGACCACAGCAGGTGATAGAGGTGCACCACGTCCTGGCAGCTCTTCACGTCGGTGTATTCGTGGTAGCCTCCCATCATCTCTACACGGCTAGACCAGTGGGTGGGACAGAGAGGGAGACGGCATACAGTCAAGCTACAAAGGTCACTGATTAAGTTTTTACTTCTTGTATTCAGGACACAATAAAGGAAAAACATAAGGTTTTGATTTATAGAGATATATGAGTCTATGACGAGCTAGTGACACAGAGGACATGGACGAGGGTTTGGACACAAAAAGGACATGCAGAGAGGAAATGGCACCCTAAAAACACATTTCTATAGTGAGTTACATCACAAAGACTCCACACAATTACTTTAGTCATCACTTATGAGTTGATCATTACATCGCCAATATGGTTCTAGAAAAAAAAGGGACCTACTTCCAAATCATGGATGATTTTCTAAACTTTTTCAAAACATCTTTATTCTGAAGTCCCATAAGAGGATGTTCTCTGAAACAAAGGTTAAAAGAAAAGAAACAGTCTTGTTCTAATACAATCAACATAGCAGTGCAGAACAAGCTCCCACAAAAATGGCACAGTCAAAAAATCCAAACAATCAAAAGTAGCACAGCAAAGTAAGCAGCCACTGATTCAGAGGTTTGTCTGTTTTCTCAGCGTACTCACTTCCCGCAGGTGTAGAGGTCGCAGCAGTAACAGGTGTTGCCCTTTACGCGCAGGTTACAAGATATCCGCGATGACGTCTGACAGGACACCTGACGGTGAAAAATGATTTCAAATAAGTTGTCCTTTTTACTTTGGGTCAGATTCTGGCTCCTAACAATGTCCCCATACAATTTCAGGGCTAACACATACACTGAGGATGAAATGAATAGTATTTCTGTCAACAGATAGAGTAAATAAAATTTCTTACATCACGTTCAGGTGAAGTGTCACTAGAGTGATACTCACAGCGGCCAGCATACAGAGGCCTGAGGTCCTGCAGTACAATAAACTTTTTTTTTATAGATTTCACAGCACAATTCATCGCTGGTCTACTTACGAACCAAACTCAACTAGAAGAAGCAGAAGCAAAGAGACAAGAGCTTGTATGTGATGAGAGCTGCATTATTAATGACAGCAAAACTTCATCGATCAAAACCTCATAGACAGCTGGAAAGCAAGGCTGAATTATTAACTGGGTAAAGACCACTGGGGACACGGAAATTCAGGTTCATTGTGTCAGTTAGTTTGTGATAATTTCATTAATTATTAATTCATTGCTAGGTGCCTCAAACAAACACCTGTGAAGGGTCAGAAACTTTACCCGTGAATAGGACACATTTGACTGGATGCAAGCACTTTAGAAGTAGATCGTGATTATAGCACATAACAAAAAGGATGATTGTGGTTATAATGCGCTTAATTGTGTAGCCCTATATTTGATGTATATTTGGGGCAAAGCGAGAAAGAATTTTGTTCTTCGGCACCAAAAACGTGATTCAGTTCGTGAAAATGTAGATAAATGTAAGAGTTAGAAAAAAGACAATGTAAAGCATCTGACAACATTACATCATCTCTTCAGTCTGTCACGGCATCATACTCCTAGTTCTCTTTATTCAATAGCGCGCCAGCAGCCTCTTTGGAGTTCAGTGCACAAAAAAACTGTGTGAAAAGAAATGTTCCATTTCACTGACGCTACTGGCAAATGAAAACCTGCTAATAGTGCTGATCTCACTTTTTACCCAGCCATAACTGATTTTAGCATAATTGTTTTCAAGAGTGCATTAGTGGTTATTTATTATCGTTTTAAGTACTTCGCGTCATGGAGAATCTGCCTCTACCACATTATATATTTGTCTCGCTGAGACGGGGGCAGCAGCTGCTATAGACGGCCACATGTGAGCAAAGGCCTTGCAGAAGGGCATTCGTTTTACTGTATGTCTAATGCAGACAGAGTATATTAAGCTTTAATGGGGATGGCATTGATTCATCAGCTTGTTATAAGTCAGGGCATAAGTTTTCATATTCATAATTTATCAGTTTGGTTAAATACATAGAAGCCTCAGTGATACTTACAATATGCCTCGCAGCAAACACTCCATCGACAATAGCACAGCAGAAGGCGGCCACCACTCCGAAACTAATGAAGACCATGGATGCCACTAACTGTGAAGGAAAACATCAGCTTCATCACTCTTTATCACTGTGTAATGATTTTGAAACTATAAACTCAACTTAAACAGCAACAACGTTAATTGCTTCCTCTCAGCACTTTTGTATTGGGTTACGTTTTCATCACTAATGTGTATCATCATGCAGTACTATACTTATGAATGGAATAGGATGAGGGTGGCGGGGGCTGTCATGGTCCCGTCATGTTCTTCATGGCTGGCACGATGCCCCCCCACACACACACACACACACACATACAGTACACTCCTCAATGAAAGACAGCGTGTGTTCAGTTACACATCACACCACTCTGTCTGCAGCCAGCCCAGCTCGCAGGAGGGAGGCAGTGCAGGTGACACAACGGATCAAACAGCTAGAGGTAACAGGGATTTATGCCGTGCAAAGACTTCTATGATGCTAACATGAATGCATCCAGCAGCATTTGATTTAAAACGACGGCATTTTTAACAACACATGTTTAGGATTTGAGTTGAGACGTGTTGATTGTTGGTCAGGCTTATCGTTTTTAAAGGCCCAGACAGCTTATTTGATTGGTTTCTTACTCTAAACGATGTGGCCCTCCATCAACGCACTATTTTCTGCCAAACTAAGAACATTAAAAGAGTTTCTGTATTTGTGTTTTTTTACTCTGTGCTCTTCTCGCTGGATTGAAGTGGATGAGACCCAACTGTAAATCACATCAACGAGGCAACATTTGAATTAAAGTCTGATGACAGTTGTGGGATCGTTTGCTCATGCTGCAAGACCTCTGTCAACCAAATCAGATCAAACCACTCCCACACAGTTCTGATGAGTGTTAAACTCTGAATAAATAATCCCTAAAGATGTTTGTCCAAACATAAACTAAACCCAGTCATTGTTTTGTCCAAGCAACAGTTCAAAATCCAAATATATTTAATTAACTATCATAAAACACCTGTCTAGATGTGAATTGTTGGCATTTCTGCTCAAAAATGAATAAAGCGATTGATCGCTTATCAAAATAGTCAATTCATTTTTTGTAGGTCAACTACTGAAAATGTAAGTCCTGTGTGCCTCTAATTCCCCAAACCACAACACAAATCATCGGATTTGATTGTGTGTCATAACATTTTATGGGAAACATTTTAGGTGCAGCGTGGCGTAACATGCCATAGCTCAATCATTTGTGGGATTACAGCCCTCCAAACCTTGCTGAGTTATGTGAAAAGGTGTCACGGTACAAACACATTCTTCATTGCAACCCTGACAGTCCCTGCCCGGCACCTCCCACCTGCTCCCCTACTCTGCAGTTTCCTTCCCCACATTCCAGTGTAGACATCGGTCCTCCTCAACTTACACCCTACTTCTATTTCTGGCTGCATGTCCCTCAAAGCCCAGGATACTTTCTCCGATACACAAACCTCATCAGGCGAAGTGGGACTCACAGTCTGGGTCAGGTCTGCTCTTTCTGTTGTTACTTAAATAAAATAATCAGGCCTGTAGGCTGTCGTAAGGTCATTGGGGCTGATACACAGTTAAATGTTTTCTGTGAGGGAGACACCAAGCACTTAAAGTGATCTCAATGCAAAGAGGTAATATAAATCCTCTTACCATCTGCCTCTTGTTCTCTATCAAATGAGCACCGATAATTCCCAGAAAAGAGCCAAAGCCCAGCTGAAAAAAAAAGAAAAAAGCTGTTAGGGCATTGATCTCATTTGATTATAAAGCAGTTAGATAAAACTTCTGTCATGCCTTGAGGGAAGAATTTCAGCGTGTTTACTCTCTAATAAACCATCAACTGCTGCTTTCCTCGTCACTCTTTAATTGAAGCAGAATGCTAAAAGCCGAGTATTGGGAAGAAAACACATTTATGGACTGAGATACTTTGCCTCACTCAGCCCCTAATGACAGTGATGCTGAATAATGAATGTGGGGAAAATTCAACCCTCAGAGACCTTCAGTAATTAGTTTCAGCAGGAGAGGGAAGAGCTGGCTGGAAAGACTCTCACTTCACTCACACCTCACTCATTATGAACTCTGACAGGCCTGCCTGCTGTGGCATGCAGGTGTGAACGTGCACTCACAATGACTCCTGGGTAATAGCCGCCCACTGTGATGTTCTGCGTCCTGGTAGTCGCTGCCAGGCCAAAGATGAGGATGAGCACGGATACGATGAGCAGCAACACCAACACTATTATGGATTTCCTCTTCCTCCTCTTAAAGGAACCTGTGAGACGACAAATGAGAGAGCCTTACTGCTGTGACGTGGGCAGTAATGTGATGGGAAATCAGAGGATGAGGCTGCAACTAAAATCCACCACAAGCATTGATGCAATGGGAATTTCACTCCTGTAAAATTTGCCTAAAACGCCTATCGACCGCGTACCCAAAGTAAACTGACAGCTCTTATTGAACCATTGGGAGTACATGTATGGTTTTAGTCTCTATTGAACGGCAACACTCTGAAGTTTCTTCACAATCAGTCAGAATCACTGTAAGTGCTACTAGCATTGAGCTATGCAGTTTTCAGCACACTGAAAGAGAAGGATTTTATTTCCGCCTAGATTTGTTTTGGCCAACAGATGGCAGCAGTTATCTATGGCTGGGACTTACGACCCGGAAAACACAATCCTATGTCAGCATGGACTCATGGTACCTGGTATAAGTTAGAATTTGATAACAATACAACAGAAAATTAATATTTTTCGTGGTTTACTAAGAGTACAGCCGCGTAAAAACGCATTTGGAGGTTCGCGTCACCACGTCAAAATGCATATACTATGTGTCAGAAATTTGAACTATAGTTTACTTATGTCAACGTATGGTTAACTATATCATATTTAACCATTGTCAACTTTCACAGATTCTTGAAAATTCTTATGAATCAGACTTTGGTCTTGATAATCTGTCTCACGTACCTCAGTCACGGTTTCAATTTCAGTTTTGAAAACGTTCCCAGCATTCAATCTGATAAATCTGCATATCCCTGGCTTCGTAATTTCATTGGCTATGTGGAGCCTGAGTTTGAACTGGATCTGTTGCGATTGGCTCGAGCTATACCCAAAGAAGAGAGGTGGGCATTGTCTTTCAAAGCGGACTCTCGTTGGCTGTTCCAGACTGTTGCCTGGCTATAGAAGCTCCTATTGGGTCGAATGAGGTGTCAATCTAACCGGCGGAATGTAGGCTCCATTTTGCGATGAAAATCTCCGCTATGTTGACATGGAAAGTGAAATTATGCCCGAAATATGATCGCGAGTTATCATATCTGCTGGCTAATTTGAAATGATGCAACAGCCCCCCATGGGTCTTTATGGACGTACTAATGTGTTTTGGACTAAATATTTTACTGGATTCGATCGAGTGGACCCTTAGCCACCTAGCAAGACCGTTTTTGCTGGACTAGCATGCATGAGGGGGACGTTATGAATCATAATCGGTGAGTCAGGGCGATATTTTATCGGCTATTTTTGGAGTGCTTGTTTGACAGAGACTACCTGCTGTTGTTGTTGTATCTTGAAATGGTTTGCATAAATCGAATTACAAGAACCGTAGCTTTCTAATGAGATATCACATTAATACTCATCGTTACAGGGCAGCTGTGTACATAACACAAATATGCCGTTAACACTCTGACGGCCCGCCCGCGGGCCGTCAGAGTGAGATGAAGAGACTCAGGAGTGGACTCCAGTTTCTCTTTCACATTACGTACATTGAGTGGCCAATTATGTTGCAGTATTTAGCTCTGAAAATGACAATGGCTTCTTATATTGCTCATGATAGAAAAAAAAAACAACAACTTACAACAAAATAAACAATCTTTACTTGACATATTCACACTGTATATGTTACTTTTTTTGAAAGGCTCAAATTAGGGTGACTATTTTACAGCCAACTGATACTATATGATGCAGGTATGCCAGGTAAGCCTATACTGTATAGTTAGTTGTTATTCTGGTACCAATTGAATTAACTGTGTTGGCATTACAACAAATATTGTTAAGAACTTGGCTTAGTGATGTCATAGTGCGACAGGACAGACGGGACGACATTCAACACAAGATACTAATAATACAACCATCATTTATATCGGAACATATTAAAATACACAACAAAATATGTGAACAGTTTGCAATTCAGAAGTCATATAACTTAAACATATTAACAATATGCACAAATGAAATACAAAGACAACCATTGATTAAAAACTAAGTGCCAGAGGTTTACAACATTCACTCCGATTTAAAACAGACTCGTCTTGCAAAGAGCTGCTGGCTGAAAATGATTTCTAAGAAGATTCAGGGCCTTTTGGTTCAGTCCAACGTTTTTTCTTTAACTATTTAGTTTAATGCATTTGTTTCAGCAGTAGTCAGACTGACTACTGCTACTCCATCTATTTTTTACCTCTTTCTGTTTTATTTATCCTGCGGTGTTCAAAAAGCTCATCTCAACATCGTCAGACTAATAGATCATCGACGTCACCTCTATGTTCTGTTTTATCAATGTTTGGAAACAGAGAGTTGGTAAGTCACATCACAGATGTCACTGCTACTAAAGTATGATGCTCCAACCTAAAGATCAATAAGAAGTCACTACACTGAGCAGGGAACGCAAATGCTCTCTGTTAAGTTTTCTCACCATGATGCCTGCACAACAACAGATTAATGACCGAGGAATATATCGAGAATTATATTATAATAACAATTATATTGTGATGATACTACATTTCGTCTGGGAGTATGTTCATTGTAATTCTGTATTGTAGATTTTTGTTATTTCCTGGTCTCAGATGCTAAATTACAGCTAATTGAAACAATGCACGTTGATGTTTTGCATCACTGAAATTAATAATACATGTCTCTGGTTTTAGCTAGCTTTCAGGCCAAACATCATATGAAATGACAACAATTTTGCCACTTAACATATTATCTGATTGTTGATATAAGGTTGAAGCGATAACATTGTTGATACATTTGATTTAATCAACGTCCTTTGGCTCTAACTCAAATTCATACATGGCTAAAGACATATTAACTATACTCTATAACTAAGTATGGGTACAGTTATTAGATTTAAGATTACTTATGTTTAACGTTACTCAAAATTCTATTACAAGTATCATAGATCCAACAATGGTCAGTGTGACATAACCATCCCTATATGATTACACCACCAACCTATCTATGCCTTTCCAGTCCAGTGATGCTGCATGCTTCATTCTCCAAAATTGCCTTTAAATGAATATGAAGTCTAAAGCAAACTCACATGAATGCTTCTACCATCAACTGTGTAGATTGGGTACTACAATTAACAAGCCAGTACCATCTAGTGAGAACAACCTGTTATGGGCAGCACTAAAATGCACAAAATATATTCACAGATTTTCCCCCTACACAAAAAGACCCCTTTATTCATGTTATCATCATGGCAGCAGAACGGCCATCCTGCATTGATCTGTGTGTGTCAGGCAGTTAACCATCAGAGCCAAACATCCAGGCTCCTGTGGTTACTCAACGTCGCTGCGCCTGCAGTGACGCGCTGCAGGCCTGGACCAGCAGAAAAAAACAGTCTGGAGATCAACGAGTGATTTTGTCTGCTTTAGTGAGGAAACAAAACATACCGTTGGTGTTTTTAACCGACCAAAATAAGAGGGAGTGGTGTAATTATTAACCTTTGTGTGTAGGAGCAATTACAATAATGCTGTCGGAGCGTAATACAATCCAAACCAGTAAAACCAGCATATTATTTAATTGATCAAACCTGCTGCAGACAAGCCGTTGACCTTGCACACACACACACACGCACACACACGCACACCTACCTACCTATGCTTGTTTCAGAGAGGGTCAGTCTGCTGGATTGAAGGCTCTGAGCAGGAGGCATGCTGGCTGGAGGATGTTTAACGCAGTCCGCTGGACAATCCTCTTGCAAATTACACAAATAAAAACAACAAAAATAATCACGACTCAACGTTATTGGCTATTCCGCTATATATTTTAGAGATAGCTGTGAACAATCGGGAGCAAACGGTGTCTTGGCTTGCTGTGTGGCATTCTCTGACAACCGCCCTCCGTCCTCGCCCAGCCCGTGTTCGTCACACATCCCCGCGGCTTTGATACCTAGCTCTGTCGGTCTCCGTCCTCGCGGTGTGTCGGTGTCGGACGGTGGGTCGATGCTGCTGCTGCTGGCTGTGTGTGCGCATGTCAAACACATAGCGTTACTCAAAAAAACAACTGTACTCGTCTCTTACAGACGTTACTACTTGAACTTGTTTCAAAGCAAGTGTAACGAAATGTTTAACGGTCAGAGTAATACCAGCACAGTCTCCTCATACCTTCTCTACACAACGAACATCCACCGAAATTCAAGTATTCCGGCATTTTAAAGATAATTAACGCTGGAAAATGTCAGTGCTGTAACGCCACTTTAACGGTTAACGTCAACGTTGCAAGCTACAAGGTGAATACTTGAGATAACGTTAATTGAACAATTCGAATAATGGGTTTGGGATTTAAAAGAAGGTAGTAGGCTACAGTTGTAGTGTTTTGCTTGTAATTAGGAAAATAGAAGTAATGTGAATAAAGTAAAAAATAAAAAGTCACTGAGAGAGGTAAATGTAACGGTTACTAGCATTCATGAGTGTCTCTCACTGAAAGCAGGGGTAAAAAAGTTAATGTGAGAGCTTGTTATACATCACATGGAGTCAAATAAATAATTATAGGTTTAAAATATTTTATACTGCAGTGTATGTAGCTTACATTTGATTTGGTTTGGGAGAAAGTACAAGTTGGAGGTGGCACAGGTCAGGACCATATTCAGGCCGAGCATCGAGCGCCATCATGCGTTAGACACACAACACAACAAGAGCTATCAGACATTCAATGAACAGCAGGTGAATTATGCAACAACGTGACACATGCTGCCTTCACGTACTTCGTTCGTTAGGGCGTAATGTTCTGAACACGATTTTTTTTGTACACAATTCCATCTGGTCTGAAATAAAAAGGATCCCATACGTTTTGTTTTATATCTTACATTTTACTTTAAGTAAGCTATGAAGGTTGACAGCATTGAGGAAATCCAAGTCAGATATGATACTGGAAATGCACAGCAATCACATTTATCAGAGGTAAAATAATCATGACATTTGGGGTTTTACCAATGACAAAAAAGAATTCAGGCCCTAATATTATCTAGACCCTCATATAGGGAAAATAACATTGCAGAACATGTTATGCAATGTATTTTATTTTTTATAATCATTTAACTAATTGAAAATACAGAATTTAGTTAACTGAACAAATATAATGTAAAAAAAGTACATAGCCTATTTGCATACTTTTTGAGGGGGTTGCAATTACCCTGACAGACTTGGACACATAACCTCAGAATTTCTAAAATCCTGGCTACTCTGCACAGGCACACAGAGCAACTTTTGCTTGAAATACAATTGTAGTTATAAACCTACATCCTTACACCATATCATGTTGCGTAAATGGCAACCCAAATTGTTTTGGGTGTTCAGGCTGACTATTAGCGTGACTAAAGGGCTGCTGATTAGATAACACACTGTACAGCAGTGCTCTGGAGCAAGCCACCGGAACTTCCCAAATTGCTCCATTGTTAAATCAAATTACCATACATCAAATCTGTTGGATGTTTTCATGAACATGAACACGGGACTGATCTACAAAATCTGTGGCCAGGTCATATTCCAGTAAAGAAAAATACATCCACAGATAGAATATGGGTTGCAGCAGCTCATTTGTACCCGGGGGCCCTCTGGTTGGTCATGGAGCTTGCCCTGCACCATTGCATGTATAGCCTATAATCCCTTGTAGGAACAATGCATTGAATATGTAGCCTGCAGTTAAAGGTAAGAAGCAATCAAGACACTTTTAAATGCATACATACATAAGATAAATAGAATTCCTCTGCATTGACATTAAATTAATATTATTTCTATAGGAAGAGGTCCCTTGCAAATTCCCTTATTTGGTGAGAAAGCCTTCACTGTAACATGCACACGCATAAGCACGCACACACAGGAACATGTGCACGTTATTGCCGCGCAAATCTCAAAGAACAGTTTTTTCCATGACGCAAATTCTCTTTTCATGTAAAAGAAGAAGAAAAAAAGTCCCCCGCGCCCACTCTTTTTTACATGGGGTAACAGAGCGTTACGTGACCGGCGTGCAGATAGGATCAGGGACAACTTGAACTTCTCCAGAGGGGAGCTTATGGTAAGCAGTTGCTACAGGAGTCTATATGGAGCTGCTGGCGTTGGCAACTGGATCATTGGGCATGCATGTGCAGAGACAATAGGCCTACCTAATGTAAATATTAAATGTGTGATTCTTTTGTTTCATAATAAATATATGCCCGATCAATATTAATAATGATGAAATATACATTTTGTAAAAAACGTTAATTGTACGACTATCCATGTGCACATATAGGCCTACAGTGCGCAGTCAGGCAGTGATTGACAACAGTGTCTTGTGTTGGAATACGCCATAAATATTGTATTCATGGTTTGCTTCAGTCTTAGCCCAGCTCAGCAGACAATTACTGATGGTGTACGTGTACTGAATGCAGTGCCGTGGTCCATGCCGCTGCCAAAACGTCTCTCGGTCCAAAAAAACACTTTGTATCCCACCCCCAGTTTTTCTCTGTCCAGCGTTCATTCACCATGATGCGCGCTTAGTTGCAGGAGGTCCTTCCCACCCGGTCCCCTTTGCATGCCTAAAACTTTCTAATGAAATCCCCAAACACTTTTTGACAAACATTATTTTTTTACTCTGGGGGTCAAGAAGGCTTTTGACACGACGCATTTCTATTGCAAAGAAAACTACAGGTATGTCAGATTTATTTAAATGAAATTCATTGTGTTGTCTGATTGCAGAGTAAGTTATATGACTTGGCATTGTTGTGCAAATGTTGAACTTGGCAAGATTGCAGATGTAAAGAAGTGATGCTTTCAGTCAATGGCATGGATATGATTGGTTTAACAAGTACCTTTTCCTTCTGTGAAGAATATGGAGCCCAGTTCCACAGAGGGAGGAGCTGAAGAGAAGCTCCTTAAAAATCATCCACCAGGTCTTGTAAGTGCTGATATTAGATAGAAACATAACATTTTATAATCACTTTATTCACTGAAGCAGATGCGGCAATTAAGGCATCTTTCCTACTAACAATGGAGTTGATAGATCTTTAATGAAAAACCCAGTTATTATAAAGTCAAGAATCAAGTGGTTTTATTGGCACAAGATTTAAAGCTAATAACAGCATTTTAAACATTTAACAGCAGATTCTTTTAAAAGCGAAACTTTCCCAAATGAAGTGACTTTTTGGTGACACTTTCAAGCGTCCTGTGGTTCATGGGATCTGTGTGTCCTGGCCTGTGGATGCTGAGAGTCAGTGAGTAACATCTGGCTGTCAGAGTGACCCTCCAGCTCTGCTGTCTGCAGCTGCTGCTCCAAGCAGGAGGGTCCACTCAGAGGAGGTCAGCTCTCCCAACGAGTGCCAGAGAGGTCACCAGCGGGTTTATAATTTGCAGAAACAGGGGACAGGACCATCAGTGCGATGTTCATTAATATGCAGAGCACTCGCTGGCAGTTTATATCGTCTGTCATACTCAGATCAGAAGGCATGCCATTTTTTTCCTGCAACGATTTGAAAAGAAAATAGGTTGACTGCAGAACTTAGCAGTTAAGAATATGTGTGGTGAGGGCTTTTTCTCTCCTTCTTTCCACCAGCCTCACAAAGTGATACTCAAACATGGCCAGGAGTTGGAGGAAGAGCAGGAGGAGTTGGCCGAGCACCAGCCTCTAGAGCAGGAAGACCTCAACTTTGAGAGATGGAAGCGCAGGCCGTTACCCGAGAGGACGCTCTACCAGAAAATAGACGACATTAAGACATACTTGTGGAATGCAGAGACCAAGGAATTCATGGGTCGCTCTGGGAAGAGCTGGAGTGAGTTGACGATAAAGATAAAGATCTATGTTGTTGGGATATGACGGGGGAACGTTTGGATTAATGCAAAAGTATTTTATTTTTAATGCATGTGTCCAATCATTACAGATCTAATGTCTAATGCTTACTAATACAGTTTGAATCGTCTTCAACAAGAGCAGACACAGTGTTTGAATGTAGTGTTTGGAGATGCACTCAGGGATAGTTTTAGGGGGTTAGAAATGTCTCTCCAGTCCAGTGACTCTGCTCACTGTGCTGTGAGTGTGTGTGTGTGTGTGTGTGTGTGTGTGTGTGTGTGTGTGTCTATGTGTGTGTGTGTGTGTGTGTCCTTATGCTCAATGTTTACATAGGTGCATGGACAATTCAGAGTGGCCCGACAAAAACAGACTGCCTGGGGACGCATCCCCAGCGGGAGCTCACTGTCCCGGGCCTCGCATTGGCCAGAAATCACATTCCTCTACATCTTACCATGCTCTCCACAGCCTCTTTCCCAAAGCCTTGGTGACCTCATTGCTGAACTTAACATGCTCAAGGCCCCTCGTTTGCAGTTAAACACGTAGAGATGCTCTCCCCCTTTTTTTTTTGTTGTATTATCTATAGAGCTCACTTTATTTGGCAGAAGCAACAGACTGGAAGAGTTTGTTGAGTCAATGATGATGGAGCATCCTCTTGGTATTCCAGGGTGGCTGCCATGTGACGCTGTTGAGCCCCTCCCTCAGCTTCACTGTACACAATGGCAAACATGATCCCACTGATTGTAGAGAGGATATCCAAGGAAAGTGTGTGTTACTCGCATGAGCTGACATGCCGGATCCTGGGCAGAGCCGAGAGCTCATTTCGGCTACAAAACCAGTGTGTGCACACTTGTGGAGGGGCCCATGTGTCCGATGAAGAAAGGCTCTGAGTTGAAGTCTGTGCTGTGTGTCCTGTGAGACGGGTGTGTAACAGGGGACACAATACCAGAGTGGGGTGATTGGGGCTCCTTGGAGCTGGCCGGGCCTCTATGGCTGCAAAAGACCTTCACTACGATGGCAACCGGAGGTTCACTGTGTTCCTGAGTGAAAGGACAGCTGGGAGAATTCTCACTGAGCTCAAACAGAAAGGCCTTTGTGGCTCCAGGGACGCAAGGCTGGCTGTAGCTAGTCCCCTGTGAAATTGCCCGCACAGCAAAAGCCATTTAATTTAGGGCACGTTTGGCTTGATTAGTTGCTAATGGACTGTTAATTGAAAATTGTTCTTGGGCTTGTTACGTAATTCTCACATTAGCTCACTATGGTGAATTTTACACCAGAACTACTAGTTATTTAGAGTTATTTGCAAGTCCAG